ATCTCTCAGTATTAATAAATTCTGGATGGGATGTGAACATATATTTATGAACGCCATTTGTTCGTTAGGTTGAAATAAATACTACCTAATTATATAATTTAACTAGTAACCTCATCTTACAAGATGTCCACTACGGAGTGTTGATGTGTAGGTATATTCTGACTACGCTATATTGCAATTCAATCCCAATGATAAAGTTTTTATACTCTTTTTACGAACTGTGATTTGAAATGCTGAAAATATAGTATTATATAGTAGCAGTATACCGGCAATTGGAAAGGTAATGGTTAAGACTATATGGCCTAAACATAATGATAAGATTTTTTTAAGTATTAACTTTAATACAAGTAACGAAATATATATTCATTGTCTAATCTGGAAGTAAGGAGGTTTTGTACGATACAATAACAATACTCTCCGACCTGAGTCATAATAAAGAAGGGTTCATTTGCTACGGTTATTTCTCTAACCTTTTTATTGTAGTTCATTTCATCAAATAAAATCACTTAGGCTAATTGAAATTTGTATATGTTAATGAATTTGATTAAACATTCGGAAATTGTTTTTTTTTTATTTACTCTGATATATGAGTAAATGTATTTAATCTGAGATGAATATATCATATGTATTCTATTCTTATTTTGTAGTTATTTACTTTCTAATAAATAGATGCAATATACTAAACTCTTTAAAAGTATAATTGTCGCAGCTACATAAATATTAGTCTACTACAATATCCCTTTAATGTACCTTAATATATCATGACAAGACACATACTGTGACGGAAGTGTCTTAAGGCTGGTTAAAAAGAGACACGCCTAGGAAGGTGAGGTAAAATGTGTATTCAGCTCGCTAGCAAAAACGTAAAGAACCAAGAATATGGCATTAGAAAACAAATGGTATATTAAAACAGAACCTCAAAATATACAATTCAAAAATATATAAAATGCTTATAAATAAAAACTATCAAAGAGGTTGCCTTAGGCAACATATACTATATTTCTTATTCTCTTTCAGGTTGTTTTATTCGCTCTGGTAGCAGCGTGCGTCGCTGCTCCTAGGCCCGGTGGTTTGGTAGCGTACTCCGCACCAGCAGTAATATCGCCAGTGGTGTCGCCAGCGGTCTCCAGTTACTCCAGCTACTCAACCGGTGTGGTCCATGGCTCACCAGTGGTCCCCGTGGTTCATTCGTTACCTGTGGCGTATTCCAGCGTAGTTCATCCTGTATATGTATAAATGATTTTTAAAAAACGAACAACTTATTCGACCAATGTATAATCAGATTTTTCAATAACTAAGAGTTACATAACATGGAATCTAATAATCATATCTGTTTTATATTGTATTTAAAACGAACTTAGTTAAGAGGTTCATTAAAATTCTGTGATACTTAAAATAAAAGATAAATCGATCGTACACAGGCAAAGTAAATATGAATGTGTTCATTTATATATTTTTACTTTATTATGTTTTTTTCAAATAAATGAATTTATGTTATTTCTGTTGGTATTAATAACCATAATCTCAATGATTTCATGTAGTTACCATTCCTTGATTGAGTAAAGAATATTGTTTTTGAGGTGTGGAAGCTACTCATAATAATGAAATGAATAGAATAGATTACAAAACCATATATATGTGACACGCTATATCTATAATAAGTATACATATAAAACCGTAGAATATATTTATTAAGAATATAACAGTATTTTGAATTTTAAAAATTATAATTAAAATATTTTATGGCCGTATCAATTTTCCTTTTTATTACTACTATGCCTTTCGAATCTTCCGAAGTTCCCAAAAGTAATTCATCCACACGAAGGGCTATGATTTATAAGTAACTAGCTACCCGTGTCGGTTTCCTACGGGTGTCCAGGTGTCGGTATGTATTACATACAAACCTTCCTCTTAAATAATTTTATCGATTGCTAAAATTACAGCATTAAAATCTGTTGCCAGATTAAAGCGAATAGACTGCGGAAGTGGCTTCATTTTATACTATATAAAGATTTATCGATATTCTTTAATTGCATCCAGCTAAGCAGTAAAATGATTTCTCAGATGTAATAATTGACATTTTGCGTTAACATACATACTTGAACAAAGATTTGATAATAACCAAATTCGATGTTATGAATTTTATTATTAAAATGTCAAGCTAGAACACACATTCATATTAAGATATAAAATATAAACAGTACTCCTCAAGTGTTCAGCGGTAGGTACAATATTTCCTGATAGGTGTTATGTCTGCATAATCAGCAGTTTCTTTGAAACAACATACAGGTGATTGGAGACCGGAATAGGTGACCGAGAGTTTCATGCAGTGAACTTTGAGAAAAATCTCCCAATATTATTTTATAAAATATATACGCAGTAATACCATCCAGACAAATCAAATATGAAGATATAAATACATTTTTAATATGAATTACCGACATTATGGTGGATTTCCAAATAGGCGCAATCATTCCATCAAATAAATTCTACTCTTTCGGCCGTTCACATGGTTTTATACGAAAATCTATTTTCCTCAATCACTCAATATCTCTGACATATCGAGAAGCTACGATTATTTTCGTAGAGACGCGATATTACTTCGGAGCAACGAACTGTTGATTTGGTTAGGACCCGTAGATACAAAATTGCCATTGCAATTTGACGTGATCGCTGAGTAAATAAAAAACCGGTCAAGACCGTATTGGATAATAAATACAAAGTGATGTCTGACAGATATAATGACACACTAATCAACTATTCAGAGAATCTAGTATTATTGTGTAGCAGGATGGAGACTATACCCTCTCTTGAATAGTCTGGTACCTATCCGGCGCTAATCTTTTGCCAATCTATTATTATTTCCTTGTAATTTTACAGAATTAATACGAAACTATAATTTGGGCGCCCTAACTTCCCAAGAATTTCTTTTTATGACAATGAAATCGAGTTGTAATTATTAATTAATTTAGTAACAATGTTCTAAAAACCTTTCAAATACATAGTTATACAAATACAATAATATATATGTGCTATAAAAAAGGTAAGATTTTTGTCTATATTTTGAAGAGCTACAACAACAAATAGAGGGGGAGCATTAGGCGTTGATACACATACGTTTACATAGATATCTATCAAGAACCGGTGAATCTTCGCTATAAGAATAGTTGGTAAAGTCTTGGTAACTAGTAGTAGTCATTTTTCGATTATCACGTAATGGAAGAAATGATTGTGTTTATTTTTTTGTAACACATACTTTACTGTACAGTAAAAAGGACATAATTTAAAAAGGTACAACAATCTTAAGAAATTAATTAAAATTGTACAATGGTGATCTTATTCTACATTATTAGTATTCCTTCCAATTATTTGAATGATTGAGATGATTTATGGAATGGTGGAAATAGGAGCTTATACATATATATGTAATATTTATTGCGTATTATTAAACGATTTTGTAAATGACCATTACGATAATACATATTCTATAAAATATGTATTTTACATGTAAAGATAAAATAGTCTAAATTAAGTTTTAGTGTAGGCTAATTTATGTTTAAAATAGTCGATTTGAAGATTTTCTTCCGTGTTTACGTGTTTCTATTTCTTCGGACAAAGTAGCTTTTTTGGGATTATTTTTAAGATAGATATGTAAAAGAATATTAATTTTACAATCTGTTTTGTATTGTACGTGTATACTTATTTGAAAACACTTTTTAACACAAACAATTATTTTGTCATGGTCATGATAGTAATCGATTAAAATATAAAAAAAAATCGTTTGTATTGATATAGGTATATTTATATTATATTAATGAATATGACTTACTGTCTGATTACCGGGTGTTGCATCATAATTTATCAATGTCAAATTATGTAGTAACGGGACTATGCTTGTCTAACATTTCATGACTTTTATTATTATAAGTTTCACTAAAATAACTGTTTTATAACACAGGTGATTTTAAGGCATGGTGTTTAATATAAATTAAAATCACCTTTAACGTATGTATATGTTACAAGATCTATAATTTGTATCAAATACTTTAGATGTACATATTTTAAAGGGAGTGAAGTCACTAAGGCCTAACTTTAAGATAGATTGTTCATTGCATTAATACATCACACTCAAATAAAACTAAATAACAAATTACACAGTATCTTGTTATTGTATTATTGATATTTACCTACATTAATTTTTGATTAAATTTGGTAATATCGAATCTACTCATAACATTAATCTGTCTGTTTCAATCAAGAGTCGGATAACGAGAAAAGCAAATACAAAACAATAACAATAAAATAAGAAATATACATAATTTTTGCATGTGCAGCTAATAAACTCTAGTCGCTAGTTTTTTAAATTTAGTTTCAATTTAAAATTCAGGAATAATAAAAATAACAAATATACTAAAATAAATAAATAATTGACGACCTTCCGCTATTTAGCGTATGGACATATGTAGCATGAGAAGCGCACTATGTGCATTACTGTATATTTTAAGAAAGATCTGTGTGTGAGGGTGATATGTGCAAATAAGCTCGAATACGAGTACCTTTTTATTTTTTGTAATTATTAAAACTATATTGTCAACAATATCTTAAATCTTCCAATGTACTCAAGTAGAAAATACAAAATGTATCTATGTGAAGAAGGCAGAAGAACAAAATTAAATTAATTAAGAAAGGAAACAATTGTTAACTTAATCAGTAGAAGTGAATGGCCGTTTATCAAATTGTTCAAGGCAAACGCGGAAATAGTTCGAGTCCAATAGGGTATTTGTAATATCACACTATTTACTGGTATATTTAAGGTTGCTAATAAATAGTTGGACACTTGGAGCCTATGACGTCCTATGGTTCTTTTCTTGCAGCTAACCTGTAGCCAACGCCTTGCATATTTGCCAACGACACAAAGGTATCTGGAATACGCCTACAATACAGAACCGTATAAAAGCTGAACTGAACAGGGTGAAAACATCAGTCTCTCATTGAATATCAAACAACACAGACCACAATGTTCAAGCTGGTGGTGTTGTCTGTAGTCGTGGCCCTGGCGGCTGCCAAACCTAGCGCCATTGCTCCTTGGGGCCTTGGACTTGGTCTTGGACTCGGTGGTCACTTAGCCGCACCTCTGGCGGCTCCTGTGGTTGCTGCTCCGCTTGCAGCCCCAATTTTGAGCGCTCCTGCTCTTGGCGCCTATAACTACAGAGGACCGCTATCGCTCGGACCTGGACAACCCGCAAGCATCGTGGCTGCTGATGGCAGGCCCCTTGACACCATCAGCGTGAATTTGGATCGTGCTGCTCACTACACCGCGAGGGCCGTAGATGCTCATGGACTTCATTTGTTGAAGAAACGGTCAGCTCCACTGCTCGCTCCCGCTCTACCTCTGGCTCACTCTGCTCGGCTTAGTTTGCCTGTGGGTCCCATCGCTGCTCCCCTCGCAGCTCCTATTGCGCCCTTGGGTCTTGGACCCATTGCGCCCTTGGGTCTTGGACCTATTGGACCTATTGGCCCACTAGGTCTAGCCGGTGGTTTAGGTCATGGTGGAGTTTTAGTCAATCCTTTGGGCCGTGCTGCTGTTCTTGGCCATGGTTGGTGAATACGTATTTAAAATATAATTAGAATACTCAACAATGTAAACCTACCCACTCATAGTTTATAAAGAGAGTTACCATAATATATATACATATTACTTTTATTTCAATTAATTCCTCTTAAAGCGCATAACCCTGATTATAGTTATTCGCAGTTTCGTATTAATAGTTATACCTAATTTATTTAATATATGTAGGAAAGTAAACTAGTATCCTATACAGTACTTATTTAGTCCAAAATACTTAAAAAGAGTAACCGAGATTCTTTTTCTTTGATATATGTATGTAGACATCTTTGGAAATGTATATAATAGTGCCTGATGATTCCAGGTAGAGAAATTCTTTATGCAAATAAATAATTTTTCATGACTCAAAGAAATTCTCATTTAGGTGTAACTATATTACTTCTTACAAATTCAGAAAATTATCATTCATTTTTTATAATATTAGTAGTAGATTATATTGAGAAATCTATTTAATGTTATGCATCACTTTGGTAAATACTTAGTTGTTTATAATCAGGATACATATGGTATATGAAATAAAATGTAGTGAATATTATACTACCGTAGTTGATGCATATTGTATAGAAAATTACAATAGCACGGGATCCTCAGGTAAATTAACAGTATAATTAGCTACTAGCAGGCTCTCATAGACCGTGCCTTTTCATAAGACGGATCATATATGATGTGTTCACTATTGTCATTACATTATATACCAGTAAAAGATATGCGAGATTTCGTTGATAGTTGTGACATAAATTTTTACATTTACGTATGTCACTCATGTAGAGGCGCAGGGGTACGAGGTCACAAAAAGTCACATGTTTCGATTTATCAATCTATTCATGCAAGTTCGTCGCCTGTGATCTATCTCTGTCCTTGCTCTTCCTTAATCCATTCTTTTCAAATGATGAAACTAATGCAACATCCCTTGTTCGATATTTATCACTACGTCATTTTTCAATCGTATGGATTTATGTATAAAGACATTATTTATTTTTCATAATATTATGTCACTCTTAAAAACATTCTATACTATTACTGTAATCGTTTACCATCAGTTAGGCTTAATTAGAGATTAGAGATGATACAAGTTTTTTATGCCCATCCAATGGCATAAAAAACTTGTATCATCTCTATGAATCAGTCATATTCTGCCTCTCTAGGTACAACAATGTGACTTTGATTCTAATGGATAAACTTTAAAACACTTCTGTAATAGATTTTTAAAATTCTTTTACTAATATAGGAAGCTATATTATTATCAAGCTGTATAATTGGCGATCTACTTGGCATAAAAGGGCCTTTAGTATTAGTTGAAAGGAACATCCTAGTGGTCACGGCCTTAGTCTTTAAGGAATCAACGAAGATCAAGTATCAATAATAACCTTTTATTACTGATACTTCATGTTATATATGTATCATCGTGTATGCTACATTATATAAAAAAAAATTGAAATCTCAACGAGTAATATAAATTTTGGGTTTAGGTGAAGATGGGGCGGTTCGCTAGTACGAGTATGTATAGAATTAAGCATTGTGTAGCACGTTAACCAACAAAACTATGTCGAACAACTGGCGGTCTTTTTCGCAAAAGTTGGAGGAGTCCTCCGCATGACTTATCTAGTACTTTGTCTTTTTGTAACCTAAATCTATTTAGCTGTTCTTTTCAAACTACTGTAATGTTATTGGCCTCCAGTGACCTCAGATATTTAGTGTACCTAGTTAGGTGTTCTGGAACATGTTTGTAATACCTAACTAGTACGAATTTTCCGTCTGAAAAGTTCACGATTAAGACCCTGAAGATATATCAATTAACATTTTCATGTGGATAAAATTTTTGGCATTCTATGGATTGAAACATGTTAGGTAACAGTTATGTCGAAGATTTTTGGTAGTATGTTGTATATAAACAAAATTACTGCAGGAGAACAGCGAATCTATTTTGGCTAAGGGTTACAACTGAAGTTGAATATGAAGATTATGTTCAAGATAATTTTATATGACATTTAGGTAAATAGAATAGAATAGAAATAATTTATTCAAGTAAACTTAATTTTAAGCACTTTTATAACGAGCAAGATATCTATTAGGTATAGCTGGTTATTCTTTTGAATAATTATTGATAATTTACATTTTTACGTCGAAATACAAATGGCATATCGTACTCATTGACAGTTAATCATGACTTCATCTCCTTTAGTGACATAAAGCTTAGCATAATATGTACATGTGACCTTATGATACAATCTTTCTTTACCGTTGTAAAGGTAACAAACAGACAAACGGACATAGACATATAGATACATATTTGTACTATGCATACTGCATCATGCAATAATGTGTCTGTGTATGTATGAATAACTATAAATATATATAATAGAATAACTATAATTCTTCTATGCAATGAAATCCTTTCAGAATATAGAAATAAATATATACCAATTGAATTTGAAACACGTTAATGTTTTTTTTTATTTTACGTTTTTTACATATTTTTTCGTGTTCATTATCAAATTACAATATGGAATGGGGTGTTAAAGAAAATTGGACTGCAGTGATCGCCTTGCACAAAGTGGATATGGAGCCGTCAGTCATTTTTCAGACACTACAAAAGCTTGGTATCAGACGTATGATCATACTATCAACAGATACAACAACACTTCATCTGTCGCAGACCAGAAAAGATCGGGGTGGCCGCGTGCTCTGAGAACTACAAAGTTAATGCTGTTAAAGCCAGAATTCGTCGAAACCCCAGTAGGAAGCAAAAAATCTTACCGTGAGAAATAAAGGTTCCCGCTAGGACTTTGTCGCGTATCATGAAACAAGACCTGAAGCTCTATGCTTATCGTCGATATACAGGACATGCCCTAAATTAATCTTTACAATTAAAGACAGTAGATCGATCAAAACGTCTTGTCGCGGCACAGCACAGAAATATCCTCTTTACAGATGAAAAAAATGTCACGATTGAAGGGCACTACAACAAAGCAACAAGTGTACAAGTACAAGTGTACGGTCACATTTCTAAAGAATCTACTCAATTGGTCGAAAAGGTACAACGTGGTTATCGCCCTGCATCAGTGATGGTTTGGTGGAGCGTGTATTATCAAAATTCACAACAACATTTTTGTGAAAAAGGAGTGAAAACTTCTGTCAAAGTGTATCAAGATACAGTCTTGGATAATGTTGAGAAACCTCTTAGCAAGACACTTTTTAAAAATATACCGTGAACTTTCTAGTTGGACTTTGCACCTGGTCACAAGTCTGGCTTCAAACAATGTTCCGCACTTTATAAGAGCTGAAGACTGGCTAACACGCCGACACCGAGTCTCTTAAAAAATCTTTAGATCAAGTTGTGGTGAAAGATTAAAGGCCTGTATAAGGGTGACCCAATGGTGGCCGTTTCGAATAGAATATTATTTTATTTTTTGATGAGGATTTAATAAATATGTAGGTATGTATGTAAATATTAATAATATTACATTACGTTATTAAAAAAATGTATATTCATTTTTAATAGAACTTATGGCTGGACTAGGTATATTAATGGTTATATATATTATACATTGGAAATATTCAGGTAAGTGGTAACCGTAGGCTATTCATGAATTTACCAGAATGAGCACCATGAATATCACGTGATCATGTGACTCCCATGATACTCATGCGTTGACATTCCGGAGAACTAAGGAGTCATACCTCGTATCCAGCAATTTCATTGCCATATTCTCATTTACCCTTATAACAAGCTGCTAACTTTGTGAACGATGTTGCTACAAAGCCTATATATATATACGGATGAAAGTTAGGAGCTATTTTATCAAACGTTTAATATATAATATAGTAATAACTTGTAGTGATTTTTTTCGGATTAATTTATTTATATAAATTAATAATTCGGTAGTAAAATCCTGGGATAGAAATTATGATCCATTCAATCCAGTTAATCAAATATATCCAGTCAATGTATATACACTATATTTATGTATTATGCTCAATATGAACATCAGTACATATAAGTAAACAGTTTTGAAAGAATATAAAACACGAAAATAGTTTTTTGTAACATATATTTGCATTATATATATATTTACATAATATCATCAATTTTTCTAAGTACAGAATTTACCATGAAACGATGGGCGCGGAGTAGGTGATTGGCGACACATGCGAGACAATGGGAGCGCTGTAGATAGAAGGAACTGGGGCGATCAAAGGTGCAGAAGCCAAAGGAGCCAGGCCCAATCGGGTTACAGGTGCAGCCAGGAGAGGGGCAGAACGTTTCTTCAAAATGTGAAGTCCATCGAGTGCCTTAGCCGTGAGGTGGGCAGAACGGTCGAGGTTGACTTCCAAGGTGTCAAGAGGCCTACCGTCAGATGCCAGGATGTTAGCGGGTTGTCCAGGGGCCAGTGACAGCGGGCCACGGTAGTTGTAAGGCGCAATCAGGGGTGCAGAGTAGGCGAGTGGAGCGATCAGACCAGCCGACGCAGCAGCCAATAGGCAAGACAACACCACCAGTTTCATCATTTTGATAATGGTCTGTGTTGTATTCTGTACTCAGAAACACTGATGCACTAGTAAGATTGCGATCGGCTTATATACTCACATCATATGATTATCTACAGTAGGTGACGCCGGAACAGTTCGTGGCATTGAAAGGACTACTTTTGCATGAGAGAAAAGGTTCATAAGTTTGTCGTGTATGTTTTATTGTGCCTAAGGCATTAATCTGTTTGTTTATTTATTCAGGTGGCATTATCGAAAGATCAGCTATTTGTAAAACTTTTGTAATGATGATACAGGGAATGAAAACTGCCATACTTAATTGTAGAAGGAGTTTTTTAATACGATTAATTATAAAAATAAAAGTAAATTGGGTGGATATTCTTCTATTCTATTCCTTCGACATTAAAAGTAGGTATAAAGACAAAATTGAAAAGTCTTAAAATAGAATGCGCATTAATATACAGAAAGGAAAATAAAAAAATGGCATAAAAGTATATGAGGGACAGGACAAGATTTTTTTTATACTGGACAAAAAAATTGTAGCCGGTGTGATATGAGAGATAAGTATAATGATAAGAACTGAAATAGCTCGGAGGACGAGGTTCGATACTCATGTGTCCTTATATTCTACGATCAAATCTTTTCCAATTCTACGGGCAAGTTATAACAATGGGTGACTCCTGAAACATTATGGTATATATTTTAATGTAATATTTTAATTTAATATAATGTAATTGTATAATATTTTTGGATTACATTTTTTGGATGTACCATTTTTTATTCAAAATATATGCGGTATAGATGAGAACAAAATTTATATATATGGTAGATGGTGACAATGTTAAACGGTAACACATAGGTGATCATAGATAGAAATGGGCCATAGTTAGGACCTCCTAACTATGGCCCATGTAACAAGGATAGAGACAAAAGTAATCAAAACTACTTCATTAACATGTAGTTTCCATAACACATTGACGATAATTTGTAACATAACCTGGGCTACAAAATGGTTAGTTAACGAATACGCGAGACCTCCTCTATTCTGAACCTAGAAATATCTTCGTGATATAATCTATCTTTAGAGTTCAATAAGATCAATCATTTAGTTGTGAAAAAATAATAAACATACAGATAGCAGGCAATTTTTTGAATTATAATGGATATTAATTATATTATTGTATGATCTGGGATACTGGAACAGTTCCATGATTGTGTCAGAATTTCAGGCTTACATCGTATCTTTACCTCTAACAAAATAATAATAGGTGCATTAATTTATTCATACATTTTATATGCGGAAATACAGATCAAAGTTTAACAAAGACCTCTTTGCATATGTTTTGTATGGCCTAAAAACAGATAACTGTAAATATTTATTTTAATGCTATAAGCAATAGTGCACATATTTAATTCTCTAGTTTATTTAGACAATGTGTGTGGATGTCAGTAACAGATTGCAATTTTATGCTCGGATGCAAATCAAAGTGTTATTCAATGGCACAATTATACAAGCCAGTTGTTCCTATAAATAACAACTACGAGGTAAATAGAAATAAATGCTATCAGCATTAATATACATTATCTGATTATTGCTACATTTTATTTAGTAGATCTATTATTTTATATGTTGTACTAGGTGACCCCGCAAACGTTTTTTTGCTATATAAATCAAAATCGCTATTAAAAAGTAGAGGTTAGTGATAGAAGGGTGAAAATTTAGGGTTGTATGTATTTTTTAATGCCATATTATAAATAAATAAAAAAATTGTCCAAATAATAAAATTAAAATGGTGGTGGAAAATCCTCATCACTTAGGGCTTTGAAATATTGATAGTAGCTAATTCTCAGACTTACTGAATATGCATATAAAATTTCATAAAAATCGGTTAAACCGTTTCAGAGGAGTATGGTAATTAATACCACAGGTAACATTTTTTTTTAAAACGATACCTTAATATATAAGATTCAGAGTGTCGGCGCCTAATGGTTTATTACTCCTGTTTAGAAACCAGAGTCGTTTGATGAATGAACGACTGACTGAATGACTGAACTGACGAAATAAATCTGAACTGAATGAATCTGGCTGACAACAAAAATCCTTGTATGTAGATTTAATTTTTCCGACTGAATTTCAGGCCACGGGACTACTAATAACGAACTAAAAAATATCTGAGTGACGGCTATTGACTTTATTGTATACAAGTAGACACACTTATGTTAAAATATGCTCAGCGAAATGTGGGTACGTCAAATGTTGCATTCACCGCGTCAATGAACGACAATGTCTCTGACTATCAAATTTGGGATAATAGTCGCGAATGTATTATAATAAGGTATTGCATGTATATTGCAGCTCAATTATATATTTCAATTACTTAAGAGCAAACTTTAAAGGCCTCGATGGTCTAGTACTTCAGCACACCCACTTTTTTTCTACGGTCGCGGGAACGATTCCTCGCACGGCACAAACATTTATATTCATGAGTATGATTGTTTGTATCAGTCTGGGTGTTTTGTATGTATAATATGTATGTATTTAGGAAAAAAAATAATGTATTTATGTTTATATATAAATTTTACATAGATCACTCACTTACACACATACACACATACGCACATACGCACATACGCACACATACACACACATACACACACACACACATATACACATACACACACACACATGCTCAATGCACTCCACGTTTAAACTTAAAACTAGATGTATAACTAATTTATATGAAGGGGAGACCTGGTGTCTAAGTTACAGGCTATGGCTTACTTTGGGCTCCAGATTTCCCACAAATTATATTTGTGATTTTTATTTGTTAGCATTTATATAATAAAACTAAAATTATGTAATTTGTGGAGATGAAATAAAATATATTTATTTATTTATTTATTTATTTGTATCAGTTGTCTAGTACCCATAACACAAGCTTTAGCTAGCTTAACTAGTTACCTCGGGTCCTAGATAGTACTGTGTGAATTATCCTAATATTGTTATTATTATTTATCTAAATATAGTAAGTAATATAAAGGCATCTCTTATCGTGTCATTTGAATAATAAATGTTCAATTATAATTACTATGTCATTTTACTTGCTAATATAACTGGATTGAAATCATAAACAGAAAATCGTATTAAACGCAAGATTGCTAAATATTGATAAGATAATTAGTGGTAACTAGATAGATACAGTACAGTAGTAACTGGTTACAATAGTAATCGCTTATTTATATCGTGAAATACGAAATATTGTAGTAAGAAAGCTAAAAAAATAGACAGTGAATTATAATCTCAGTATTTTGCTTCCTGAGTCAGAACACAGGTGGCTAAACTTTCTAAACATTTAGTTTCTTAATTTTTAGCACGAGATTGAATATATATATCATAACACTTCTTATCACAGTTTTAATTTTAGTAATGTCTAATATTCATATATAACTTGAATAATACTACTATATTAATTGGCCTATTAATTACAATAATTAAACATAACTCAGGTAAACATCATATTGTTTAATTGCACTTTCTGAAATGCACATGACAGTGATGTACCTATCTGAGCTTCTGTATGGCCTTGTTAATTGTAAATGCCAGCTTCCTGGACGACAGCTTTGCACCGGTTTTGAAAACGAGATCGCCCTTAGCTTTTGTGATTCTTTTGTATAAATACGCTACGATGTATTGCAAGGGCATCAGTTGTCCTCTGCAACAAGACAAACCACAATGTACAAGTTCATAGTATTGTGTGCTTTCCTCGCCTCGGCTGTTGCCGACCCTCAGCCTGAGCCCCATCCGGAGCCTCAACCTGAGCCAGGCACCTTTATTGCGCCTCTACCGATCAGTCCCTACGCAAGTGTTGTACTACCAGCATCTACGACGATTACAAACCAAGCTAGCAGTGTTCTTCATCCGTCTCCATACATCATCAACGCGCCATTGGCCTACTCGCATTTCATCAAGAAACGCTCGGCACCACTGACGTACTTTTCACCATCTTACGTTGCATCTCCGGCTTTGGCTACCACCTACAGCGCGCCTCTCGTCCAGGGTGCACCTCTCATCTCATCACCATACGTTGCTCCACTGCCCTACGTTGCTGCAACACATTTAATCAAGAAGCGATCTGCTCCCTTCCTACCTAAAACGTACATCGCTCCCACAACCTACGCTGGCACACCTCTGTTGGCTTCACCTTACTTTTCCACACCTTACATTTCCTCGCCCCTGATTCACACCGCGGCTCCAATTATCCCGCAGCCCGTCACTCACTTCATCAAGAAGCGTTCTGCCCCTTTCATCGGTCTTGCCCCAACTTCCTACTCCCATCAGTCCAGAATTGATCTCCATTCTACCCCACTTTTCAATACTCCCTATGCTTATTCTCTGCCAGCTGCTCCCATCACCTACCCCCATTTACTCTAAACTGTGTTAACGTTAGAGTATCTACTAAAAAGTCAGTTTCAATTTGAAAATATAAATTCATTGTAAATCCTAAATTACCAATAACCATATTATGTTCCACTATGTACATATATTTCAGATATTTTTCAATTGTTTATAAATAAGATTTGGGATAAATATATATATTTTTACTCTTTACACTGGTTTGATTATTTATGAAAACAATTGGTACCAATTATTTCGTTATCACAAAAAATACAGATTAATGTATTAAACTTTTTAACTGACATTATTATATGTTAATAATGCCTTTATTGGTAATAATTAAATTAAAAAATATTTAGGTACAGTTTTTAATAATTTGCAATATTTAAGAAATCTAGAAAAATTAAAATAATATTTATAATCATTCATAATAGGCCTTGGAGTTTAAGTGCATTTTATTAAGTATATATAAAGAAAATGTCTACATATGTAACATATCTATATGAAATAATAAATTCTATATACTTCAACTGTGTCCTCCTTCAGAGATCGACCGTGAATCAAATTCGAGGCCCCTCCGTTCGCTTGGCAACCCTGTTTGATAGGTTATTTATATTGACATCTAATATTATGTAATGAATTTTTCATTTCAGAAAATCAGGTTACCATAACTACTATGTCAACCTATTTACTCATTCAGTACAATATTATACCTGGCATTGGTATACTTATAATCATATAATACTCTTATTATCATTCGGTATAGAAACACATACTATATTTATTACTTTATTAATTTTACAAAACACTTACAATTAATAGGCACATAATAACTATTGAAAAAATGACAAATGAATTTATAAATTAGTGAGATCTGCAAAATAACTTACCTACCTTATCATAACAAAAGAACATACACTAATTTATTGCCAGCTTTTTTACAAAAAAACTTTATGACAATTACAATAGAGATGTTTAACTATAAACTATAGACGTTCTTTCGTACATAGTTACTTAATAATCTTTCATTTTACATTTTCGAAAAAAGCTAAATTTAAATAGCGTAATGATCTAGTTTCACTATATTTAAACGAAAGATATAAATCACTGCGACAATTTTATTCTTCTTTATGTAGTTCAGATGTAAATTCATCATTTGCGATATTTTCAAACTTTTTGTAAGTTGCTGTTGATGTTTCAAAAACTAGCTGTTGGTGGCCTAAATTGTGTTCCCGATTTTCTTCAATGTAATTTTCTTTTATTATACCATTTTCTTTATTCCTCGATTTGAACTGTTCCTTTTGTTCATAAGCTTCTTGCAATTTATCAATAGAAATTGGATGTTCTAGAGCTCGCGCTAATGGAAGATTATGAAATATTGTTAAAGCGATTGGAGTAAGAACTGTATTTGATGTCAATGTAGGAGCAAAGGCGAGCACTTTTTTGTTATTTTCTGCCTCCGGGTGACTTGCGTATATCGTAGTAGCTGGACTGTAAACCAATGGTGCGGAAATAATGGCAGGCGTGTGTTTGATATCAATTCTCGATTGGTGAGACACTGCACTTGGAGCCGCGTATATGATCGGCATATTGCATTGAACTTTTGCAATCACACTTATTGTTAGAAATAGTCGAATCATTTTGAAGCGCACAATACTTGTAGTATATCATGTGAAGGGCCATAGAGTTTTATAGGCATATAACGGTAGATGATACGCCACGGCGCCGGCGGTGGCAACGAGTTCAAGTTCTCGGCCGATGGTCTTCAACGGGTCGTTGCGTCACCGCAATCTCCAGGGCACTGGCCGGATTTGAGATGCACGTATTATAAAACGTCATTTATGAATATTAATGATCGATGCACGTAAGACTGTTACTTAAATGCAATTGGGCTTGATTGATGTGGGTTAGAGAACAGGAATGACAATGTATTACGAAATAATGTCGTAACGCTTATCGTAGATTTTATAAATGATGTACGTGGTTATTGTAAATATCCAATATAGTTTCCAGGTATTTGATATCTTTTGCCTTTTTGTAGCATACTACGAAGTAACTAGTACTCCATAGAGTACTAGTTCTATCCCACGTTGCTATCTCAGTAAAAACTCTTACAAGGTAAACTTTATATATAATATTATTAAACTTTATTATTAACCGTATTAAATTTTATTGCAAATTACCTTGCATATATTTAGCATAAAACGAAACTTACTTAAATAATTACGCTGTACATTGGGATTATTCACACTTATTGATTCATTATGGAACAATTATGACTGTGCTAATTCTGTACAATATGTTTAAAATATTGATTTCATTCATTTAAGGAAAAATGATATAATAATACGGTTGAATAATATGTAACCATGTTACCTCAGAGTTCTGATTTAAAACGAAAAGAGGAACTCCTTCTTTTTTGAAATCAGTTAATATATTTACCTGTATATACATATATACCCATATATTACTGGACTACTAATAGTATGTAGATTAAATAATTGGTGTAATCTAGTGACAATTATTATCCTGCAAATTAATATTACATTGAACAATTTCTGTCCATAGACATTTATAGCATAATAAACTGAGCAAGTTATAATTAACATTTGGTACAGTACTATTTGTTGACACTGTACGCAATCTATTACTTCCCATTTATAATTGCTCATAGGCTATTTTAAATCAACTTATAAAAACTACAAATTCCATTTTTTGTTTGCTGTTAACGACAATAACGACAATCACTATGTTTAATAGCGTGTCGAATCTATTATTCGTTACTCAGTCCTGTCACTTTGATTCAGCATTCATAGTATAAGAAGGGAATACTCCAGATATCAGGCACCAGTTTACTTGTTTCACTGAAACCGAATAGCCAAAATGGTTTTCTTCGCGGTATTATTTGCTTGCCTTGTCCTGTGCAGCAGTCATCCAATATTACCGTTAGTGGTTCCAGCGGCTCATACACTGCATTCACCTATTATAGCGCCATATTCACAGCAGAGTTATATTGGACAGGGTCTGCTGGGTCAAACTTTGTGGGCCAAACCGCTCGGACATCATATTCTGAAAAGATCTCCACATTTAGTGGCCCCATTGGCTCACGGCGCGCTGGGTCTTGGCCCCGTTGCTCCGATCGGGCATGTAGCTTCTGTAGCTCATATCGCACCAGTTGCCGTCTCTCAGCAGTCTCGCTTAGATGTCCGGACATCACCAGCAGTAGTCGCTGCACCAGTTGTTCCTGTCGTGAAACCTATAGCCCCTGTGTTAGCTGCACCTCTTCTTCAAAAAGCATTGGTTGCGGCACCTTTGCATTATGGAGTTGGACATGGACTTTATGGAGCAGGATTAGGACATTACGGATATGGACATGCAGCTGCTCTTTCACATTTGGGCCATTATTAGTTTTGGAGACGTTGTAATGTGCATGTTTATAGCCTAGCTCTTTTGGTTTTGTGATTATTATTGTATAAAGTAGAGTTTAGATGTTGTAAAGAATATATGATGAATTATCATTACAACTTTGTTTTACTTCTATAGCTACTATACAAAACTGTAGTTTCTAATAGTTTTAAAACCCAACTATAACTTTCATACAATCCATTAATAAATCTTAAAGTAACATTTTTTCTTCAGAAAATAATAGTCTTGTGAGCATGTGTTTCTTTTACAGATCTACTTTTTAATTTCTCTTTGACTTGCTAAAATTTTTAAACAAGGCATTTATAAATAATAAAATATACTATGAGTTACCTATACATAGTAAAAAACTACGTATAAATGAATTTCAAAATTATTTGATATTATTGTATAGTCATTCAAAATTAAAATTCAATGTTATTATGAAAAACATCTTTTTTATAACGTTACGGATTTAGACATATTATTTTTCTATTGTACACTGTTGTGTATGCGTCCATTTAATTATTAATTATATTTTGTTTATTATTTTTACTGAGTAATTAAAGTATAATTTAATACTCTAGACCTGGACAGGTTTAATATGGAAATAATTTTTTATATAGCTCAATATGTATATTTAAAACAAAGAAGTCGCTTTGGTCGTATGTTACACCTAATATCTAGACTTATACACATATATAAGTCATATCAATATGTGTCAAATATGTGTGGTACATGTATTGGGTATAGTTAATTATTACACTCTAGCAGGACAAAATAAGTACAATAAAATTATATTACAAATTCATTTATTTAGGCAGTGCTTTACAAAATTTCTATCATTGATCAGACTTAGGTAATTAAGTCATTAAGTTTACCAGGGATGGACGCCGTATGCTCTGGGGACAACAGCAGAGTAGGCGACGGGGGCAGCATAAGAGGAAACAACAGGGGCAGATACCACTGGAGAGGAGTAACCGGATACGAGTGGAGCACTGTAGGCAACAGGGCTCACGGCGGGAGCAACCACGGAACTGTAGGCCACTGGAGCGACGCCAACAGATCGCTTGCGGAGGCTGTGTATGGCGAGAGCCTTAGCCTGGTAGTGGGCGGCACGGGCGGCGACAACTTCAGGTGTATCTAGGGGCACACCGTTGATGGCATCCAGGACGACAGCGGGGGAGTTAGGAGCTTGAGCGACAGCGCCAACAACAGCTGGGCTGACGGCAGAGACCACAGCGGGAGCGACGGCAGGAACTACTGCGCGGCCGTAGGCAGGAGCGACCACAGAAGCACTGTATACTGATGGTACACTATATACTGATGGTGCGCTGTAGACTGCTGGGGACACCACGGGAGCACCGTGCACCACACTGGAACTATATTGCGACACCGAGCTTACAGCAGGAATGCCAGCAGAGTACGCCAATGGCGCCACTGAAGCCACCACGCTGGGCTTGGCCGCCGCCAAAGCTGCTACGGAAAACAACACCACCAGCTTGTACATTGTGGTCTGTGTTGAGTTGTCTGATCGATGATATCGGATCGACTGATGCTTAATACATCTCAATGAGAGCTTTTATAGTACTTATCTAATTTGAATTATGACTAGCAAAAAATGCCACACAATCACCTTCAAACTAATCTGTGCCTTGGTATTCAAAATATTTATTAGTACTATAGGCGTATGTATTTTTTTAAGGCTTAACTTCCGTCATTATTTATTGACTTTGTACTTACTAAAAGTGTAATTATTATATATTATTCTTCGTTATGCATATGTATATATGTGTAATAGCTTATAATGTGATTCACGTCATTATTCGATTTACATAAGATATTCGATTTATGTTTTATTAATACTGTTTGCTTGTTATTCAAATGTACTACTTGAAGTCATCATTCTCTTAGTTTTGTGGCCTACTTAATTAACTAAGTTTGCTATGATAAATGTTTACATCTATAATAATACAAAATATTAAAAACTGCACAAAATATATATGTAAAGTTCAACAATTTGGTTTATTGGGATAATTAGTAGAAAATTTTAAGATCCGGTATTAAGGGTACGGTACTATACCAAAATATTGCTATATGTCAATGTCACTAAGAAAAACCAGCCCTCTAGTCCTTTATATGTATGGAAACATTAAATAATAATCTATTATAACTACTATATAAGAAAAAATTGATTTTATTTATTATACAAATATTCGATATCGATTTTATGAACAGTGATATAAAGATTCCAGTTTGATATGTACAAAAACTATTAAAAACTATTAATATATATAATAAAAAATATATATTAAACAGTGAAATATGTGTAATTGGGATAGTTTTCAAAGTCAAAGCAAACAAAGTCACGGGCATTCTCGAGTAATAGTGCATAAGTTGACATTGATTTATCGAATTGACATGTTGATGGTATTTAAGTCTTTTGAAAGTGAACTAACTAGATTAATTGTCGTTTAGTGTTTGCTTTCAATCAACTACAACAAGAACGAAGTTTTTTATTATTTTCACTATATTTTTGGTCTTCGTTAAGATCAAGTTAATGAATGGGATCTCATCTTCGACTCTGTATCGACAAAATTCAACTTTTTGAAATTTACTCGGATGTAGGGGGCCTCTGTTCTAATGATTATTCAATTTTCTTATTATTTTATTTAAACCTTTCAATATGTAGGTGTTCTTTTCTATTGTATTGTCTACAATACGAAGCGATGTTGTTATGAGCGGTTTTGAATATATTATAGTTTAGGTAGGTACTAACTGAAACCAGTGGTTTATATTCCAGAGCAAACAACGTACTGAGTTGCTACCTTTTTGCATTACTGTGGTACACATAAAGAAAGAATAAAGGAATAACAAAAATTTATATATTTATATTGTGATTACTTCTACTTATATACTCCCTGCTTTTTTTGTAATATATGTTGTGTTGTAAAATGTATGTGTGTCTGTTGATGCGATTATACTAAATATCTATCTATCTATTTCTTTTGTTATCTATTCTCTTATAGTATTAATTATCCTTTAAAGTTTATAGTGTGATTAATTAATTAACTTCAGCAATTTACTGCACTTATAGGTTATAATTGTTAGGTCAAGTTTTTGTGTACAATACTGTAAAATTAAATAGATGTTAATATAAAAAGTTTCTCTTACGTATAATTAGTAAAAATCACGGGATATTATCACATTTTATTTTTATTGAGTTCCCTATAATTAATCCCTTGATTTTTAATAATTACTCGTATAATAATGACCGCGTCAAATTTAAAACAGTGATATGGATAATAATACCATGTTTCTTTGTTTTATATGTTGTTGTTGTATATACGTTTTTTATTACATCATAAGTGCTTCATTATAATTGCGGCTTCTTCCGAGTTATTATAACTTTTTGAGCTTTATACATTATTGTCTTAAGTCATTTTGAAATGTTTTCATTATGTTATTCTGAATTAATTTGTCTTTCATAAGACATACAATAATGATAGGTATAGAATTTCCAAAGACGTTCCAGTAGTTCCCGATTTCATTTTCTTTAAAAAAAATCCCTTATCTGTCCCTATATTAATACTGGTAATTAATTCTTATTAGCCATTTTTTTATTTTAATTGAGACGGTATTTTTATGTGCATGTGACGTAATATTGCTGTCAATTGTACATTGACTTCGATGAACCTATTTGAAATCGAGAGTGTTTATATACTCGTATATGTTTCAATGATTTTCGTATGGTATGAATTTGTCGAACACTTCATCTTAGTTGGAGTAAGTCATTTGCGGAATAATATTATGTATTATTTAGTTTTAACCGCGGTCAAGAAGAAATGAAGGAAAAAATAACTATACTGACCTAAAAGTGGCGAGCTGGATGCCTATTGTCATGTCAATTTTCTAAAGCACAACACATATCTCGCTCGCTAAACTATCTTTAAACATTGGTGGCACATATACATAAAATCAGTCAACAAGTTAAAGAAGGAATCCATAACCAAATTTATTATTGCGTATAAAATATTAAATGAACTTTCATTTGATATACAAACAAATGACTAGATTAGATGACATAGAAATATTACCTTTTACAAAACTGGGCAATGAAAAATATTGCTCACGATAATGTATTATAGAAAAAAGAAAATTAGATATTTGAAGGAGTATAGCTATATATAAATTATAAATTATCTTACAATATTACAGAAATGCTGCTGTAATATTGTAAGATAATTAAAATAATAAAAACTTTTAAAAATAAAAACTCTTATGCTGAAAAGAAAATTGATCTCTGTAACACAAAAAATTAAAATGGGATTTGTGATTTATCTTAATTAATAAAAAATATAACAGTATCGATGAGTAAATAAGTTAGTTAGAGTAAATAATTGATTGTCTGAACAATCAACTATTTAGTTTGTGCAAATACCGACAAAACATAGAATTAGCAAGAACATATTATAGTATAAACTAATTTTGTATGCCCAGTTTTTAACTCATACATATTATTTTCCATATTATTATATGGAAAATAATCTCATGTGAGTAAAAAAGTAAAAAAGTATTTTGTATTAATTTGAGAAATAAAATATCTTGAATCGTAAAAGTCACTCAAATTATCAGTACAATTTTTGTATATTGTTTGAATTACAAGGTTTTTTGACTTTTTGTTACACTTAAATCTTGTATATTAAATTCTTATTCTATTAACTATAACAGATACCAGCCTTTTTAGATTTCTATATGTTCTGTAATATTGTTGATATATTGATTTTTAAGTTAAGCGTAACGGCGAATGCTAACTATATCTGACAAATGAAAACGTCTCCATTAAGTATTTACTGTATTAATTTAAATTTTATATATAATATCTTGAGAAAAAATAGTTGTGTAGTTCTTAATACGTTCTTCTTCTTTTTATTATAACAACAAAAATATTATTATAAGAATAATAATTGTTGTCAAAAGATTAAAAATAAAATAACAGATTAAATATTATATAAATTTTATTTAAACTCTAGTTACTAACATTTTTTAGTTTGATAGTACGTACCGAAACATTTAATATTCCGATTTCCGTAGCAATGTCTACCAAACTTTAGTTATTACAGGCGAGGAAAGTGCTAATGGTGAGGAGAGACCAATGGGTGAGGAGAGACCAATGGGTGAGGAGAGACCAATGGGAGAAGAGAGACCAATGGGCGAGGAGAGACCAATAGGGGAGGAGAGACCAAGAGGGGAGGAGAGACCAAGAGGGGAGGAGAGAACTGGGCCCGCACTATAGGTGGAAATAACAGGACCAGCAGACAGAACGGGGGATGTAATTAAAGGTGCAGAACGTTTGCGAATCAGATGGGCGCCAGCCAGTGTGCTGGCTTGTAAAGGAAGAGCACCGGTGGTGATCACTTGAGATGCACTGAGTGGAATTCCAGGTGCAGCAAGAGCTGGACCAACGAGGGCTGGAGCGGCAATAGCAGAAGTTCCCAAAACACTTGGCGCGATAACTGGCGTAGCGATGGGTGCGCTCCTGATGAGAGTTGGTGCAATAGCGGCTGTGGTTAGCGGTGCAGCTCCAATTGTTAAAGGCGCAGGTCCGATCGGCAAAGTGGCAACGGGTGCACCATAGGAAATCACTCCGGCGTTCAGAAGTCCTGATGGCTTGGCGGCGGCCAAAGCTACCACTGATAATAACACCACTAATGAATTCATTGTAATAGTTTTTGTTGAATCCGACACAATTAGCAAACGTATAAGAACAACTGATGCTCACTATTGATTTCTGTATGTATTTATACTGTCTACAGAAGTGGTTTCCATAAATTCAAGTTCAACAAGTCACATTTTGTCCTTGTGTATGTAATATTTGATCAAATCGCATCATGCAATATCTCCATAAATTTACAACATACCGACCAAAACAATGAAGGAACGAACCGAACAGCTGATGTAATAAAGTCACATATTTCAAACTTGGTAATTTTGTAAATTAAGTATGGAATGGAATGCCAACTCTTCAAATGCTTCCGTCATAGAAAATTCAATTACATAAGATATTATACGAAGAAGGTAAAAATAAAAATATATTATCACAAAGCAAAGAGGCACTACGACTTAATTCAATTCAAGGCAAAGAGATTATAACGGGCGCCCACCATTTAGGTACTGTAGTCCACAATGGTTTGTATATAGTTAGACAAATAAGTGAATTATAAATAAGTAGGTATTAAATCTAAGTAAAAGGGTCAGAATGTGTATTATTAAATATTTATTTATGCATTATTTTAAAAGTTACTAACAAAATATTAGAATTCTACTATTTACCGAGGTAGAGTTTGTAAAATTTCGTCTGCTTGTAACTACTTCTGTGTCACTTGTTTCAGCCGCAAAACAATTTTCTTTGTAATATTTATTTCGGTTGAAAGTGACAACAGTAAAATTAGAGGAGATGGAGTAATGTCATCTTAGTCCTGAATGGCAACATATGAGTGATGATGTGATTAGTGTAGAGTAGTACTGTTCATGTACCGAAGCGACATTTCCCATTTACATTCATGTCACATAAAAAAACATTGTAATTTTAATTATATAAATATTTGCAGGTTTTTAGTTGGTTGGCTTTAGCATCTAAAAGAGATTTTGACGATCATGTTTCCAAGCCATATGGTATACTCGCGTGTCGTTTTTTTGTCAACGTTTAAAAACATGCGACAATAAAGTATTGAATTTATTGCAATAAAAAAAGGTCTCAAATTATTAATACTTAGGTGGGTATAGGTCAGGAAATGCAGATTTCTATAACATTTTAACAGATTATTATTACATTAGCTAGGACATAAATAGCATCAAGAATCAGCTTAGCTGTCTACTCTATTATGTAACTATTAAGTTGTTCGGAAAGTAATTTAGTTTTTCCTGACTGAGAATTGAATTGAATTTTTATATATTTTGAGAGCTCATATAGCAAGGCTTGTGTGTGAAAAATACCAATTAATTCTAGGCAGTAGTTTTTGGTTGGTACCCTTTTAAATATGGAGAGCCATAAGCAGCATTTTCGACATATCTTACTGTTTTACTACAGAAATGGCAAAAATGTTATTCAAACCAGAAATAGATTGAGCGATGTGTGTGGAGAAGGTGTGTTAACAGTACGCCAGTGCCAGAACTGGTTCGCTAAATTTCGATCCGGCAATTTTAATGTCGAAGGTGCACCACCCTCGGGAAAGCCAGTTGAAGCTGATAAAGGCATTGGTGGATGCGAACCGGCGAATAACAGCACTTATAATAACATCCCAGGCCTTTTAAGTGGTCATAAATTGTTAAATTTGATAAATTTAACTTCACTCCGATCTCACGTGTTTTTATTCACCGGTTGGCACTCCACACACATCGGTCAATTTCTTTCTGGCTTAAACAGCATTTTTGCCCTTTCTATAGTAAAACAGTTAAGATATGTCGAAAATGCTGCTTATGGCTCTCCATATTTAAAAGGGCACCAACCAAGAACTACTGCGTAGAATTAATTAGTATTTTTCACACACAAGCCTTGCAATATGAGCTCTCAAAGTATATAAAAACTATAAAACTTAAGTTGAGTGCAAAAAATACAATTAAATCCTCAGTGAGGAAAAAATGAGATTACTTTCCAAACAACCTAATATAATTGAAAACAGTCCTCTTGAAGAAAAGTGAAAAACGTGAATTATACATGAGCCGTCACGTTAACAAGTGCTACCCGTATCTGACTATGACTGATGTGATCTGACTATTTAATAACAATACCTGTATGTATAATTAGCATGAAGCTGTTGTTAAGAAGTAAACATTTCATAGAATACATTCTATGAATGAACTACAAAAAAATTGCTTAAAAATGTATTATAGTAACGAATAGTACTGTTAATATAAGTTTTTAATGTAGTACATTTAAAACTTGTATTAACAGTATTTAGAAGCTCCTTCCTATCGTTGACGGTTTATTATAAAATAATTATATCCTTAAATTAGCAATAAGTGGAGAAATGTATGTCTTTTCAGGTCGACCTTACATGCTGGAGACATTCGTAGTTCATTCCTGGAAAACTCATTACGAACGCTTACTAATTGACCCAATTTCATCGTCACCCTTACAATATTAAAGTGATTAGTACTAGGCAGACATACTGTAATATTATTACAGTATTAACGATGGGTATTAAATAAAAAATACTACTCTAATTTGATCATTACTATATTGAAATACCCTTGATTGAATAATCAACTTATGTTATAAAGAAAGTGAGTTTCTTTATTAGGCGCAATTCAATCATACCAAGTATGTAATTTAACAACTTTTAATAATCATTCATTGATGGTTACACCGTGATTGAAATTTATTTAAATTTTACGATAAAACTTTTATCAACAACGTCTATTGTCAAAGACTATATATACATATATACCAAATACTATATATATGTGTGTATGACAAACATAGTAGTGTGTATTTTTATTAATCTGAGTTAGTTTCAACATTATTTTAAAATGAGAAAATATGAGACTTCTTTCTTCATTTGGCCATAAATAGCAAAATTTCATAATCATCCATTTGTCTGTTGTCTTAAAAATGAGTACGAAGTTTTTGCTTCACTAATTAATACTATGAATTAGGATGTACCAAATTATTATGATTATAGATAGAATAGAATAGAAAATCATTTATTCAAAACGAATCCGAACGGGCGGTAGATAAAAAAAAATTGTTATGACTATTTAATTTATGTCATAACAATTTTTTTTAGCTGTCTCATTACAAGAAGAACGAGCAAGAAACTTGTATGATGCTGATAGCATATATAAATACATTTTTAGATTGAACAATCACTCTGTATGGATTTTATGATGAAAAATTAATAGGTACGAGTACGAGTATAAAATTGTTAGAATATTTAATATTTTCTAACATATTATCTTCAGCAACTTTAGGTGATTAATCTGAAATCGAAATGCTCTAATTCATAAAAATATAATTTATTATGTGACATGGATAAATAAATAAGGGTTTATAAACCATGAGAAATGTAGATAATGAAATACAAAGTAGTGTTTTCTACGGAATTATATTACTGTTTTTTATTGGATTACTATAACAATTACTTATTACAACTATCTAGATATATATAATTAATTTATAGCGTAATATAAAATTGTTGCATGCTTAGTGCTTTATTTTAAAGTAGATACTGTGGTGAAGTGTTCAAAATAAAATAACAGAATAAGTAATAATAATTTTATTTAAAATTTGTTACTAGCGTCCTTTAATTTGAATTTATATATCAAAACGGGAATTACTCCCGTTTCCGTAAAATTTCCTACCAAGCTCTAGCAATAAGAGGAGATGAGAGGGCTAGTGGCGAGATACCGATTGGTGAGACGATGGGACCAGCTGGTAATGTGGAGATAACGGGAGTTGCACTATAGGTAGACACAACAGGGCCAGTAGATATAATGGGGGATGTTAACAAGGGAGCAGAACGTTTACGAATTAGATGGGCACCGGCCAGCGTACTAGCTTGTAAAGGAAGAGCACCCGCAGCGATCACTTGAGAGGCTCCGAGCGGAATTCCAGGTGCTAGAGCTGGGCCGACTAGGGCTGGAGAGGCGATAGCAGAAGTTCCCAAGACACCTGGAGCTATAACTGGCGTAGCGATGGGTGAGCTTCTGATGAGAGTTGGTGCAATAGCAGCTGCCGTTAACGGTGCTGCTCCAATTGTTAAAGGCGTAGCGGCTGGCACAGTACTGATAATGGTAGGAGGAGAGTTGATGTCAATCCGAGACTGCTGCGAAACGGCAACTGGTAAAGTGGCGACAGCAGGTGCACCATACGAAATCACTCCGGCATTCAGCAGTCCTGAGGGCTTGGCTGCGGCCAAAGCCACTACGGAGAATAACACCACCAACGAGTTCATCGTGGTCTGTGATGATTCTGGTATCAACGATAAGCGAATAAGAGTAACTAATGCCCAAAGCTGATTTTGTGTGTATTTATACTGTTTACTGAAGTGGTTTCCATAAATTCAAGTTCAACAAGTCTTGAGTATCAAATATTCAGCTGAGATGGATCATGCAATATCTATATTAATTTGCAACATACTATCTATCAGTCTAATAAGATAGGAAGGAACGTACCTCTACCTACCTCTGATTTGATGTATATATAAATTATTATTAGATTTAAATTATAATTTTTATTTATACTACGATGATCAAGCATACACCCCATCTTACGGTAAACGGTTATGCCGCCTGAAACAGGAGTGTCACCTGCGCATTGCCATCCCTTAGATGGTTCATTAAAATAGCAGTTGAAACTTACAAAATAATTACAAATCCTGTCACTATTTCATTACATAAATTAAATAATTCATAGTTTTACATTTTAAAAACAAATAAAAATAATAAGCAGAATACATGCTCAACTAGTTTAGAGGAATTATTATGTAAAATACTTATGTAAATGAAATAGTTGTAACGTTATGATATGTTTCTTCCGATCGGCATATTTTAAATTATATATTGTTACGAATAGTAATTCTAATCAGCTTCAGGTATTTTGTTATGATTGACAGATATTTAACAAATTTAATATTTAATGTATGACTTGGTTGTGAGTTTGAAACCCATATAGTACAAAAATTGGTATTCATGAGTATATCTGTTTGTATTGAATCTGTTTCTAATCCATAAAAGAAAGATGTGTCAATATAATTTGACGGCGATGGTAGCACACCGCCTAACTTCAGATGGTCGCGGGCTATTGATGCGCGGGCGGACGATGCTATTCCTTGCACGGTACAAACAATTGTATTCATGAATATGATTTTTTTATAGGTTTAGGCGTTTTCTATGTATATTATGAATGTATTTATAAAAAAATGTGTCTAGTTAGGTAGTAGTCATATGAATTATCTAGTACCCATAACACAAGTTCTGCTTAGCTTGGGACTAAATGGTGCTATGTGAATTTTCTTGAGATAATATTACTTTGTTTTGTTTTTAAATGTAGGTACATATATCCAATGGTAATTTAACGCTATTATTGATATATTAAGTGATTATTGAAAAAGTACCGACTTATTATTTTAATCTTTATTCACTACTTATTTACAAGCCATACTATCGTTCGATGTAACCTGAACCGAGGAACTGTTTCCTCAGTTTCCGTGGTGACGTTCACCAGGGGTGCACACTGTAGGCCTTTGTAATAAGAGGAGTAGAGAAAGCCACTGGAGCAGAGTATGCGGAAATGACAGGGGCAGCAGCCAATGTGGACACGACCGGAGCAGCGCTGTAAGCGGATACGATGGGGGCGCCGAGGAAAGGTGCTGAACGTTTCTTGATCAAGTGTGCACCGGCGAGAGCCTTAGCTTCAAAATGGGCAGCACGAGCAGCAATCACTTCAGGAGTATCAAGTGGCACAGTGGGACCCACAAGGGCGGGTGATGCAATAGGAGTCTTCAAGTAAGCAGAAGCGATGTAGGATGTGGCGACATCGGCGGTCTTGTACAATGTCGGTGCAATGGCTGCCGTGGCTAGTGGTGCGGCGTAGGCGAGAGGTGCAGCAGCGGCTACGGTACTGACAATGGCAGGAGAAGACTTCACATCGATGCGGGACTGAGATGAGATTGCAGCAGGAGCGGCGTAAGCTGCTGGGGCGGCAACCAACGCAGGCTCAGCATAGATGGTGCGGGCAATGGGAGCTACGGCGGCAGTGGCTACCACAGCCGGGGACGACTTGATGTCCAGGCGAGACTGGGATGACACAGCGGCAGGGGCGGCGTACAGTGCTGGGGCGGCAACTAGTGCTGGCTCAGCAATGATGGTGCGTGCAACAGGCGCTACAGCGGCGGTAGCTACCACAGCCGGTGATGACTTGATGTCGATGCGAGACTGTTGCGAGACTGCAGCCGGGAAGGTGGCGACGTCAGGTGCAGCATATGAAAGAACTCCTGCGGTAAAGGGTACCGATGGGTGGGCAGCAGCCAACGCCACCACGGAGAACAACACCACCAGCGAATTCATCGTGGTCTGTGATAGTTCAGGTGTGAACGACGAGTGAATAAGATTAACTGATGCTTTCTTCTGATACGCGAATGCATTTATAGTGATCGCAATACAGTTGAAAGAAAAGTCAAGTACACCGAGACCGGTTAATCATCGTAATAATAGGATGGAAAGTCAAGTAGTTTTCAATGACATAACTATAATATTAATAAAACAGTATTAATGACAAATATGAAAATGTACTAAAATAAATAAACTTAGATGAAATTAAATTAGCAAACAATATAATTTTGATGTAATATCACTCGTGATTTTTCAATGTTATTTTTGTAATAGTTAGTATAGCTGATTTTGTTTTCAGAACCAATTATTTATCTATAATTAGGTAGTATTCATAAAAATAATACCTAGTTAAAACATGAAGTTTCTAATCCAAATCATAAACGATAATAATCAATATATTTAATATCCTGTTAGTATCCGATTCTTCTAGTAGCTTCTTAGTATATATATATATGTACTGTTATTTATTTATCAGACTGGATATCAATAACAATAATTATATACTTTCATGGTCAGCCCCAACCGATAACCAGAGATGTTGTTGTAGTAACCGCAATATTTGACATACACACATACCCTTTAGTATTTGAATCCAATTGAGTTGCAGGATGCGAGCTGTCACATGGATTAATTTGGTATGTTATGCATGTTTACATCGCCAGAGAGTGACAAGTGTCTCTCCGCATTTATTTTCGAACTTGCAACTTTTACGTTGTACTTACCTATATAGGGTTATTAACCAGTAGGGCAGAAACGCACACCAACGTAGTACTGCGCGATAGTAATATTAGGGCATGTATTTACGGTGACAAAAACTATATTAAAACAATATTTCATTTCAATTTATTGAATAAGGCTAAAGCATTAATGTAAACGCGTTGTATATTGTCAAACTTTAAAAAGACCAAGATTTTCAGTTTTGTTCTTTTTATCTGTAAATAATTACAAAATCTATTTTTTTGTTTTAATATCCTATTATTATTTTATATCGCCTATTTAATTTTTGTTTTATTTTACAAGTCGTAGAATTTCTTCCGAATAATTTATACACATAAATAATATAAGCAAGTCCGTCAATTACATTTTTCTTTTTTGATAAAATACTGCGTTAGGTAAGGGATAGTAAGATATAAAGTTTGTAACTATATTTAGATTTAGATTTAAATTTATTTACTCAATTCCATAGAATTGTATATATACAGCTAAAAAAGGCTTCACAATCACTTAGTGAAATAAATTCTGTTATATTCTTCCAGTTTTTTTTCCTACAATTCACACAGCGCTATCTACTCGTCCCAAGCTAAAGAAGGGAAGAATTGTTAACAGTGGGAGTGAGTGACCCAATTGCTAGCAATATTACTTATGCGCATTACTTTCTAGAAACCATCGTGTTAAATTTCGGGTGGATTCGCTATGATAGGCTAACAGATCTGACTTCATCGTCGTCCCATTATCTTTCACTAGTGTCTTATCAGCTTACACCGTTAGACCCATCTACCCTTTTATCATCCATCAATATCATCCACTATAAAACAAAATAATGAACAAGTAAGTTGAAAGTAAAGTCTTTACGGTGCATAGGATATTTTTAACCTGGTAACTAACATATCGTAGTAGGCAGTTCAAACTGTCTATACTTATGCGAGTCATTACTGAGAAGTTATTTATCCGCCAGTAAGTACTCGATAAAGCAAAATGTTAAGGTTTGAACGGCCTTGGAGGCTTTCATGTCCGCGATATGGGCGTAGGCTTTACCTGTTATAAAATATATAGAGCTGTTGCAACAAACCTGATCATGTTTCTTTGTTTGCTATAGTTGTACATAACCAGGAAGTTTGCGATTGTTTGTGGATACATACCTTCCTAGAAACTATAAAATTTATTCTTTCATGTATCTATCTACTCTCACTTGAATATACAAAGCCACATAATAATAGTTTATCTAAAGATTTTTCCAGATATACTTGACTGTCGAGCCTGTAAATTTGTCGATGTTAGAGATTTAACAGCTCTAGATTTTAACTAATACATATATATACACACATTTGACATATGTCATACGATTATCTACAAAAAAATACAAGTAAAAAATAAATAGGCCTCCGATTAATTACAGTAAGACTCTCTCACTTGATAATTATGGAATTTGGTCTTAATGGTGGATGAAGTTGATGATCTATTTTAATCATATATATATATAGTAAAAGTATATAAATACTAAAAATATACTATATATATATATATATATATACTAAAAATTATTTTGTATTCAACGCATATATAATTTATTTAGCAGTAACAGTTTATTTACAACCGCTCGTAATATATTTGTATCATTTCATTTCATGTTCTATATAAGTGGTTTGCGGAATTTGCTGTCCCATATAAGGAGTCTGACATATTGATCAGCACCCTTTGTCAGGCGTTATGTAGGTAGGTACAAATGATAAGATATACAAAACAGGTACTCAACTGGTCGCATGTTCAACTCGAATTATACCTTTAATAATCCCAATGGAATATATTATTTTTATTTATTACTGAATATATAAAGTGCCTATGGTAAACACATAACTAGTTTTAAATGTACTATAAAGTAAAATATTGAACTTGTTTATTTTTTTAAGACTTTGTTTGAATATTGCCCCTTTCTATAAGTATTATAACAAACGTATTATTATATTAAAGGAATTCCAGGTCTAAAATATTCATTTGCCGAGCCATGTCCAAAATATCCTAAAATAAAAGTACTTCATTATCATGAAAATATTTGTTTGCCGTAGAACAGTAAAATTTCTTTATTGTATGTTTCTATCATATTAACAAATTCTTACGCTGTTATTCCATCAAGTAGTTTAAATAGATAATTTTCTATGTACCTGGATGGCTGAAATAATTATAAAAATGTCATACATAAAATAAACTAATAATTTTCAACAGCTAAACGAATGAAATTTTGAGATGTTTAATTTGAATACAGAAACAACATAATTTATTGCATTTTGTTTATTGTTTTTTCTAAACACAACGGCACAACTATCTATCTCCTATGAGTTAGATCTATGTTCCTGACATTCTGATTTTCTTATTGTTGTAAAATAAATATTGACTGTTGCACATTCCGGATTAGGCACTGATGTTGATGGCCGAGTGGTAGGGGCAGGTGTTCGTGCCCTGTTGGGTGGTTGCTTACCACGCATGAGCATAGGGAGAAGCTACCAATGGAGCATGAGCAGCGACAATAGGTGCTGGCGCAGCAACCACCGCGGGAGACGCGATCTGTGTTGTAAGAAATATTTATTATATCAAATCAAATTCAAATAATTCAGTATTAAAAAAGTAGTAAATGTAAAAATGTGTCTTTGCCTGCTGGCTACTGCCTGTTGGCATTACACAAGAAAACGGGCGAATGAATTTAAAAAGAGAATTGAGGTAATAGTAGATTGCATCTATAGAAAAAGATAGGTAATCTTTTATAAAAAAAATTACGAAGCCACGCGTTATATTATCTTATAGGTAGTATATACGTTATAATAGGGTAGATTATTTAAATCAAATCAAATTAAACTTTAGGTACATATGTACTATTATATGGTTGTCAAGCTTTTGTGTTTTTGTATTGATAGGAGAATATTGAATTTCAATGAAATGGTCCATATTCTGATAAGATAATATAATAAGTATAATAAAATATTTTTTAGTCCTTAGGAATAGTAACTTGTGAATTTCTGTCGTGTCAAATAACAATTACCATTATTTTTAGTACTAGTTTTAAACACTGGAGTATAAAATATACTTACCCTGACAGTGTTAGCGTAGGAAGTAGCCACAGGTAAAGCGGTTTTAACTACTCCAGCGCTGACCAATGGAGCACCGACAATACTGTGACCCCAGGGTGAAGCCAGGGGAGCGGCAATAGGGGCGCCGATATATCCGGGTGCAGCGGCGGCGACGGCCAGGAAAGCGGCGAAAGTGACCTTAAATTGTATGAAGAGTAAAGCTTAGTATACGGATTACTTGATGAAATGTGAAGTTAATTCAATTAATATTATAAACGCGAAAGTTTGTGAGGTGGATGGATAATATTTGTTGCGTTCACGCTAATAATTCCCATGAAAATTGGTGTATACAGATAGATCACATTTTAAATTAATTTACGACATCATATCATATATAATGATAATTATTATATTTTTTATCCTTATACTTTTTTATACTTGTAGTTTGCTGTGCAGTTCGCGTTTAATTTACGCGAACTGCACAGCAAACTACAAGTAGTTGATATCAGTTATAAGCTTCTTTCTATTGTTTTCTATGGATGTTTTATTATCGCTACAATAATGAGAGTATCTGATATATCCATGATCTATAGTTATATATACTAGTTTCATTTATTGTAATTAGTACAATACTAGAATGTCCACAGAATGAAGTAATAAAATAAGATTTAAATGTATTTACCAAGCTTTATTATTTATAAATATATAATTATGGATCAGCTGCAAACAAGAATAAACAAGTATGAGTATTTTATATGGGTGTCAAATAATTGACCTTACATTACGCTGTAGTCATATTATTAAAAATCAGGAACAAATATCTAGATTGCAACATAGAATAATTAGCTCTTTACATACACTATAAAATGGTAGTTGAATTTAGAACTCTATAGTGCCCGCTACTATTATTAAGTTGAATTTACAAATATTCTATTTATAACAGAATTATCTTCATCATTAGAGGCTATATAACCTTCTTTGTTAGCAATAAATATATCAATTTCATTATTAAGTCCCTGATTTTTTTTATAATAAAAATAAGCATTATTTTTATTATAAAAAAAAATCAGGGACTATTATTTATGCATATAATTAAATTACAATAACTTAAAGAGTAAATTTAACGATTAATACGCAGTCACTTAAAGTAAATTTGGATCAGGGCTATGGTTGTCACTAGTAGATGTCTCTCTTCTATGATATTTAACTTATTTGTTTAGAAGTTTTATGGAATCTATGTTTATTTTAGAAATATTCCGTAATCCTCTTTTCATACTAACATGGTAACGAAATACTGAAATAATTCCAGGAATATGCCCAAATCACACAACGATGTAGGCGGATGTTAACAAATACGTGGTATTTGTTGTTATGTCTACCGTCTTTAAGGGCGTTTGTAGGACATGAATTAGTTCGCAATCTATGTACAGATCTAGATAGTACAATCTAATAAGACCGGTTCGTAGACAATTGTGTCGCCGGTACTCAAATACTTGACACAAATTCATTTTATTTATAAATAGTTTTGTTATTTGGTTCCGAATTGATTCTGTAGACTTTTATAAAATACTTTACTGAAATATACATTAAATTAATTATGATTATGACATGTGAATGTGAATATGTTTTTTAATTAAAAAATAAAATAGAAATAGATACAAAATAAACTATAAAATCATACTTTTTATTGTTCCTCAGAATTAACTAAACTTAAAATAAAAAAATTTAATTAATTATGAATAATAAGTTTTCTGAGATAAGCTAAGATCATAAGTTGTTCCCCAAAAAGAAAACAATTAATTCAGATGAAATTTTATATTCATCAATAGGGGAATATGCTTCATCGATTGCAAAAGGGCGTTTATATATACGGATAGGGATATATCATATATTATTCTTGTAATCGACGCTTACCTTTACTTACACCGGTGTTGATACACAAATTTTGTCATCAATCATTATAATTCGCACATGATTGATTTATTTCCATACTCTAAGGATAAGCTTAATTTATCATAAAACGGATAGAAACTACACCTCCTACGACCTCGGGAGGTCGTTGTCGCTGTAGAGAATGTCAGGTAATGATAAAAACAAGAAACTAAAAATAGGTAATGAATGCTCTACAATTACACTTCATAAACCAACCAGTCCGCAAAAATGTGGTCGTAGTTGGATAAAACATGGTATACCAATTTATACAAGTAATAAATCTAGTCCAATATGTCTATACTATGATACAAACGCAATGGTCGAACATTTAGAAAATCCATTTTACTACGTTTTTATATTATGATGTTCAATTTAACCACATCATTGTATCAGATGAATGATTAAAATAGACACCTTATTAATTGTATGGTCAAAATGACCAACCTAATATATTTGGATTAAGAAATATAAAATTTCGCACAGTAGGTACATATTAATATTATAATTAAATCAAGAATTTTGAGAATACGTATGTTACTATCATTCAAACGAAGCTCGTTCGATTCCACAGTTTTGAATTATTAACTATTGGGAAACAAATACTAATAGAGATGATATTACAATTATTACAATTGATATAAATTCCAAGCTAAATTACAAACACTTCTATACCTGAGTACAAGGTATAGAAATATGCTGCTCTTATCAACAGAATTAGAATTAACACCAGGCAGCTCATTGCCTAGTTTTGAACTACAATATTGATATGCAAATGACATGTAGTGCGAATATAATATTTGCTTTGATCGTCTATATGACTCACTTGCGTATGTTTTTATAGCAAAATTTAACAATTTAGAGATCTCAGTTTGAACTAGAAATCATCAAAAGTGCATCGAGAACTTTAAGTTGCAATATTTGGTGTCACATTAAACTAACTTATTTTATAGACTAACTTATTTCCATAGTGAAATATGAAATGTTGGCTGTATATTACTAATATCTACATACTACATATAATAGCGCATTAACGTAAGACTGCTTAATCCTGGATTCACATTTTCTAGGAGTTTTTTGATTTTACAGGGTTACTTTTCAACAAATTAAAAATAAAGGAACTTATTAATTTTTTCCTATTTCTTTACGTAATATACATATATCTGATGCAATGTTTTCGTCAATTATAGGGTTTTATTATGTAACAACAACAGCCAAAGTTTCGTCCGGAAACTTTGTACCTTTTAAGGTTTAATATGACGTTTTACTTTGAAAATAATTTGACAAAACTATCGTTCAAATATATTAGAATTTATAGGTTGCTAATAGACTATTTTCTTTTAATCAACGATGTGAATTTTGTTAAGATTTAATTATCTTATTTTTAAGTATGATTGTAGTAGTAGTAGGTAGCTCTGATATTAGAATGTAGAAGGAATAAAATTTATGAATAATTTATATTTTTTTAATGATAGATCTAATTAAAATGCTTGTTATATGTACATAGTTAAATTATATTATATATTAAATCCAAGCATTCATTTTAATGAATGGAATATTGAAACGTTTTTCATTTATGGATTAAGCTAATGATGTTTTAACTTTGAACTTTATGTAAACAGGGATTATTCTATTTTTATTCATTATTTATGGAATCAACTATTGATTAATTTCGATTGAGTATTATTATTTTGTATCATGATAGATATGTTATCACATTACCGCAGCTTATATCGTAGACTGTGTTTTGGGTGTAGGGTGAAATTAAGCAAGTAAATTACAGGATAAGAGGCATGACGTCTTAGTCTTCTGGTATTGCAACGCATGATTGATACCACGGGTATTACAAGTCCATAGTGATGTTCATGAATATATGAGATGGTTACCATTTACCATCAGCTGGGCCATCACTTTGATTACCTTTCCAATTACACAATATAAAGATAAAAAAAATACAAAACAACTTATAAATAGATAGTTTATAATAGGAAATTACTCTTACCAGCTTGTACATTTTGAAAGGTGGGTGTTGGGTGGTTTGTAGTGAAGAAGTATGGATATGTAGGAGCGAATGTGCATTGGACCCGTTAAGTGTGCCTTTTATAGTGCTTAGACACATGGCTCGGCCAAATCCGTCTAACCCTACCTACCTGGGCCTAGGTCGTTTGTGGCAGCCTTCAGGTTTGTACCGTCAGCAAATACAATACAAAGGAATTGATAAGCTACAGGATTCTAATCTCATTGTTACAACAGTCGTAAAATATAATGTCAATGTGATTATTATAAACAAATGTGAATTTTTTGAACGTTTTTTGTAATCAAGTGCACAAACTATGGCGCATCGATGAATCGTGTCTTCCAGCCGCCGCAGACAATATTTTGCATAAGTGTCCTTAGAATAAATCAAAATCGATAATAAATATTTTTGTGTTTTTGTCTAATATAACTTATTTACCATTAATGCACGTTTTTCACGTTCAAAACTGTGGGTTCAAAACATTCAAACTCATCTATAATATGTATAGGTAAATAATTTTATTTTTAAACCTAGAATTAGAACTGCAATAGTAGGTGCTTTGCGTTAACTCTATATACAATATGCTGTGAGCAGTTCTATATTATAAAATCTTGGTTACATATTTATTATGAATGAGTAATATTAATTAAATATTACATCATTGCCAAGGAAATAAATGTGCATTTAAATCAATTGGAAGGTCTTTTTAAATAGAGGACCTTTATTTGTACAATAATCAAAACCCAACTGTTAATTGAGTACTGAAATTGCGTTGTTAATACTAGCATTATTAATACAATGAGGTAACTAATGTTCTTTTTAAATATTTAACCAGTTGTAAAAATTCCAATTTATGAATTAGTAAGAAGAACATTAGTGTTTCATGTTATTTTATGCCAGACAAAATAAAATGAGACACTAACATGCATGATTGATTATTTGCCACTTATGTAGGGATAATTCCCTATTTATTTTTATTAGTCTAACGACTAATTTAAATTCTCGTATTACGATAATTAGGGAGATATCCTACAATATCAATGAGACGTCCCGTATAAAGTAGAGCTAGATTGTAACGCGATCCTACAACAGGCTAACGACATAGGTATGTGCGCTCTTTGGTTTAATAGGATTTTATTAAGAAGATAAAATCCTATAAAAAACATCTGTGAAAAAAGTATGTAAAGATATTTAGTAGAAAACCTGTTACAGTTATTGTACATTGTACTTTAATTATATTTGAAGTTCCATACTTAATAATTTAGAAAAATTAACATTACATATATTTACATCGATTGATTTTATTATACTTTAACATTTAATAACGCTAGTATTTTGAATGTGAATTTCTATACTATAATAAATTGATTTGCTGATTGTAATTAATGCTTTTAAATATAATTTAATTATTTTATGAAAAGTAGTTAAAGTTTATGTATATCATCATATCATTCATTGTAAAATATTATTAATTTAGTACACAAGATTAGATGTATACCTACACCAAAATGTATAAGTATTATGTTACTGACATACAACATATTCTATAACACAACAACTATAAACAGTTTTGATACATTAAGATTTATAATTTATTAACAAAACCAGTTTACTCATGGCATCTTATAAACGAATAAGATAGTACAAATACTCACTTCCGTATTAGTTTTTTATTACTTGTTTAATTTATTTGTGTTTCAAGTCTTTTGTTTGTCTATGCCAATTTAGTTTTTTTTATATTTCTAGTAGTATCATTATAATGTAAGAGAATGAAAAGGAAAAGTTGGATGAAAAAAGTAATAAAAGTGTAAGACAAGTTCCGATGTAATTGATTAAGAATAGGGCAACCTAACTTGTATAACATGACTCTTTTCAAAAAGCTCTTTGAGAGGAAATATAGGAGGGACAAGACCTCTTTGTCGGTCTGAATAAAATACAAACACAGAAAGAAGCTATGTATACGTATAATATGACGGGAATATTGTTTGTGATAGAGCCAAAGGGAATGTACCCATGTACCCATGCAATATTTCTTAAAAATAATAAGAATTATGTATTGTATTATGCTACCCCTTGTGCAATTACGTTTTTGCAAACTACACATGTAGCTACAAGAATCTTATAAATTTAACAACAATAAAAAATAAATAATTGCAATACGTACACATGTAATATTACCAATGTTTCTTTCTACAGCATTCTTGGAGAGACAACGGAATAGAAAACTCAAGTATTGAGAAATACTTTTTTCGGGATATTCTAGTGTTATTTTTTTCTATTCTACAATAATTTATTACTTTAAGACCTTATATAATTAATTATAATTTTTATTTAGAGTGTGCTTATTACGTATTTAAAAATCGTTATATATACATATATGAGTACAACATTTTTTCTTGTAAACTAGTAAAGTATTTGATAAGCCTATTACTCATTGTGTTCAAATAGAAAGAGGATTTAGAAGGTATTTTCGGACTATCCTATTGCTGCAGAGGTTAGGAAAAGAGCTTTTTTATATTCTTTAGGTTATCTTTTATTCATTTCATATTTCGTTCTAATAAAGTTCATAAAAAATAAGCTAAAAATAATCGTAACTCTCATAAATACTTACTTAGATTTTTCTTTAAGGAAATAGTCTCTAAACTAATGTATTTTACTGATTATTAATTTATGTGTAATTATTAATTAAGTAGTTAAATTACATATGCAGTTCATATTAATTAATAAAAAGTGGACTTTGTACAAAGTCTACGTGAGTGCTTCAGACTTAATGCCACTCGGGTATTTCATCCACCAAGCAGTTTGCTTAGTAAGTTCTGTTTTGGTTAAAGTATGAGGTATGGTAGTGAAATTATAGAATAGGAGTACACTCCATATCTTGTAGTTAAAAATAATAAAGAAAAACAAAGGGTACCACGGACGTCATATGATATCCGTGTTGTTATTTTCATGTATGGTTGTCAGTTATGGTGGCCCGTCAGCTTATTTGCTATACCACATAACATATATAAAAATATTATAATTAAGTACAATAAATATATACTTCTATAATATTAATACTAAATTACTCATTTCAAAAGAAATCATTATTTACTATAATTCGTTAAACAAACTATAAACTAAAAAGTTTTGTACAAAGCCTTTTGTTTTTTATTTAAAATATTTAAAAAATAGTTAATTGTCATAGCTAAGTAAATTAATTACTATAGAAAAAGGTATACCGTACCATAAAGTTATACCTAATGTAAAACAGACATCACGTATATATATACCTACATGATTCAGTGTATTACTCTAAGACTATTGTCAACAAAACAACGAATTCGAATTATTCCTTTAGGAATCGATAAAGCGCAATTACCATATTAGTCCCTTAAAATACTTATTTATTTATTTCCTAATATTATGAGTAAATTTTATTATCTAAAGTTACCTGAAATATATTATGGCAATTTAATAGTTAATATACATAGTTTTAATATGGTTCTTAAAAGTGTATTAGTTCGTTAGAGTAACAAACAACAGAAATAATTATACTACTAATGGTTGGCCACAACCGGTTAAATCATGACGATGTACATATACAGTTATTGTACTTACATAATTTTAAAGTAAATAAGTATAAATTAATAAACTCACATTCAGAATTATATCGTTAGTGTGGATCTGCTATTATAACATTTATTGCAAAACATACAATGTACCTTCCTAGCATGCATGTAAAGTTTTTGTTTCATTTAAACAAGGGATCATAACCATTTAATCCAAGTACATAAAACTTAGCCGGTGACTAAAATTTATTTCTCTTTACATGAAATTGTCCAGCTGTCTTATACGAGCGCAGTAAAGCAGGGCAGGGCGTTTTCAATGACATTATTATATTACACTTGTAAGAACGTTGGTCAGCAGGGTTGGCAACCACAACACTTTATGCCCAGTTAAAAGAAGTAAAAATCACGTACAAAGGATCATACAAAGTCATCATATTTTGATCGTCATAAAATCACGCTTGTTAATTATTATCTTAACTAAAAAAGGTGTATATAAATAAAAAAATAAAATAAATACATAATTGTGGTTATAGTAAAAAATATTGTACAAAAGTCTGAAGAGTTGAAGGCTAAAAATAAATTTTAATATTCAGCATAAAAAAATTAATAAAGAAATATAAAATTGAAGATAAATGAACGGAAAGGTATATTAGGTCCAACTAAACTTTAGCTCTTACTTTAAAACCGGTCACAATGATTGAGAACAATCACCATTTCCTAGTCAGCATTAATGCAGTACGAAGTATAATATTACGAAGTACTCTTGTACCGAATACATAAAATCTCGTATCTGTACGAGGATCCGTGTACGGTTGGCATCCCTGTTGGCCAGCTGACTTATTAGCCCATTTTATAATGGCATCGACGGGGGCTCAGATCTAGATAACATTTATGATACACGTGTGAAGTTAATAATTAATTCAAAGTCACATTGCCTTAAAAAGAATAATTTTCAAATCTATTTAGTAAGTTATTTTGTATAGAGACAAGTTGTCATGTTATGTTTAAGGGATGATTATTTAATTCTTTTAAACGCGAAGCAATACGGTCGTAGCCTAGGAAATTATATTCTACTATTTTTTATATTTGACTACCTCGCTGGTTTAGTTCTTTAGCATTCCGTCTTACTTCTGAATCGATCATGGTTCACATTTGCATCCGTGAGTATCATTGATTGTATGTAGATATTTTCTATGTAAGCATATATTTATGCAAGCTATGCTTAGTTTTGAGGTACTTGGCAGTGTGTGAATCGTCCTTAGTTGTAATTGTTAGGAATTTGGAAATAAAGTACCATATATATAAATATTATTATACCATGATATTATTTTATAGGGATAGTGGTTTTTACATATCAAAGCCGACGACTTTGTACCTAGCCTTTTCTTGTAATGGAAAATATAATTTGAAATACTATACTTGATTATCGTAGGGTTAATTTCTGCAGGGTCAAGGGTACGTTACCGTCTCAATATCTAATTACTTAGTATGAGTATTCTAATTGTACCTAGCATAATAACTTCAATGATACATACAATAAAATATGCATTATAGCTGCCCTTATATCTAATTATCGTCACGTCTGTAAATTACTATAGTTATGAAATGTCTGTTTGTATTGTGACTATAAATAATTGTTCATTGTACCTAATATTATTTTAAGTAGGAATAAATGCCTCTATTTATATATTATATTATTATAAATATTATATAGTCATATCCAAGCTTATTTCTAGTGCAATAGATGTATTGATTACAAATTAAATAAATCAAGTGGTTCCCATGTGGATTTCAATCCTATACACAAATGTAGTTTCTTACGGTTTTGCTATGTAAAATTGAAAGGCGTTTGGAATATACTCAATATGAAACACATAGTAGATTTTTTAAGAGATTGGTATAAATATGCTTAATAAAAATATCTCTACGGTACACTGGTTTATATAGATCATAATGGTTATAGTCTATAATATACTTAATGTATGAATATTATAATTTGTCACTCGAAGTATGGTTGCTTTCTTAAAGTTATTTAGAAGCTAGGTAATGAAAAATTGTGTTACGGGTACTGGTTTATTTTTCGATCTACCCAATCCATATCATAATGGTAATGATTTTGAACACGAAAATAAAATACAACAATATCACAATTTAACTTATATCTCAGTCAACAACAATATATTTTATATTACAATATAATTTTGAGCAAGTCACTAGGCAATGATATCACCAAATTTGTTTATAAAAAGTACGGAGATGAGAGGTATTTAGCGGCTGTCACCACTGGAGCACCTGGGGCAACTAATGGGGCAGCTGGAGCGACGTACGGGGCGACTGGGGCGACATATGGGGCGGCTGGGGCGATGTACGGGGCGGCCGGTGCAACATAAGGGGCGGCAGCTACGTATGGGGCTGGAGCAACGACAGGCGTAGCAACAGCATGGTTAACGGCATGAGCTGAGTAGGAACTGGCATATGGGGCAACGTATGCAGCTGGGGCAACTGCTGGTGCTACAAGTGCTGCCGGCGCTCCAGCGATAACACTAGCTTTTGTGGTGGTAATGGCGAGAACGAAAATGACCTGGTGGACAAAATAAAAAAATTCATCAGAACAGCTAATGTATTGCTATAGATAAAAAAAATAATAATCATGCGTTAAATGATACGATACTGGCGCATGATACGTATGTGCGATCTGCTGAAATACTCATTTTATTCACACAGTTGCGTAGAAACAATTTAGATTTAATTAACGCGTATTGTACCTTTTTTATTAGTACAATAATAAAAGTGGCGTATTTTAACAGTTTTCCAAGACTTTTTGTTCAATTCAAAAGCATGATTTTATCATAGATATTGATGAATGTATGGTTAATACAGTTATTTTTTAATTGTAATACTGATTTATGTACTATATAATATTATATATCTATTAATACCTTTTTTATTATATTATTTGGTACTTACAACAAATTTGGCGATCATTTTGCTTGGATTTTGTGACTGCTCACAACTGGTCTAGTGTACTAAGTAATCCGATGGACTGTGTCGTCTCCAGGGTAACGCAACATTTTTATACCAACGGTAAATTCGTTGAGCAATAATACAGGTGGCGCATGCGCGCAACTAAATAATGCGCAGGACATGGCTCCACGATTTTTGGCCCAGACTGGATTGACGAGCTGCGCATTCTAATTTTGACTTTGTGCACGACAGTTTCACTATCAGTTATATAACTACCGAAAAGAAAAAAAAAATAAACCTTTTCTTTGTAGGGCATCTTAAGCCTGGAAGTCATTTGAAACTTATAATATATACTTATATATATATATACTACCTACTTGTATTTTTTTTTACATATTGGTAACAGAACGTAGAGTTGAAATTCAATTCTTTGGGAAAATATATTATATATCCGGCAAATCTACCTAGTTGTTATTCATATTACTATTAAGTAATGTTTTTTGAGTATCTATACGTGACAGAGATAATTCTGAACAATATCATTCAGAATAAAAGTATCTATACTATTATTATACTATACTTTTTTTATTTGTCCCTTTTTGCTGTACGTAGCAATTAGGTATAGAGTTCATGAAAAACGCGGAATGTATTGGCATTGATGAATAAAGAATATCTTCTGAGCAATTCCATATCTGATGTGATATGGATAATTTCGGCCGAGCCCGATAGTAAAACTGGTTGTTTATTATATTATTCTTGGAAATGTGTTTAAGTTTTCAAAATTTACGTTCACACCAGTAAATATAAATACCTACCTCTCTATTGTTCTATCTATATTATGATAGATACATAGTAAGTGATGTACCTACCAGATTAATATATTTAGATTCTAATACAGCGCTGGCGATAAGTTATAGCCACTAGATATAACATACAAATTACTTTTCAATTAAATATGTGACTTTGGTTAGAATAGTCCCAAACTAAGCAGAGATTGTATTATGTGTACTAAACAACTATTTCAATGAATAATTATATAAATATATTTGCATTCGAAATACCTACATATTGAACATAGGGACATAGAAAATACCCAGACCATCATATCAGATCATCAAACATCATCATATCAGAACATCAAACCAGATCATTAAACATGTTCAAATTAAAACGGTGTGTTAAATCGCTTGGCCACCCAGGTGAAAATTATGTATTTAAGGTACTCTGTGATTATGAGTAGATAAGTAATTGATTGATAAAAAAAACTACCTTCGTTATTGAAAAGAAAGTATATGTATGTTGTAGATTATATAATTTTTTATGCGTATAATTTTGCTTTCACTTGTCGTATCGATTGGCTATTGGTTGCAATAATTTCACAATATAAGCGTTTCCCAATGTGCTCCATTTCTCCGCTGCGCCTGCGCCGCGAATCCCAAATGACTGCCGCAATACGTCAAATACTTATTTTGTAGAACGTTTTCTGAATTACAATAAACAACGATATAAAAGGCTTAACTTTTTCTGTTTTAAACACATTTTACAGCTTCTTTTCAATAAGGAAGGTCCACTACAAGTAAACAAAATGTTCTCCATCAAATCTGTGAGTGTCCTTAAAGTAAATGTTTACATGATTATCATATTTACGAGTAACTTTATAACTATTATAAAAAGGACACCATCTTCTTAGTCAAAAAATTCAGATTTTTATCTATTTATCTGCTCGTTTATGCACACTAATTTTAGAAATGACACAACTGTTTTGATTGTGATTTTTATGAATTATCAGTATCAAACTTTTCCTAAAATTTTATGTGTATTAAAACTTAATTTCATTCGATTTATAAACAAAAAAATAATCTGTCTTATTCCGAATACCACAGGTAAAGTCGAGTCGTGCGCAACTTGTATAAAGTAAATTTGTTGAAATTTTATATATTTTTTAATCCAGATCGTGCTCATCGCTGGGGTATTGGCAAGCGGTATTGAATCCAGCGCTGTTCCGGCCATCCCAGCAGTGGCAGCAGCTCCACTAGTGGCGCCAGCTCATGTCGGTTATGCCCACGCTATTCCTCAAAATCTGCCACCTCATGCTGCACAAGTAAACGTTGTGAGCAAAGCAATCAGTCCGGTGGTGGCTGCTGCACCTTTGGCAACACCATTAGCGGCAGCTGTTGGTACGCCCTTGGGTGCCCCATTTGCTGCGCCCCTAACTGCCCCATTCGCTGCGCCCTATGCAGCCCCATTTGCTGCTCCATACGCCCCTTCACCTTACCTCGCGGCAACAGCACCTTACGCTCTTCCTCCAGCACCATACGCGGCTTATGCCGCTCCTGCAGCTTACGCTTCACCCTTTCCCTATTCAGGTGCTCCTTTAGTCCGTTCACCATTGGGTTTGGCCCCAGCATTTGTACGATAGACTGAAGAGAATATTAGGACACTTCCTTTCATAAGACTAATAATGAAGACTAGTTTGTTATTATGTGTGTAATACTACTATTATTTTTGTATTAAATAAATCAAGAACATGATTACCTTTTTATTGTACCTACCGCTAAAACTACTATCTGTTAAAAAAGTATTAATATATTTTTTAACATATTTATGTACCAAATTTCCTCAGACTTTTAGATATAACGAAAACTCATACCAGAGATTTCTTTGACGTCTGATCAGCCAAACGACTATACAAAAATGACTACATACCTATATATGATGTTAGTAGGCTAATAAATTACTATTACGACGTCTTTTGTAATATACTCAGTATTTTTTATTTTTACCAAACGTCTGTAATTATTCTAAAACAATATTTAAATACAACTATCAATAACCCATCTGAATTGATATATTATACTTATCTTAAATAAATATGTATTAAGGTTTTATGTCTCGTATAACTGTATATTTAACACAATTTATAATTTCAGTAATGTTGGTAGTAAGTTTGTATTACGGTATCTACATACATGAGGTGTAACGAGATTGAATATAGATATCAATAAATTTATTATATATGGGCAACGCCTTACATTTTAGCTAATATTAAATAGGTATATTGTCACCAAAATTGATCAAAGTTCGAATGTATGTAATATATACGTTTAGTATCAAAAAAGCAACTCTCAAATCGTATTGCTTTATTTTTTATTAAATACGAAGTACTCTAATCATCAACATATAAAAAATTTCATATTGTTTACCACTCACATTATTAAAACAGTAATTTACAATAACATTTATTAAATTCCATATATTTTACGTATATTGTTTTAATTTTTTTTAATTAATTCATGCTAAAGTTTAACACTGTTCTCGTTTTAGACAAAAAAAAACTTTTGTATATGTATGAGTGTATACACTCATACATATATTCGTAACTATTTATAGTCAAAGTCAGAACTTATATATATAATAAGAGTTGAACACTGATATGTCTTGCATTAAATAATAGTGACAAAGTATTATGGTATATTTAGATTTGTTGCAATATATGTCGTTAATTCATAGCTTAATAGCATTATCTATGAATTAATAACTTATATTACTACAAATCTATCTTCAATATATGTAAGATGTATAAAAAAGGAAAAACAAGACAAGAAAATCATTAAGTTATATTTTTTTATTACAAAAGTATAAAAGGGCTTATCACATCGTAACACTTATCTATTTATAACAATACAATACTCTAAAGACTAGATTCACTTCCACAATAACTGTTTAACTATAGGCGCTGGTGCTACTGTAGCTGGAGCTAAGAATTTATTGTACAGATGAAGATGGTTGGCATACGGCGATATTAAAGGTACAGCTTTAGGAATGGCGATGGGCGCTGGAGCAATAGCAGGAGCGAAGACTGGCGATGGTACTGCAGGTAGTGCCACAGGTGCTACTGGTCTCACTATAGGTGAGAAAGGTACTGCTGAAAATGTAGGAACAACACGGGCTATTGGTGCTGGCAACAGCGCGGGTGCTGGTGCTGGCAACAGCGCGGGTGCTGATGCTACTGGAGCAAATCGAGGTAGAGCAGGGGCGAAGTATGGAGCTGGAGCTATAGCTGGCGCGAAGGCTGGGGCGGGTAATGCTGGAGCAGAGGCAAAGGCTGGTAAACCAGGCGCAATCGCTGGCGCTGGAAATACAGGTGCTGCCAACGGAGTAGGAAGTACAGGAGCAGGCAGTGCTGGAGCAGGAACTAAGGGTGCTGGGGCGATAGCTGGAATAGCAGGTGCAACTGCATGTATGGATCTTACACGACCAGGGAAATTGTAAAACGGTGCATATCGTACTATAGGTATGGATTTTACAGCAGGTATAAGGTGACCTATTCCGCTAGCTTTACAGCTAGATATGGCGGCTATGGTGAATAGGGTCTGAAAAGAAAATAAGTTTAATTAATTCCCTTTTAATATTAAATATATACGCAAGGTATGCAGGCAATTTGACAACTGTTAACTTACTAATTTTATTGATAACATTTTTGTGTTTGATATCACGACTTGATTAGACAAGTGTCAACTTGGAAGTGTGTTGATGAATAATTACGTGTCGTTATATAGTTCTATACTGTTGCAAGCGTGATGTGTATATGGCCACAATGGGTTTCACTTTCCTTTGACAGGACCGGTGCATGCTCAATTAGATGTCAACGCGGGCTCTGGTTATCGAAACTGTGACAGGCTAAAAGTAGCTAGATATTATATAACAAAGGTTTATAGGGAATGATACGTAATCAAATGCAGTGGACGTGTACGTAATAGAAATGAACTTGTCTATTTAGGTTAATATTCCAATAGAACAATTGTAGGTCATTACAATGGAAAATCCCTAATGTATATTATGCTGAGTTATTGTGCTTGAGATATTATGCAGTATGAGTATAAATAAATATAAATTTCGTAATGTTCAATTTATACATTAATATATACTAGGCCCTGGGTGGATAGCTAGTTTACAATATAATTAGTATATATTCATATAAACCTTCTTCTTGAATCACTCTATCTACTATATTTAAAAAAAAAACAGCGGAACAAAATTTAAAATTATGCAACGGATTTTGAAATACGTTGCATAATTTTAAAGATTTAAACAAGGGGACGGACAGATAGGCTTTCCTAGTTTAGGTTCAAAACATTCAGCTGACATAGAGACAAATACAGTCTAGTTCTTTGGTGGGGTTACATTAATCTTAGTGTTACAAAGTCGCTATGGCTCCCTTCCCATAAAACTGTCAGATTACGTTAGTACAAGTACAAAAAAATTTAAATTTTAGCTTAATAGGTTTGTCATTCGATTTGTTCCAATTTATGTAAAACAATTCCTACACAAATGTTGGGATACCGTAAAAATAAATATCGATCAGAGAACTAGCAGAATCCTGAAAGTCCTAATATATAAAATTTATCAAAGTTAGCCTGACAGAGAATACCTAGTACTCATGATAAATTTGAATATAATTACATGAAATTTTAAAAAATCACAAAAGTACATAAATAAAATCACAAGTTAGGTTTTATAAGCCAGCGTTTTATAAATTAGTATTAAAATACTCTATTTTTAAAATATTAATATTTCATATAAATAAAACTAAATGGACCGATCTTTCCCTGTGTCTTTAGATGTGATTGTTTTTGGTAGCGAACCCAGGTTGACCTTTTGGCAGTAGATATCTATGTAATGTACATACTATAATTTTCCTACGTAATATGATGTAATAACAATATAACGTCCTGATAAACCACGTGTGTAGGACGTCCTCAGTATGACTCGTATACAGCACGGCAAAGTAGAATAACCGTCTTTGGATCGAATTGTAATTAGTCACGGCTACAACGTAAAGCTCAGGTACTTCATATTCCAAAGGAGTATAATAAATATGACACAATTTCAAACACACGCCCACTCCTAACAATGCAGTAATTAAGTTTGCTATAAAATGTATGTATACTGAAAACTAAATAGAAAAAGTAGGTCATTTGAGATATAAAATAGTTCTTAATTAAAAATTAATTTATCAAATTATTGAAATATTAATAATAAAAAATGCTGGTACTATTATCTCAAATAGAACAGTTAGAAGCATTTTGATCAGTCGAAGTCGCGATGATGACAACGTTAGTACATGTCACACTACTAGATGTATTTGAATCTAAATGATGGATATTCTTAAATCCAATATTTCCTAGAGGGGCGAGCCAAGGGCCATTTATAATAATAATTATGGTGATGTATAATTCTTATTTATTGCATTTGATTTCGAAATTTATGGCGTACATCATAAAAAATTACCATTGAAGTGTATACTTAAATAACATGATATGTGTATTTAATACTTAATGAGAGGCATGGAATACTACGTGTCAACTCCTATTTTCAGCACCAAAATATCGTAAGAGGTAACACAATATACAAAGCAACATCGACGTAAGTGAATATATATATTAAATAAACCTAAGTATTTTCCTATTTTAGATATATTATATGTAATTGTTAAGACCATAAGGTACGGCATGGCTTCCTACGTCATTAGACTTCAATAATAATACATCAAGAACTTTGAAGGATTTGCAAAACTTTCTTCAAACTGTACTAAATATACCATCTATTCCTCTATGTATTCAGCAGTGAAATTTTCTATATAATGTGTTACTACCTATATAGTACCTATGTGTTTGTTACACGGGGACCCATATTGGTCTCAAAGGCGAGTATTGTGTAATCTAAACCATTGTTTTTATTTATAAACCATGGAATCCAAATAACAATAACACATGTTATATTATAACTTTATTTTCATTACATAAAAGTTATACTAAGTTTCAGTCTTTATTTATTTTAGGGCAACAAAAGGGGCAGAAGGAGCGAAGTATGGAGCTGGGGCGACGAAGGGCTCAGCGTAACGAGCATAAGGGGAGAGTATAGGAGCAGGTGCTGCTAATCGGGCTGCTGGTGCGAGATATGGTGCTGGTGCTGCAACGTATGGAGCAGGTGCTGCGGCGACATATGGGGCTGCAACTGGTGCGACATATTTAGCAGCTGGAGCTACTAAAGGTGCCGGCGCTGCTACCAATGGAGCGGCGACTGCAGGCGCGGCAACTAAAGGCGCTGCAGCAGCGACGAGACCATTGTAGTTTCTTGAGATGTATTGGGAGCTTGATGCGGTGACAAAAGGAGCAGGAGCGGCAACCAATGGGGCTGCAGCAGCTACAACTGGGGCAGGTGCAGCCAGAGCAATTGGAGCAACGCTAGGCTTCGCAGCAACCAATGAAATGGTGGACAGAAGGAATATCTAAAAATAAAGTTTTTATTAGAACATACGAAAGTAATACGTTTCAATATTCTATTAAGGAATTAGCAATTTTTTTATCTATGTATATACTTACGATTTTGTACATTTTGTTTGTTGTTTATCTGATGAACTGAAGATGAGTATGTGATGCCTGCAATTTGGTGACTTTACCTTTTATACAATAGTCCATAGTAAGATTCACATTGTGTTACGTTTCGTCACAGTATTGCGGTCACTTGTTGAATTCTACGCACGCATTGGGGACGACATTACGACAATAAAGCTGGACCGAGTGATAACGTAACATTGGTCCAGTTAGTCTATTTTGAAGATAATCAGGTCTTTTAATCAAAATGTCAAGGTTTTTCGAGTGATTCACGACCCTACTCTGTGTGTATAGATAAGTATATTGTGAAATTAAAACTAAGTTGATCTGTGGTAATAACCCGGAATGTGTGCCTAGTATTAAGTTAATATCTATATAAAAACTTGTTGTTCCAAATACCGACATCGACTTCTACTAAATCTATTTAACAAGAGATATACATATATATATATTACATATATATACAATATACAAGTATAATTATTAAAATAATAATTAATTACATTGCAAGCTAAATAAAAAGTTATTTTGATAAAATAGAATACAATAATCTGTAAACTACAACATATGACATTAAACCAAAAAGAATTCGAATTTGTTTACAAATGACGGAATTAGCCTGAGTCAACTCCTGCTATGTAGTCGCTTAAAAAAGGCAACTTTACTATAAAATTATCTCCGAATTGTTTAGGATCTATACACATCGTAATGTACAGACTTAAAATATCAACTGACCGATCTAACGTACATTTTGTTCACTCATCCAAATTTGTAATCAATAGTATATTTGCCCAATAAATTCAAGACTATAAGCAATTCTATCATTTATACAACCCTGAAATCTGCTGAAGACAACCTCACCTACCATCTGAGCATTCGAGCCGCATCATCACGTACCAGTAGTATATAAACTATAAGTATACTAAAATTCAAACTACACCTTCTACGCAATTTTCATCAAAAGGGGTACAAACTTTTTGCTTCACGTATTAATATAGCGGTTATGTATTTTATAGATTTATTAAACATCAATTTTTTTTTCCTATTAAATTAAGCAAAATGCACAAGTAAATTCATTATATAACCGCGAAATTTTTACTGCGGATAGGGATTCAAACGTTCCTATGATTGCGGAAAAACTTTAATTGAAAAATTCATTATATCTATTTCGTAATCATCCTTACCCAAGTCATACATTAGTTACTTTTAAACTACCGCTTTTAGTACACTTTTTCAGGTCTCAACTCGAATAACTTTTCATATGTTAGGTTGTTAGACAATTTGATGACGATAGTTAAACACACTGCTGACACTCATTAATATTAACATCGTTGTTTACGAGTCGGCTTTTAATTATTTTTAATGCAACCTAGTCGAAACGTCAAAGGAGGCCTTATTTATCATAAAATTATTCGTGTTAAGATCTGATTTACTGTATATATTAGCAATCAGTATAACGAATAACTTTTAATATTGATCATGAGTAAGAGCCTGGTTGATCCAGGTACGTTATTGCCAAAGTTTGGATAGGGATACACACCATAGAACAGTGACGTTGAAAATTATAAATAACGAAGCAAGTATAGTGTTGTAGTTTAAATATTCAATAGAGCTTTACTTTAAGTATTATTTTAGGAGACATGTGAATTTCCTTCTCTTTTAATTCTCCGGTATTTCTTGTGCATCTTACATGAAATTCTTACGATAACTAAATGAACTTCTATTGTTTTCTTTATAATGTTTCCCTTGTTTACCCATGTTTTTTTCAAGCTTAGTGTTGGGTATTCTGTAATTCTAAGCTTATCAGGTATTAATAGTTTTTGTATAAAAATTGTAAAACATCCAAATTAGTATAAAGCAGGTATGATTCTTGAGTGAACCACTCAAGAGTCATCATATACACGATAGGATGAGCCAATCCATATAACAGTCACTTAACTCTGCTGTGTGTGGTGCACTTCATGTCCGTAGGCAACGGTTAGCAATTTTCATCTGATTGCCAATGTGTTTGCTTGCATATTTTTTGCTAAAAAATAATAAACGTATATATTTTGATAACATTAATCTCTCTTTGACCTACGAGTATGGTTGACTGGCAGAAATGCCTCAAGGTATTTAGTCCAACATGTGCACCTTTATTTGTGTGTTTGTGCATTGAGGTTTTTATAAACAATAAAAAAAAAATTGATGAAATTACTTACATTTCCAGTAGTTATTGGTATGACTACTGGAAATGTAAGTGTAACTACGATACACTCCAGTAGTTTGATTGTGTAATATTAAAATTATTTATTGACGAAAATCAAACGAAAAAAATAAAGACAGAACCATGTAAAATGCCATCTATAATCTTGTTAATTAATTAATTAAAAATAGTGCATGGCGTATTTCAATAAAAAAATAACTGTTTGTAATATTGAAATAACCGATTTTTACCACTTGTATGTACCGTATTTATATTCATATATAAATACGGTACATACACCAAGATAATTTTTTTTACAATTTTTGTCTGTCTGTCTGTTTGTTCAACCAATGAATGAAATGGTTGGACCGATTTTGACGGGACTTTTTTTAACAGGTAGCTGATGTAATAAGGAGTAACTTAAGCTTTTATTATAGAAAAATATTTCTATTAAAAAAAAGTTAAATTACACGCGGACGAAGTCGCGGGAATAGCTAGTACTACATATAGACCCACCTTTAAGAACATATCACATAACTGTGAAAATTTCATTCACATTACTCTAGCCGTTTTACGTGAACATTAGCATAATATAAAAGACAAACAGAAAGATTTCGCCTTGTCAATCTCTACGATTTTATTATACATATGTGAATATAAATATAAAGTATACATATCAATACTGTAAGTTTTGGAAATGTTTTTTGTAAATTAATCTTAATCTCAGGAAATCAAATCAGTAATTTTTAAAGACTTCTCTCGAATAATATAGACGAATTTTGATCATTAACCGATAATCGAACCTGAGATCTCATTTCCGCAATCAAACAAGTCCACCACTGTGCTGATGGAGGTCGCAAGTGACGTCGTTATCGTCGCGTCTTTGGTGTTTACTTCTTCGTCACTGACTTTTAAGTGCTTTGAAAACATTTGATGTATCTTAATTTGAAAATAGAAATCAAGTTATATGAAATGTAGATTTGATAACGGAACCGGAAAAATAACAAACTATACTGGTTAAATGTTTTTTTAATATAACTGGAATGAGAAACGAGCTGATGGTAACTGGTAACCATCGTCAATGTACATTAACAATACCATGTACAAACCGGTATCTTATCTTGTATTATCTCACCCTTTACCCTAAATATATCTAATTGTGTCATATAAACAATTACTATTACGTGTCCAATTAAAAGGCAAGTCATAACCCACGCGTAAGCGAGAACGACTGAGAGAGACATCTATATAAATTGTGCTCTATAGGATTGTCTATAGGATTTGCTATAGACAATCCTATAGACTCCCTTATCTTTGAAGATCCGTTGCATCTGCATATCTAAATAGAAAACATGCGTTATGTAGATATATATATATATATGTGTATGTTATGTATGCATATAACAAGATAACTAGTCCGGATATACTTCTATGTACTTTCCCAACAATCAACTATGTCTTTATTATTCCTTTGACGTTTTCAATACGATTTTCGTAGCCATCAAGGCCCATTGTCCTTAACTAGTATACTGTTAAGTATTCAGTGACACCCGCTTCATTGCCTCACTACGATGCAAAATTTGTTACACCTATATATAAGCGAGGACTCCATATTCTAGGGCCCGCATTATTATTTTAAAGCCGGCCAGGCAAGGGAAGACCACTATGTTTCTAACGGTATTCTATTATATGATAATAACATATATTATAAATATTAACTAAGAACCTATTCCTCCCTTGGAAATCATTGTGGTTAATTCCTGGAGAGTTCAAAACGATGGCCTAAGTGACTTGTTTTCATGATCCTTGCATGCAACTTAAGCTGATAACAATCATCCATTATCACTACTACTCTTCATTTTATATATAAATGAATAAAATTATTTTCCAGGTATTGGTATTATCAGCATTGCATACTGCCGCACAATGCTCTGGAATCGTCAATCCGGGAATCTTACCTGTAGCTGCCATCCCAGCAATTCAAAACGGACCTGTTGTCACAGCTGCCAGTTCGCAATACTTTGAGAGAACTTTCAACCGTTTGGTGGCACCACCCGTGCTAGAACCTGTTATCCCTGTCGCTGCTCCACCGCCTGTGTTCATTCAACCAAGCCCCAGCGCGGCTGTACCAGTTGCACCTATTAACCCGCCAGTCAATGCACCGATTCAACCAAACGTCGCTATAGCCGTGGCGACTGCTCATGCTGCTGCTCCTGTAGCCACTATACTTCTCCCACCATACCCCTTCGGTCCTCCATCAACTATTGGTTTCATACCACCATCACCACCTATCAATGTACCTGATGAAGATAGAAAAGAATCTACGACCGAACCGAATACAAAAACTGAAAGTAAAACGACTATAAGAGTACCAGAAACGACTACACAGGTGCCATCGAATTCAGATAACAGTTTCGTTCAAGCGTTACCATCGAATGAGAACGTAAATTTTAAACAGTATTATGCACCGCCTCAGTACCCACAGGGGCCTTCCCGACCAAAACCACAAAAGCTGAAGACATCCGTCGAAGTTGTTCCTGTACCTTTACAATACATATCTCCGCCACCGATTGTGCAACCTACTCATGCGTCAATAATAAAACATATACATACCTACGTACCAGCCAAGATTATTATTAGACCAGCGTCGCCCTACAGGATAAGGAAGGTTAGAAGACCAGCTCGACCACAGATGTACCGAGCACCGTTGACAGCCAGAGTAGGCATTCCTCAAATTCCACAAAATATTGGAAGGCCTATTACACGAGACATTGAACCTACCACTTTTAGACCCTTTATAAGACCTACTACCAAGCCTCCAAGAGTATTATAGTTAACAATAAATGTCACTAGTTAATTTTAGCACTTGTCAATATTTAAAAATACCTCATGTAAATAAATATTTATATTTTGTTATTAAGTTTGGCTTTTCTATTTTTTTTTCAAATTTTTTCAAATCCGGTGCTGATTGCATGCATACGAGTATATACTGAATATACTGAATATTCAAATACAACGTTTCTTAATTATTAGGTACGAAACAACTACTACTACTACTAACTACTTAATATATTTCTCTACTACTTTGTTTTACAACTGTGTAATATAACAGCTGATATTTAAACTAAGAGGAAGGTTTGCAAATACTATATATTAGCTAGTTATTCCAAATTAATTGTTTATATTGAGTGTAATTATACAGAATTAACTGTAAATTTCGATTCGAAATTGTATGTCATACAATACATGAATGCAGTCTAGTCAATTAAAAGATCTTCATTAAATTATCGATTGGGTATATTTTTAATTTCCAGAATTATGATATAAGCCTTGTACGATTTTATAATTAAAAGATTACATGAAAGGAGAATATCTAAATGAGAAATTAGACATCAATTTAGATATTATTGCATTAAATGTATTGTAAACCGAGGTAGACTTTGTCCTCCTTGCTTTATAAGCTGTGGAACGGTTGAAGAGTAAATAAAGCATTAGCTTTATTTTGTTATTATTATTATTATTTTATCCTGTTTTCTCATTAGAAAAAAACAGGATTTAGCGACATAACAGCTTAGTTCTTCATAATTGCTATACATGAGCGGTATCACGGGTGCTACATGATAACGTGATGCGTGGGTTGTCTTTCAAATTGTTTCCATTTCCATTATATTAATAAATTGTTTCTATTAATATTAGACATTATTAGCCAATTTTGAACTCGACTTTTTTAATCTATTGACATTTGAAAAAATTGGTAAGAAACTGAATTCATACGCTTTTAAAATCAGTCTTCTACAGTTGTTTTAAAAATTAATACTTTTACTTATTAATTTTTTTTTTACTATTATAGTTATGTACTTTATTATTTATTTTATTTATCTATGCTTCGCACAGGTACAGTTTACATAACTTTTTTCTAACATACAAACACAATGGGACAAACGAGCTTGCGGCTCACCTGATGGTAAGTAATTACCGCCTCCCATGGGTACCCACTACACCAGAGGAATTGCAAATGCATTAAAGAAGGTCTTTTCCTGAGGGTTACAACGTCGTATGGTCTTAATAAGTAACTATATATAATATCATATATTTAATACATGTAATATTATATATAGTACATTTGTACTAATAAACATATAATTGTATAAACACATATATTTCATATATTTAAAGAAAATAAATTTTAAACAAGGTTAGGAAGACTTGTTGATTTTCGTTATTGCTATTTATTTTGAAGAGGCGTAACTATCGTTCAAGGAATTTAAGCTACTTCACAGAGGCGAGTTAGTTTCGAACGAGTAGATTTTTATATAGCCAAGCTACTTCAGAGGGAAAGATTTGTTGTGTTAGTAACGGTTTCTGAAATATTTTGGGGGATATAGATACCACTTCATTACCTTCACTGAATGTAACTTTATAAAAATAATATCTGTGATTTATTTATTTATTATTGATTCAGTTACTGTGCATTAAAGATATCCACAATATAACTTCTAATATAATAAAAAGTAGGTATATATCAATGCAAAGACCATTTCGTGTATACTAAATTTATTTAAAGCATTGTATAAATTTCGACCCTATGTGTATTTGCTTAGTAAGAATACAAGGTACCTGTATTCTTTGTTTTCGCCTGAGTGTGGCAACAGATAACTTTTCTAGTTTTCACATTCAATCTTTTTCTTCTATCATTACTAATAAGTGAGAAAGAAAACAGACTTATAACTTTTTTAAAGAACATGAATATATGTAGTATGTGACAGAGTGTTTCACTCTAATTCCATGATCAAGTAGATACAATATCAATATAATTTGGTCAGCGGCCCCTTATCTTATGAGGAGTCAATGGATTTTGTAATTACAATCAATCTAGTTTCTATTTTAAGGTTTTCATACTTTAATATTTTGTATCATCTTACTTAGAAACAATGTCTGCATATCTAAGCTTAACCTGTATTTCCATACAGCATACTCCTAAAGTATTTTGGTGCGATATTCTTTTGTTATATTTCCATCTAAACCGTTAAACAATTTTTAAAGAAGTTTAGTATTTACATATTATATAGATAAAATTATGGAGAAAGGTGTAGGCTTATATTTCGTTATTAAAATAGAAGAAATGAGTGAAATGTAGGTTGAACGTTTGTATGGGAACATTATACGAATTGCTGGAAAATTGTTTTACAGTGAGGTTTGAGCTATTTTGAAGTGTTTAGACCTGTAGCACCGCGATCATATAGATCTATTGTACTCGCCCTTTTCATAGTTCGCGCGTAACAGCTATCTGTTTATTTTAAATAGTTCTAATTAATTGGTACATCGTAAAATTCATGTTCATTGAAATAAGAGACTGACTAGCATTAGGCTCACTCGTTACACACTAGTACCTACGATAGTAAGAAATCAACAATCAATTAGTTAATTTCTTACTATCGTAGGTACTAATTATTACATTATGTCTCTTTTGATGAACAATATACAATTGTCCTACAATTACGTATACAAACATACGTAAAGAAATGTGATTCGAGAGGTATGATGAAGATGAAAAGAGTAAAAATGCAATAAAAAAGCTTTTAATTAAATCACATATAACATCTTAGCAGTCATTTTAAACGGCAACAACGCTAGCTGGACCTGCAACGTACGGAGCGGCCACGGCGGCAGCGGGAGCGACGTATGCTGCTGAAGGTGCGACGTATGCTGCTGAAGGAGCGACGTATGCTGCTGAAGGAGCGACGTATGCAGCCGAGGGTGCGACGTATGCAGCCGAGGGTGCGACGTATGCAGCGGGAGCGGCGACATAAGCAGCAAGTCCGTTGTTAATGCGGTGATAGTACTGGGAGCTGGTTGCGGTCACAATGGGGGCTGGTGCTGCCGCTACTAACGGGGCGCTGACTACTGCAGCGGAAGGCTTAGCGGCGCACATGGCCACAAGAGCAGAGAGGACTAATACCTGAAAATATTGTTTGTTTTAAATAAATGTTCTATTTAAATAGCGAAACTTAAAATAAAGTTGCTACATAAGCAGTACACAATTACAGAATGTAGTGTGCCCATCCTTTTCATATATTGCATTCCTTCTTAAGGAAGATACCTACATAATAACCAATTATTATTAAAATACTACAAAATACTTTATAATAATAAAAAAATAAATATTAATAAGTTTAGTTTAGAAATAATTGGTCCAAATGGGACAGTGGTATTTTATCGCCTACGCCTTTGTACGTAGTTTAATCTTATCGTCTATTTTTCATATACATAGGTACATATTTTTTTAAATCATGCTTTATTACTAAAGCATAGTCAATTGCTGTCATATTGCCACGATTGGGATGATATTTTTTTATTATATATACTCGTAATACAAGAGTTTTCAAATCACTTACGATCTTGATCATTTTTCTTGATTGTATTGTTGCTGATGAAAGCACAAGACTTGTACTGATTGGCACTGCACCAGAACGTTATATACTGTTCGATAATGTTTATGACGCAACATTTACTTACACGGCTGCTTCTTGGCATTGGTTGATGCGTGATATGAATCAAGCCAGATTTTATTCCTTTGGAGAATACATCGCTACATTGCTTTTTGGAAGAAGGACTAGTAAGTAATTCCTATTTGAAATTGAATTCTCAGTAGTACTTTTCAGAGCATTAAGAATGAAAAACTGTTCTGGTTTTTCAGCAAAAAACTTAAGTAGTTATGAGAAAAGACAAAGTTGTCCTTTCTGGTTATGTGTAAGTCATTTCGTATAACATAATGTGAGCAAAGGTAGTTACGGGAGAGAGATATCATGAATGGAACGCGTATGAGATTTGTAAAGTGTCGGCTAGATTTGATTTTACGACATCTTGGAAGTAATTTAGGGTATAAAACCACTAGGTGAGGATGATTTTTAACCTACGACTTGTTGGTACAAAATAATAAAAAGTTACTAAAAACTCTCAGTCGAGATAGAGGACAGCAAAGATAATGGGAATTTTAAAACGTATGATTTTTATATTATACTTATTTAAGAACGCAGGTAAAGTCAGGAACAAAGAAAAAACTAGCTGTCTGTTACATAATGTCCAATAAGGGTAATGTAGATTGGCGTTAGGAGGACCTGGATTTGACATCTTCAATTGTCGCCTGCGAGGGGAGCACTGGGAATATTTGTTATTACATAGTTGTATTTCACCTTTATCTCAATTTTAACTAAATTTATATAAGAAAATGTATAAATCAATTTAATTTAATACGAAGAATTTCAATGTACAATTTCTAATGCTCGTATTAATATATACTACTTTTTATTTTCTATATTATTATGTTAATATAGGACATACATATACGGTCTATATGTCTATCTAAAGTATTTAGCTATTTCGCGATTTCGCGATATTTTCTCGACCCCTATCTTATTATAGTAGATTCAAATATACTGAGCGAACTGTGTTGCGTTCAGCATAACATCGAATGTTGATAATATTTCTAACTAAGGGTTATAGGTAAGGACTTCTTAGGAATGTTACTTTTAAACTATCTTGTTTAGTACGCATTTTTAATACTTGTATAGTTAATCTGGTTAAAGACCACATCGTATCTCTCGAAAATAAGCTGGTCTTTATAGTTTCAATGGACGGAAATGGAAGCGAGTGCAGAGGTCACTCTAAACCAGTGCAGCGGAAGGACTTATGAACGATGTAGACCAAATCCTATAATTTTCGTAATATTAATCCAATGGCACACAGTTATAAAATGCAAATTCAATCCTGGTCGCAGTGACATGTCGCGACTGGATTGACGGTATTTAAAAAAAACTGCTGATACCTACCGACAATAAAATTTATGTACTTCAGTCAGTTCGTGACTACGTCTAGTGCAACCTAAACTATATATTACACGTAATATTATGTTATCTGTGATATTACCTAGAAACTTCGCAAGCGAAAAATACCTTAATTACTATAGACATATTAATTGTAAGCGTCTGATTGATACTGATTGTATATATCCAACATTAGCAACTAAACCGTTAGCAGCTAGATTTCCAGCAAAATTATTAGCTGCAATATTGCTACTGGCTAAACTGTTGGCGACTAAATTATTATTAGCTAAACTACTTGAAGCTACGGAGTTTAGTATAACATAATATAATAGATACCCGTCAATCTATTGCTTTTTAGAAATAATAAATTATATCTTTTATAAAAAAAAAATAATAACAGTAAATCTGCAAAAAAGTAAACATTCATTTTTGCAGTTTAGTCTAGTGCTAATCGACTGTGTATCTTTTACTAGCTATAGGTATAATACAATAGATATGGCCTGTGCTAAATTGAAACTAACAATAAATAAACAAGTTAAATTACAAGATTTCACTTGTATTAAATAATTAATCTGTATAATGAAGTTTCTCATGAAGTCAGTTGTATAACGTGTTTATGTCGTATCCAGGTCGTAATGGAAAAGGCTTCACTATTACAGCCCACATCCAACAAGCACGTGATGTAGTAACTACCCAGTTAGCCATAATAATTAATATATATGACGCTCACGGTAGTGCAGAGCTTCAATGCACAGATTTTTTGTAAAGAAGTAATTAGTTATGGAGAATTGAATAGTTGTTGTACAGTGTGTATATTTTTATAATTATAATATGTTTTATAAAAAAATAACAGACTAGGTGTACTATGATGGCTAAATTTTATTCTAATTAAAATACACTATTTAAAGCCACTTTTTCTTTTTAGTTTTGATCCATATGAATGTGATGATTGGTAGAACGTTAATGGTACCTATACTTTGAGGAGTCAAGAGAATTGTTAGTAATATGGATTAATAACCTAGATAATACTAGCAATGTACCAAATCAGGCTGACCTTCATGCGATTCCCCCTGGAAACCATCATAATTCTTGGTGAATTTGCCACGATGGGCTAATTGACTTGACCTCAGATTCATCTTATCATCCTCCACTGGTATCCTTCCAGCGTATTCCGTTAGCACAGACAAGTGTATCATTCCATTATCATCCCTTAAAAATACCTATACTTTGACGGGGCACCGCTAGAGGCCGATAGGTTGAGGACGAAGTTAGGTTAGTTTACTTATAGAATTAACCATAACACATGGAGGTCGACTGACTTAACATTACAAGCAATTGGTCCCCATTATTTCAATTCGCTATCTGAGATGTACGACGCAGTACTTCATTCTATTGCTGCTATGGTCACTTTTTATAACATAATAAAATTTATGGATATATCTAAGAAAAGAGGCTGTGCGTTATATTTTCTCTCATGAAATCTCCCCAATATCACGGACATAATATTACCACAGATAACATAATATAGTATTACTTTTTGAAAGAAATATTTGTTCCAAAAAGTATGAATATTATCTCAATTAATTGTTATGTAAATTAAGTGCCCATCCATATTCGTACATACATAAAAACTAGTGTAATGTTTATTTAAATTCACTTAAGGAAAGTTCTTTTAGTATAAAAACATTCAAGTGGGTAGCAAATTGTTTTCAATCACGTGATCCTGCCCACGGTATCACGTGTTCTAGTAACCACGCGACGTTGTTCAGGCGTTGACTGAATATTGTTTACAAGTTTTTATTTACTTCACTAAACAAATTAAGAGCACTTAATTGAACCGACTCTGATGGTTCTTTCTGAAATTTATAGAGCTTTCTTCTTGTTGATCCGGTATCAATTTTGGTAATAGGTAATTATATTTGTTTTTTTTGTGTGACACATCTTAATTAATTAATTAATTAAAATCAAATTAAATAATAAATGGTCATTGGTACTTTTCTAAATTTATATTAACCATAAACATAGTACATACATTGTAGACATATTATTTTAATCATTTATCACATTATTAACACTTATATAAACAAAGATGTCGCAACTTCTGCTTGTATCTTAAAGTCCTTTAATATTTAAAGAACCACGTCACTCTTACTTTACCTAATTAATTCCGACTCAAATTTCCTTTGTGTTCCTATATTGAACTCTTGTCGAAAAAAGTTTTGAGGGTTGATACAAATAGCATTAAGGATAATTTTAAGCTCGCTAATGTTAACTATCAATAAAAACGATTGTAACATCAAGGCAAGTATGAAGCGAGTACTTCAGTCTAACATGTTTAGTTTTCACAGAAATTGAAATGGTTGCGTTTATGTTGGTTCATATATTTTATGGTATGTCTTCGAGTGTATATTTAGCGTACATAATAGGTATATGGTGCGGCATAATTGTAGGCGGAGTACGCTATGGGGTAATCGTTGTATACAGAGTAAGATACAGGAGCTGTGTATGCAGCGGCGACAGGCGCTGTATATGCTGCCACCTCAGGATATACAAGAAGTGGCTTCGCCGATGCGAAAGCCAGGAGGGCAGCAAATAATATCTGTAATCAATTTTTTTTTAATTAATAATTTGTTATTTAGTTCTGTGCTGATTTTTTAGTTTTTGTTGAATTTTAGCGTAACCGTATGACCGGAACATTTTGTTTGACCAGGATCAAGCGATTGTGACTTACAAATATTATATTATTGTGAATAATTTATGACTATTAAAACGCCGCGTAGGTTATAAAAGATAAGACATAATTTATTTTTACATTTCTAATAATGTTAAGGATTCTTTTTAAATAAGAATAGCTAAGCAGAGGATATTCTATTACAACTATTAATACTATAAATGTCAAAGTGGTTTTTTCTTTTATATTTAGATATTTCTAAATGCTTTAGGGCTGGATATATTTGAATGAAATTTACTGTACAGCTATTACCAATTCTAAATTAGATTAAGATTTTGATTTTGATCATTAATTATTTATTTGAACTGTATAACTTATCTCTTCACAATTAAATGGTTCTAAATGAAAGTTGACGTTATGAGATATTATATGACTAGGACGGATATAGTCTCTATTTTATTTCAATAGAGAATCTGGAAGGAGTGAAATAGGGAATAAAAGTTTGTCCAGACGTAATCGCGTTGTAATACTTACAAATTTGAACATAATGCTGATGTGACACGCTTGTTAAGTGAATACGACGGTAATGATAATGACACTGGTAGTTGAAAATCACATTATATATGACATGGAATACCTTGCGTATGATCTTGTATGGAGTCAAACCCGGATAACTAGACAAAATATCATCCTAATGGTTCATTAGTATTATGGTCACGTTCAACCTTGCTTAGATCCAGTCCACTGCGAGTTCAAGGGCTCAAAAACGTATTCGGAACTTCAAGTAACACAATTTTGAAAATGGATGTACTTTACATCTAGGTATAATATTGATGTAGATAAGTTACTTATCACTTTAGTATCAACAAGGTAGATGATGTATGTACATCATTTGTTTAGAAGATTTTAATCATATATTTAATGGAAATATTTTCTATCTTTGTTTAAAAGAAGCGGTTCCACCCGCATGAAATTTATAGCCTATATGTTATTCTGATATATAAGCTGCATTACTGTAATTTTTTATCCAAATCCGTTCAGTAGTTTTTGCCTGAAAGAGTAACAAATATCCATCAATACTCATTAACTTTCGTCTTTATAATATTAGTAAGATAAAGGATCTATATCCTTTCTCGGTATAAAATCTATCCTCACGACATATTTTATTAAAACTCTGCACCCGTTAAGTCGTGAAACAAATACTCATAAAAACAGTTTCATAATATAGTTATAAGATATCATGAATATTATTATAGATATCTATGTGCTAGATCAGTCATAGCACTCTTATACCTTTTTAATACTGAAGACATATTATCAGTGGTTGTACATGTTAACTATCAAAGTGAAACAACAGTGTTCGCAATTGTATGTTTAAGATAGTTACGTAGCTATTGCTATCCTAATAAATATATAGAATAAGAGGAGAACGGATTTATATCTGGGTATCACTAAGAAGAGATTAATTAAAATTGAGTAGCATGTAGTTTTGACTGGAGGTGGAAATGATATAAAAAATATATGCTATTAAACGTTTAATTGTATGTATTTATATATTTCGACAAGTTTACTGGATTTCTGCGTCAGCCTAATGACATTCTCGCACGGTGCGATGGCATAAGTTTCTTCATTACAACGACTGGGCGGCGAACTCTCAGTCGCCGGTATCCGCTACCAGACGATATTGTAAGCATCGTTACAATTAGTAGTAGAAGCCACTGAAATATTGAAAGTACACGTAAGTAAGTACACATATGAGACAGTACGAGACAATGAGACCTTTAGTAGCAAGGAAAGTAAGGCGGTGTGCTAGACTAGACCACGGCCTCAGTGGTCTAGTCTAGCACATCGCCTTACTTTCCATGGTCTCGGGATCGTTTCCTCGCATGACACAAACATATATATTCATGAGTACGATTGTTTGCATCGGTCTAGGTGTTTTCTATGTATAATATGTATGTATTTATGAAAAAAATATAACTATGTATTTGTATCAGTTATCTAGTACCTATAACACAAGCTAGTTTTATTTGAGTCTAGATGGCGCTGCGTAAATTGTCCTGAGATTATTATTATTATTATGACATTAAATGTTCTTACTCTTTCTCACACAACATTTAATTATAGTATCACAAATTTTCACATTTCAAGTATGTATAAATTACAACAGACTAGAATTTACAGACGTAGATAAAAAACCTTTCATTATTTCAATTTTCTTACAGGTATCTATTATTATAAGTAATTAAAGTTTACACAGACAAGCTATATAAAAGTATACAGTTTCCTTTTCTCTGTATTTTTAGCCTGTGTAGATAAAGAATCTAATATATTTAGATGGACTTCAATAACATTGATAAATAGAGCAAAATTACTGTAATCATCAGGAAGGATATTCTGAAATATCCTTCGTAATATGTTTACATGCGGTAATTTTGATTATTTGTATGTCAAGATGTCTCAGACATAAATAAATTAGTATTATACATATTGTAAAAGGAGTGTCTAATTGTCAGCCTGTCTATTTATAGATAGTACGTATATTTATTATTTTATATTGTTGTATAAGAGGATATATTTAGAGGTGACATATGGGCATGCGTAGTAACTAAAGTACAGAGATTTTATGTCCATATGTTTGATGATTACACATTCAATTTAATAATTTTCTAAAAATAATGGGTAAGGCATACAAGATATATTAATAAAACTATATATGTGCACAGATTTAGTATAATAATAATAGATGATGACGAAAATGAAGGTCTAAATTTATTAAACAATATCCTATAAAAAACTTTTCAGAACAGAGGAAATTTACATATTTTTAATAGACATGTTAGGATAATATACACTACGTAATTGTTTAACTCTGGCAATTCGCAGTATTATATATATGACATAAAGAAATGCATAAGAAAATAATTCTACATTAAAAAACTAGGTAAGTACTCACCGTTTTCAAAAGCATCTTGTTTCAATGAGATTGAAAATACTTCACGAGGTGTTAATATACTAGCCTAATTCAATTTAAGTTGATTAAAAAGTTAACCCGTTACACAAATTGATTGTACAATTTAATCGATTAACTAATCATGAAACGTAACTTAATAATGTGCATTAATTGTTTTAAAGGCTATTAAACTGGGAAATACGTCTGTTAATGATTTAATTTTATGCAAAACGTATTTCCGTTAAAACAAGTTCTAATACAAAAAAATAATAATAAACAAACCTTTGTATTTATTATTTTTATTAAAGTATTAATTAGTAATAGAATAAAAACAGTTTTTATAAGATAACATCTTTGATTCTCGACTATTTTCCTGAAATAGGAAAAATGGGTGTGACGTGGTCGAGTGGAATGAGTAGTCATGCTCACTAAAATGTCCAGACATGTGGCGGCGTGGTGGGCCGGGTCATTGGGCTCCCTAAAATATGGTCGAGCGCAGTGATGGCTGGCTCATCCGTCATACTCGTGAACGAGTGCTGCTTGTAGGGACTGGTCTGCTCTTATCACTACGACTGATTTAATCTTATTGTGTTTTTATAGTTGAGCCTAAATAAATTAGTGCTGGTTGGAGGTTTGTATTCACACGTTTCGACTTGTAAAATGTGAACTTACAAGGATTGTTTAAAAGAGCAACACACAAGTTTCTTGCTTATTCTTCTTGTGATGAGACAGCTTTCCGAATAAGCGGTAGATTTAAAAAAATGTTGACTATTCAAAAGTGCTTAAATTAAGTTTATTTGAATAAATGATTTTCTATTCTTGGGTATCACATGTACCTACTTAATTTTTCTTAATATGTACATTTAACACACAAAGTTATCACAAATTTAGAGAATTAAAGAATCATTGTTTATAAGACTGGATAACTATCTCCGTTGCATGGCAACGTCTCTGATCAGTGTTATTACTTGATATTCAAAGCATACGCCGCAAGGCTGTTTCTTCATAGTGATTCTTCAACAAACGTTTAGTATAAAATGGGAGTGAAATACGACACAACATCACATTCAAAAGTATTCTTGAATTCAGCTGCTTCTCCAGACTTACTTGTAAAACAAACAAAATGTTCAAGCTGGTAAGATTTTTAATAGTTAGGAATATTAATTATATTTAATTTAATTACTCATTCTACATACATACATTTTAACTAAAATACTACTTATAATTACTATAAATTTATAGTAAACCTTATTTGAAATATTTTGCTTATTAATTATTGTATTTGAGATATGTAACTAATTAAGTTATAACCGATCACAGAGAATACAGTAACAAAATAAAGTAATCAATTGTTCATTTAAACTTATGTAATATGTCATACTTTATATAATCATAGGTTTCAATTTCGAAAGAGGAAATCTAAGCAAACTACACTAACGCAAATTTAATACATCAGTTAGTTTTTACATATGTGTTATTAATTTCAGTTCATATTCGCCTGCTTCCTGGCCCTCGCTGCCGCCAAACCTGGAGTACTAGCGCCGGTGGCGTACACCGCTCCCGTAGCGGCGGCGTACACCGCGCCCGTGGCGGCCGCGTACACAGCACCCCTCGCGTACTCCGCGTACTCCGCCTACACTGCCCCTGTTGCTGCGTACTCGGCGTACAGCTATGCCTCACCATACACCGCCTACTACCTACGTCGCTAGAATCCTGTAATAATAAAAAAATAATAAATAAATGTGTTATCAAAGCCGAACAATAAATTATTAAGCACAAATGATTTTCTGTTATTATTTATTTATTTATTAACTATAACGTGAATAACAGAGTACCTAGTTACATAACAATGCATTATACTTTAAGTCACAACTTTATATGAAAAATAATGAAATCTATTTGTTACATGTAATTCAACTCAGATTCTTCAAAGGAAATTGAATGTTGCATCGTATTTTGTAGTTTCATGCAAAATGCGTTGCAACATTAAGTTTTTGTGGCCATAATCGAAATACAAATACGTGTGATGTGTATTATTTTGTACGTTTTTCTATTAATACACCGGTTGCTTATCTGCTACAAGTACATTGCGTACTTGAATTAAAATTGGTACTTTTAGGTTTTGATAATCATTACTTTTCAGGAACAAATATAAATATATTTTGTTCCTGAAAAGTAACAACATAATATATATAGATAACTATTGTTATTTGTGAAACAAGTTTATTTTACAAATAACAATAGTACTAGGGTAGTAAGATAAAAAATATACCAATTTATTTATTTATTAGCATACAAAACAGATTACAATCAATACATTAATATAATTAGGAGCGTGTTGTTCGGTACAAAACTGGATTGTAATCCAACAGAATGTATGCCTAAAAGATAATTTATATAGACGCATTCAATATACGCTGGATAAGGTTATGTAATAAAAAGTAAACTAAATAGAAAATAATATATAACAACGTGATGCTATAAATCATTATGTTAAGAGAAATTTATTTATACATAAAAAAATAGGTAAATTAAGTATATTTTGACACACTTTAATTTAACTGTTTACGATGGAAATTTAATTGTCTCCGGAACTGAACCAGTTTTGATGGGAAATATATATATTTCTATTCGAGACAAGAATGTATTTATTATTATGTATTGGCGACACATTCGAACTATTTGATAATCAAATATGAAGTATTATTTGAGTAAACCTGTAGATAGAAAGTGTTATAAATACTATTGCGTGATCTAAATTTCGTATTAAAGTTTAACAGAGAAAGAACAGTCCAACTGATGATGAATAATTTTATGTAACAAGCTCAGGTCATTCTTTTGTCGTTTTATGTACAAAGAGATTAAAATATTTCAGAAGTTCACTGTAAGATGCAAGTTTACGACCTAAGCCGCATATAGCTAAGTATCTTTAAATAACAACTTTGAATACTTTCAATTTGATTGCTACGTAGTCTATAGAAGAGAGACCATATCCGAGTTATATTCTAAAAATATACAAACGAGTGAGAAATAAATAGAAATTAAGCTTCTATTCTACCGAAAGTTTTTAGTAGATCTTGTAATTAACCCAAGAAGACGATAGCTACGGTCAACAACATTACAATTACATAAGTCTACAGTTAATTATTTACTGTAACAACATTAATTAAAATAAGCTCTGAAATTAGGTGACAATATCGGGTGACAATACACACATAAATACAGTAGTTTTCTGTACCTTCTATTTGTAATTGAAATAAAAAATATTAATTATTACTGAATTAAATTAGCCTCATTAACCTACTGCAGTTGGCCCTTATACATAGGCCTTACGTCGGTGAATGTAGTTTTCTAATGTAGGAATCGATCTCTTAACATAGTAATATTACTATATAGTGCTAAGGGGCAACCGGAATAAACATTAAAAGAGAGATATGGACATCACATCATCAAATGAAACCTCCAGTACGCCTTATACATTTATTTTTTAGATAAGAACGAAGTATATGATCTATTATATCTACGGGTTATATGATAAATACTCAAATATCCATTAACATTCACAACTAATGAATGGCTGGGCCATATTTAATTATTTCTGATTTATTGGAGTGATGTAGGATAATACATAAAAATTCTTATAGCGAAATTTAAAGAAAAATATGATTAATGTATTAAAACTGATAGCGTCAAATCTAATAGCCTCGATAATTCTAGATTATCCCATATCAGATAAAATAGTCAAATATGTAAAATAAATTCTCAGTGTTATATTATTAAGACCCCAAATGGAATGAAACGAGCATTAAATGTTATGGGATGTTTATTATAATAATAATATATATATAGTCCCGAGATAAGCAGAACGTATGTTATGGCTACAAGAACGCTGATATAAATACCTACTTAAATAACTCACATAGAAAGCACCCATACCTATACAAACAATTATACCCTTGGATGCAAATGTTTGTACCGTACGAGGAATCGAAACCGCGACAATCAGAAGTAAAGTGGTGTGCTAAATCCATAGTTAGACCACCATGCGTGCTAAATCGTTAAATCGACAAGTTGCAGAATAAACAGATAATGCAGAAGACAAATAAAGCAGAAGCAAACTGAATTATTTTGATTGAGAGAAAAGACATTTAATTCTAGATTTTTATAGTGTGTCCCAAATAAAGATTACTTTAAATATTGTTAAAATAGTAGGCAAAGAAAAAATATTCAATTTGATGGCCCTAACTTATTTTCCTAGGAAAATAAGTTAGGGCCATCATATATAAAAATCTGGAATTAAATGTCTTTTCTCTCAATTTCAACTATTTACTTGTAATAATGAATTATAATTTCATATAAAATAGCATACATTATAATTGAAGTCATTGTATATTACACTTTATTACTACGTACTACATTGTATAACAGGGTTATTATTATCTTCTTTATTGTTACTATCAAAAGAAGCCCTGTCACCGTTACTTAGGTACTTCTGACAACGGTGTCATGTTATATGATGTCATTTTGTAAAACCACAACAAGGAATTATTCTTATTATATTACATTTATATATATTCTTTACTGCACTTTTAAATACAGTTCTAAACTTAAACATATACAGAGTGAGCAAAGGTGGACTTATCTCTAAGAGAGATCTCTACCAGTCAACCCAACAGTGTGGCATAGCTAGTGGTGAGTAGGTAACACCTGTGCAATTAAAACTATTATGTTAAAATCTCCAAAAGTTGAAAAAATAAAATATTTAAAATTCAACATATTAAATAAAGTTCGAATTATATTATAATTATAATAAAATATACAATAATAAATAAAATAAACATTAAGAAAAGTTATATATATATATATATATATATATATATACATACATATACAATTACTATAGATATCTACATATATTACACAAAATACAAATAATAAAATACATGATGAAACGAATCATACTAAGGTCGATAAATAGTACGATTTCAACCTTTTCTTAAAACAACCGATTGATGGACTTTCCTGTATCTGTACTGGTAGTTTGTTCCATAACCCGTTAATTAGAGAATACTTTGGTCGAACATGCTTCTACGACCTTCCTAACAGTCTGAAGATACTTATTATTCCAGGCATACGCACCAAGGCTATTTCTTCATTGAGAGTCTTCGATACAATCGGTTAGTATAAATTGGATCGAAACTTAATACAAAACATCACATACGCTACTACCATTGTAGTCACTTGTTTCTTCTGAAACCTTCTAAACCAGTAAACAACATGTTCAAGCTGGTAAGTTTTAACGGAATATTGAAGTTTACGTTCAACTGAGTATTTACTCGGAATATATAATTAAGTGTGTGGAATAGTGAGAATTTTTGAAATCGGGCAAATTATTTTGTTTCTTTATTACAAATATACAAACAATAAAATATTTCTTCTTCGTAATATATAGATGTATGTTTATTATTCTGGAATTTAATTGCCGTAAAAGTAACAGAAAGTGAAAGAAGAAAAAGTATAAGATTTATAATAAGTTATGTAACTAAAACAGAGCACAATAATAGGAATTCAATAGTGTTAAAGCTTATATTGTAATTCATTTCAGTTCGTCTTCGCCTGCTTCCTGGCCCTCGCTGCCGCCAAACCTGGAGTACTAGCGCCGGTGGCGTACACCGCTCCCGTAGCGGCGGCGTACACCGCGCCCGTGGCGGCCGCGTACACAGCACCCCTTGCGTACTCTGCGTACTCCGCATACACCGCCCCTGTTGCTGCGTACTCGGCGTACAGCTATGCCTCACCATACGCCGCGTACTACCTACGTCGCTAAAATCACAAATCTTTAAACGTGTTGTCAATTCCGAACAATAAATTATTATTAATCACATGTATTTCCTGTTATTATTATTTGTGCAATAATTAATATTTATTTTTACTACTTACTAGGCATTCACCTATGCCTCAGTTTTATCCAGTACTACCAATTGACAATAATGTATGTAAATGATTGTCAATGGATATTAACTATCAAAGTGTTTGTATATACGTAATTACATACAAACACTTCGATCATTCCTGTCCAATTCACAAATACCCTCCAGGTAAACAGATGTGAAGACCAATAAGTCAAATAGTCTAGTAAACTAACTTTTATCCAATTTTGGAACTTTAGTACTGATCAACTAGTATTTATGGATACAAATGACACATATTTATAAAAGTAAACTCATAAACCATTTTAGGCTCCTGTATGTCTATATAATACGTTCATGGCATCGGTATCGCCAAGATATTGTCTACTTACTTACTGACTTATTGAAGAGTCATGCAGATAAAATAAATCGAATGAACAATTCAATTGTACAATTGAGGAGCAATATAAAACTTGTTTTCATTAAATATATTAATTTAAAAGGTGTTTGTATTTTTTTTTTACTTATTATAATACTATCTCTGATTTAAAAGTACTTCTTGACGGCTCTATTTACAAAAAATATGTTTTATTTTAATGAATCAATAAAAAGCTGTTCATAATGTATGTAGTCTTAAGAATTTATTTTATTTATTTAGGGTGTAACAAATTACATGCTCAGGTACAAATAAACTTATTTATCTTTCACTAAAAAGTATTATGCTTTTAACAAATAAAAATATATATACAAAAATGTATAATAAAACATTAGCGGTCACCTACAACAGTAATCTATTATGTACCCTGTTACCTGATAATCTAGGTCCTATGAACATCAACCAAGTATACGTTGGGGCTTTCAGACCCAATGGTCTGTGGATAGAAACCGTATCAATTTACGGTTTCTATCCACATATCCAATCAAAGAAGTACCCACACTACCATCCATATTACCAACTAAATGGCCACCCACATTTCCGCTCATATCACCCCTAGACTCCAATCAACATATTTGTAAAAGAAAACAAATACATTAAAAAAATAAGTAATTTTTTCTCAATTGAACTCTATTTTATATGCGGCAGCATGTTACACGATGTCAATGTGAAGTATGAACCGATATGAACTCCGAATACTTCTTGGTTTCTTATTCTTAGTCCTCATCTCCTTTAATTGAAACATCAAATATATGCACTGCCTATGCAAAAAAATATTAGACCTGTATTGTATATAGTTACTATTCAAGCAAAAAAATATGAAAATAATCGTTAGAAAATAAAGGAATTACATCGGTTATTTTATAAATCTGTTAGTTCAGCAAGGTGCCTGTTATTTGATGATGATCTCAAATTATATTTTAAAATTAATAGCTACTTTGATTGTATTCTTCTCTAACAAGATATTGATTCCGTCAAACAATGGAGTGAGAAGAATGACTTAATGTTTAATATTGACAAATGTTCAGTGTTAACACTCAGTCGATTAAAAAAACCTTTTATCTTTAATTACTGTCTAGACTCCACGTGTCTACCAAGAGTTAGCTCTGTTAGCGATTTAGGAGTGTTAATGATTGTGATGAGGATTTATCTTTTCGTGAACATATCGTAGGGATATGTCGCAGATCATACAGATATCTAGGATTTGTACAGAGGCAGGCCCAACATCTGAATAGTGTTGAAGCTATCAAAATTTTGTATAATGCTTACGTTAGGAGTATTTTAGAAAGTAACGCTATCATATGGAATCCACACGAGACAAAATATTCAATGATGATTGAAAAATTGCAAAAAATGTTTATCAGATGGTTATACTATAAACAATATGTTTATCGAGTAGGTTATCCACATTTATATCCGAGCACTTTCTTGTTAGGTATGGTGGGATATAGAGCCCTCGAAGTGAGACGAAATATATTACTCCTGGAGTTCGTATTCAAAATTATCAGAGGAATAAGATATAATCCAACTATATTAGACCTGATCAGCTTTCACGTCCCAGAACATAGAAAGCGTAATCGTAAATACAATTTATTTGCCCTGCTCCTGTGTAGAACCTTAAATGCTGATCATGCACCACTCCCAAGAGCACTCCGTCTGCTTAATGAGTTATATAATTTTTTCCACTTGACATATTTAATTGTACTGCCACAGAGTTTCACAGAGCGGTAACAAATTTTGTGGAGTCACAGTATTAGTATATTTCTAGATTATGGATATTATTGTAGCTGTTTTTATTTTCATTATTTTTAATTTTGTTTCTTTTTTTTATGACCTTATTGTTATCATTACTATTATTATTAATGTATGTATTGCATACGTTTTATTCCTTGGTGAGTGCATTGGTATTGTACTGGAATACTCACTGAGAGCATGTAATTTTATAAATAAATAAATAATGATTATTTTCTTACTGATTCTTACACATATCTTCTCGTTTAATGAGAACAAAATTAATATAAAATACTTAATATATTGTATATAGTATATTTACTAATAACTGAATACTCATTTTTAGTTTTGTATTTGATATTGGATAGTGCCAAAAGTGTGATGTATGAAAATAATGAATTAAGTCTTTTATGGCTCACGTATTTATACGGCATTTCACACAAACGTTTGTTTTGTAGAACTAGAACGAAATGGTAATTTGTCTCAGTTTGCATAACAAATTAGTTCCTTGTAAATAACGAAAGTTGATAGGTACCTATGCAACTTAATTGTAATAAATTATTAAAGTTAAATATCATATTAAATAATAGGTATTAAATTACTATTCATTTTAATTCAATATACACACGAATGTACTATTAACTAAAGATTTATTTGTTTCTTTATAATCAACTTTTTAAATAGTGGTACCTGTACTTACGTTTCAACAAAAAACACGTTGAAACAATAATTTTATGTAAACTTTGTTATATTTCTAGTACATCTATAGTAGTAGTTTTCATCGATTTCAGTCGCCAAGCAGCATGTTTGTATGATGCTTTAGGGTTGAAAGACTGAAATAGGCCAGTGTAATTAGAAGATATAGAGGGAACTCTTCTAGTCCTAGTGGAAACATGGCAGTCACATGTTCGTGATGATGTTAATATATAGACCATACAGTTATTACAATCAGCTTTTTTGAATCACACAAACCCATAAGTTAATTCGGTTAGTCCTTGTATCAGATTATATTTTTTTCTATGATAAGTGGCGCCTTGTCCGAAATATTTTATGATTTTATCGTAGATCAAAAAAATACATAGAATATACCTTTTTATAAATCGTATATATACGTCAAATACTTGAGCCTTACTTTAATTATTTTTATAATATTTCAGGACAATTCACACAGGGGCCATCTAGTCCCAAGCTAAGCAGAGGTTTTGTTACGTAAAAAAAAGTATCTTGTATTTGTATAGAACCACAAATACATAGATACTTTATTTGTAAATGAACACATAATATATGAATATAGAAAACACCCAGACTGATACAAACAATCATACTCATGACTATAAATGTTTGCGACGTGCGAGGAATAGAGCCCGCGACCCATGGAAGTAAAGCGGGGTCTTACCCGCTAAGTCACTGAGGCCGTCAACCGTATCTTACATATAGTTTTGCAAATCCCATGTTTAAATAAAAACTAGTTGCAATAAGTATTTTTAAACACATATAATTATAGGAATGTCCTTTATAATCTGAGTTTACTAGAAGAGAACTTTTCCCATATTGATTATTTATTTGGTAATGCAATAACAAACAACTTTATTGCCTATGTAATGTAAAATAACAACAGGTTACAGTCGCTTCCATACATGCACTGTGCAACGGACATGATGTGACGGACACGACATGTCCTCAATTGAAGACCGTGGATCCTTTCCCCCTTTACCCCTTTTGCGATGCCATTCGTAATGACCAAGGTATTATGCCTCCGTACTTATTAAATTTTTACTCTGCTACTTTTTTAAAACGTAATTAATCAATTAACATTTAATAATAAATAGTTACAAATACATCATACATACATTAACAGTCTTCTAAAATAACTAGGTTGTATAAAAACACAATGTTTTATGTCAATTTATACAACACTAATGAAATAAATTTAATTATTAGTCTAATATAAATTGACACGAAACTCTCGATAGACAAGCGAGCTTATTCTTATATTTTTTGTAAAACCTGATCGGACGCAAACAGGTAGTCCATCAAACTCGTTAAGTTATATTAATTGGCTAAGAAATATTAATATAATTGATACATACGTCATAAACGTCATGAAATAATGTATAAGTTAATGTGTTTTACCTCAATAATCAATTCAAATAATTACAGTAATTACTAAAATGAATTTATTTGTTATGTCACGCATATTACAAGTACGGATATAGGATAGAACTTTCTCTTAAAAATAGCAGGAAATTGTGAGCTTGAAATAAACAAATAATTCTACATATATTATCTATACGAAGCTATCCAATGGTGATGTTTTCTATGTATAAATTGTATATAATATATATAGAAAACATCCAGCATGTCTTACTTGTATGCTGCTATACACAAGCTTTAGATAGCTTAACTTGGGTCTAGATGGGACTGTGTGAATAGTCTTCAGTTTATTATTATTATTATGGTTTATTTTCTTCGCTAATTATTTTATATTAATATTGTCTATATATATTTGAACGTCGATTCATTCTAGCATCATAAAATGTTTATTGACTAACTTTATAAATGTCAACTTCTGATTTTATTTGTTACGACTTTTATGTATATAGGAGGTATCGCTAAAATTGTTAGCTATAACATACGTTGTTTATATTAAAAAATTAGGAAAATAAATTTGCATAACAAAATGAGTTGATGGACATTTGATTTTGAACTATTTAGTATTGTAATGTAAATCACTGCGGACTTATTAGATTTCACATTAATATTAAGTTAAAATAATTGTAAACACAACAAACAAAGATTAAGTAGACGTCGTTAAATACATGTGTTATGAGGTGGATATAATGGATCTGATTGGCGTTGAAACATTCAAATTGACAACTCCATGGGGGTCTCATGATAATTTGATGTCAGTAGTCCTGTTCCGGTACATAGGCACAGATAAAATTATATTATATAATATAGGCGACTATTACCACTTACCATTAGATGGCCTGTCAGCTTTTTAGCCGTTCCATTTACATATTATATTTACTTACTTTCATTTTGAGATTGTACTTACTATCGGATTGTCAGGTCAATAAGTATTCATTCATAGATAGTATTTATTACCATATATATATAATAATAATATATAGATATTTTTCATTTTCATCAGTGCACCGCTAACAAACTTTCTCGGCACCACTCATGGTTGACTAAGGTAGATAAATCCACAAGGTGTATAGTCCTCCATTCATTTTATTTACATATGTGCATTGAAAGAAAATAAATAAAAATAAAACAAAATAAATAACGCAATACCTGAGATATTTTATTGAACTGGGTTTCAATAAAATATCTTAGGTATTTAGTAGCTAAGAATTTCAATCATGTCTATTTACAAACAAACAGAGCGGCATATTAATTGGTCCATTCGTTTAGGAGTTACAATGCCGCAGGGAAACAGACATACACGTCGAACATACGACACTTCACTTTGTAGTTGGTTAAAAATAAATCTCTATATGTTATATAGATTAGTGAGTAGTTAATTATGTGCATAATCCTGCTGAATTTAGTATTAAAAGCGAGAGTAAAACCCAATTGATTTGAAAAGCAAAGAGAATTGTTCAATTATGTATTTTTCATTATGGTATTTTGTTCAGGATATAACAAGTAAAGTAGAACACTAAGGCATAAATAAACGTATTTATTTAGATATTCAGTAGTTATATTTTTCACATATAAGCAAATCTATACAAAAACTTTGAACATCAATGTCATTATATTAGTATTTTTCTAAGTGTTTCTAGCTTGACATATAACTACCTGATAATCCATATACAATGGGCATCAAACGGGGGTACGTTGGGACAGCTACACCACTGTAAAGGCGTCCGCCTATACCACCAGTAATACGACCACCAATAGCACCACCCATACCACCACCCATACCACCGCCCATACCACCACCCATACCACCTCCCATACCACCGCCCATACCACCACTCATACCACCACCCATACCACCACCCATACCACCACCAATGCCACCACCAATACCACCACCAATACCACCACCAATACCACCACCAATACCACCACCAATACCCCCACCAATACTACCACTACCAAAACCTAAAGCCCCTAAATCGAAGTCAGTCAGACTGAATGTCCGACGTGGAGTTAGTACGGACGCATTGCTGACTGCAACCAGCACGAAGCACATCTGTAAAATTGAAATAAATAAAGGCATTTCTAAACTTGTATGTGTTATAATAATATATATATATATATATTTAGTATATATATAGGTAATAAAAGGAGGAATTCTCAGATCGACTACATTTTTTATGAGTTAGTATCTTAATCTTACACTGTTATTCAAGTTGGTCGATTTTGGATTGAGGCACTTCGGCCAAGTGAAATAAGACTATAATCGCATCATAAGAATTTTAAAATCAAGAGGTTTATATAAAACAAAGTTCTGATGCAACATACAAAAAATATATACAGTCGAAATGAGTAGATTATATCAATTATTTTATACGTACCAATAAATGCATTCTCATTTTTTATTTTCCTACTTATGATATGGAAGAGCCAAAAGTGTGGTGTTTCATAACAATGGCGCAAGTAATTTATGGCATACGTTTTTATATGAATTTCTGTCAAGCGTTCGTTTGTAGAACGAAATGGCAATTTGTCTCAGTTTGGATAACAATTTAGTACCTTGTAAATAATAAAAGTTAAGTACTATACTTAATTGTAATGAATCAATTGAATTTCCTACTTACTTAACTTTTTATTTTGTTTGTATGCATGGTTCACGTAATTCGCTCTGTAATATTACTGTTCAATTTATTTTGATACAATTCAAAATAGTATTCTATAATATTCTAATTTTCTGTAAAGTAAAATAAAAGTTATATTTTTAAAACAAAATATATATATCATCTTTGTATTCTGTATCATTGTTTTCTACTTATAGAATAATAACTATATTCCATATAATAAATTGGTTATACGTTTTGTAAAATAAACATAACGATCCTCATTCATGATACTTTTGTGTGAATTTTAACGGTTATTTTATACAATTATGTCAAAGTGTTGTGTCATTGCGGTTTACTACCCTTACTTACACTAAAAGTGGGTTCAAATATGGCTGACATCAAAAAATCTTTGTATTTATGACTAAAGGTGAAGGCTATTTATTTGTACCGATAGCAAAATAAAATTTAATTTGGGAGACGCCGCGGAGCCGATAGATCTCCTCTTGCCCAGTTGGATTTAAGTACTCGTATACCCAGAAAAGATGAGCATATCAAGTGTTGTATGTCCATTACGTTGACAATTGATAAACCCCCTGACTATATCTTAGACTATATCTGACATAATAGTAATGGCGTTATATTATTATTCAATTATTAAACATGTCCCCATTACTATGAAACACTATTTGTACACAGTGCTATAACATTCAGCGTGCTGATAAGTGTTGATAAGCTGCTAAACTCTGAGTTAAATTATTATTATTCACAATTTACGATAAATGAATATCAATTTCAACGATGACCAGGTTGTAATTTATGATGAAGTTATGAACTATACAATAAGCCACCAGTGATAAATGGAATGTTAAAAATATAGGAGAAGGTCAGGCCAGATTAGGTTCACTATTTTGCAAATAATATAATAATGATACAGAAAATTAGCAACAGCACGCCAGTGGAGTTAACAGTGTACTAGGAATGAGGAGCCACCCTATTACTAAAAACCCCTTTGTCCTTACTAAATAAGAAACACTTGGTCTGCATCATGTAAAAAAAGTTATTTATAAAAAACATTCAAATTGAAAATCATTTCATCGAAAATGCTATAATGACAAAAAATAGCGCAATTAAAGTGCGTACTAAGTAGTGCGTGCGTAGTAAGAAACAAAGAATACTATTTATGAATCGCCTCGAGCTAACGTTTATATTTAACATATCACCTAGTTTGTATATTTATTAGTATAGATTGTTTATTTATCTAATATTAGACAATATAAATACTTAATAATAATATGAATAGAATAGAAAATACTTTTTTCATATAAACTTAATTTAAGCATAGTAAATATATTATAGTAACTATATCTATAGTATTTATACCGTATAGTATCATCGAATGTTTTAAACCGCTAGACCACGGAGGCCGACAAAATATTTTTTGTTTGTTATGTAAACTGTTTACATAACAAACAATTAAGTAAATTAAGACAAAAAGTAAATAACGAGATAAAAAAAAATTAAATATAATAGAAAATTATTTATTCAAATAAACTTGCATTAAAGCACTGTTGAATAGTCATATTTTTTTTTCAATCTACCGCTTATTCCGAAAGCTATCTCATATAATATGTAACTTTACTAGTATGTGTTTTATAACGAAATACTATCCTTGTTAACTTCTCAACTCTCATACCGACCATACTAATCGCAATTCAAAAAACGTGGCCCACAAATGCAAAGGAGGTGCACACATCACGTTGCGTATGTCAGCCTTCAGAACTTACTATAAAGTACGCCACAAACAGTAATTGAACATCATTCAGTTCAGTAACTCAGTGAACAAACAATCAAGATGTTCAAACTGGTGAGTAGATAGTTACATTTTATGGATTCCTCGTCCAATTAAAACGGGGATCGCAATTACGACGGCCTAAGCCGAAGTTAGAACCCCTAGCGGTGCCTTCAAACTAAAGTCGTATCCGTCAGGCCTTCGTCCGTTCTATAAGTCCTTCCGCGGGTTTGGAGTGCCATCTGCACTCCTTCCCCATCGTCCGGTGAAGCTGTAAAGGCCAGCTGTAGCCAAAATAATTAAAGTAATCCGAAAAAAAGTAGCTTAATTTAAAAGTAGAACAGTTAACTACGACAATACACAAGATGAAATTATCATAACGGTAACTTTACAGTCAAACTTTTATTGTTTCAGTTCATATTCGCCTGCTTCCTGGCCCTCGCTGCCGCCAAACCTGGAGTACTAGCGCCGGTGGCGTACACCGCTCCCGTAGCGGCAGCGTACACCGCGCCCGTGGCGGCCGCGTACACAGCACCCCTCGCGTACTCTGCGTACTCCGCCTACACCGCCCCTGTTGCTGCGTACTCGGCGTACAGCTATGCCTCACCATACGCCGCCTATTACCTACGTCGCTAAGTTTTAAAGAAAGCAATAAAAGATTAAGAAATGTATGCCGACTCCGATTTATAAGTGTGAATAATAAATTGTTAAGCACTACATTTTACTTTTATTTATGTCATCTGATCATTTTAAAGCTGTTACTGTGCGTAAACTGTTTTCAGCTTGATAAAATGATGCACTGAATGCAATGTATTTTAAAATTTGTGTTAATAAAAACAATGTATTAATTTTTGCGAAAATAGACAATTCAAAAGATTTTTTTTTATTACTACAGATATTCATTATAATCCTTACTAATATTATAAATGCGAAAGTAACTCTGTCTGTCTGTCTGTCTGTCTCGCTTTCACGCCAAAACTACTAAATCAACTTGAATGAAATTTTCGTATACAGATAATATAGACCCTGAGAACGGACATAGGTTACATTTTAATGCGAAAAAAGGGTTGTAAGGGGTTAAAAAGGGGGATGAAAGATTGTATGGAAGAACGTCATTTTTGAAGCTAGAGGCTTGAAACTTATATTTGAGGCTGTTGATTAAATATAAATAAATGTGACATTCATTGTTTGTAAAAAAATTACCCTTACAATAGGGAATGAAAGTTTTTGTGGAAATTTGTTGTTTGTGTGGTTGTGGAATCTAGAACGATTAAACTTTTTTCTTTGACTTTTTAGAGTTAGTTTATTAAATATCTTACTAATATTATAAATGTGAAAGTAACTTTGTCTGTCTGTTTGTCTCGCTTACACGCCAAGAATACTGAACCGATTTAAATTGAAATTTGAAACAGACATAGATAGACTAGATCCTGAGAAAGGACATAGGTTACTTTTTAGTGTGAAAAAGGATTGCAAGAGGATTGAAAGGGTAGATCCATGTATAAAGTTAAAAGCTTGAAATTTATTTTTTAGCCTATTGATTAAATATAAATAAAGAAATAGGTTTGAAAGATTGTATAGAAGTGTCCTCAGTATCAAAGTTAGATGCCTGAAACTAATTTTTTAAGCTGTTGATTGAATTTTATGGAATTTTTGAAGTTAAAACGATGAAACTTTTTTATTTGACTTATATTGAGTTAAGTTATTAAATATTTTTCATTATTTACGCGGACGAAGTCGCGGGTACAGCTAGTAGAATATATATTACGTTCACAGATTTTTTAAAAGATTTACAGGTGAGATATATTATATCAATTATATAAAATAAAACATCCGGAAAATGTATACATTATATAAACTTCGAGTTATTTTCACAATTAAAAAAATATATATATATATATATATATATATATATATATATATATATATATACGAAATCAAGCAGCATTTTAATTAAAAAATCCACAAACAATGGTCCTCTTTAGGATATCTATTGAACTTGTTCTTCTCAACCAAATATGTAGCGAGGAATCGGATGAACAATGGAGAAAACTAAACTGTTATCTTATTCAACACATTTTATTTATTAATAGTAACCTAAGAAATATTTCTACTAGCATATAATTCAGAAAAATAATTAAATATCATTCTGCAACTGCTGGTAATGGTTGGCAACATAATAGAAAAGTAGATATAAATATACGGATTCTTAAAAAAAGAGAGACCTGAACAGTAAATTGTGCCAAATGTAGGGACTTAAATCAAGTATTTACCTGACATAAGTGTTTTATTATAGAATCTACCGTCTATATCCATACGTAAACGAACGTAACTTTCGGACGATGACGCATATCTTAGGACAATTCACACAGCGCCATTTAGTCCCAAGCTAAGCAAAGAATTTGTTATTCTTCGCTAGGCACTAGACAACTGATGTAAATACATATTATGTATATATTTATAAATAATATGTATTTACAAAAATATGTATTTAAAAATTCTATATACCCATATAGTTTTTGTAATTTATATAGAAAATACCGAGACCGATCCAAACAGGATATACTCATGAATATTAATATTTGTACCATGCGAGGAATCGAACCGGCGACCACGGAATTAATACGAAACCGTTAGACTACCGAGGCTATTTATATTATTATTATATTAAAATAATAATATCTTAGCACAAAACAGCGATATCCCAATCCAAGTAGAGCTTGCTTGTGTCATGATGACGTGTCATGGCTAGATAGCCAACTGATATAAAGCCATAGATACATTTTTGTAAATATATACCTAGAAAACACCGACACCGTCATATAGTATAATGCAATATAGTGGGCTGAAACCTAATTAAGTATAAATCAAGTTAGAATAAGCATACACTAATGCGAAAAATTAAAAATTTGGGTATTATAATAAATATTTCTTTTGTCATCCGTCCCACTCTTTATTTAATGATAGAGCAATGGTCGCCCTCCATACAGTCTAATCTTGTTTTTATCTTCCCGATTCTTGTCCAGGATAAAGAAATCTAAGGACAATTATTGTTTAAATTTTATCCGTAAAATTTTAGTGAGTACCTCAATTCTAAAACAGATATAGTTGTAAATGTATATATATAAATTATATAACATTTTGTTAATGAAAGCACTTTCATAGTTTCATTATACATTCTAATGATATTACCTATCATGTTCCCCCCTAAGTACAGAATAATAACCAATATATTGAATAATTTTAATGTGTAGCATAGATATATATCTTTTTAATGAAAATATACTACAAAATATATAGAACAGACTCGTTACATTATTTAAAGTGTTACAATAATTATAATCTAATTTTCAACCCAATCATGGTTTAATTCATTTAAAATTAAATGTACTTGTTATTTAAATGAATTAAACCATGATTTGGTTGATGACCATGATTATTTAAAAGCTAAATAATAATGTACCATTGAGTTTATGTCATTTGATTTATCTGTTCGACTATTTATGTGTGCAGTTTGCACACATAAATTCTATATCTATTCACGATATTGACGCCTGTACTGATTTTTTAATATTTTTTAAGATTAATTTTTCGATTCAATTTGTTCTTGTTGGTCCAGATATTTATTTAAAATTTAAAAACAGGTTCTGTATGGTATGAAGGTATGAAGCTGTTTTTGTGAAATATTTTTTTTTGTTCAACCAGCATCTTATGATTTAATGTCGTCCACTTTAAATAGGCACATTGACCTCCAGGGTTGTTGCAACTAGTCTATTATAACAACGAGCACGCACGCACTGACCTCTGACGCAATGTGACGACTGCGCCTACTGAATCCTTTATGCGTGCTCCACGGTTGTATACAAAACTGAACCAAAGTTATTTCTACCTATTTTTTTAAATGATATGACAGGTATGTCAACGATAATGGCTAAGGGTAGGTCGATCGACGACCTGGTTAAGATCGCTAGAAAGCGTTGGTTGCGAGCAATGCAGAACCGATCGTCGTGGAAATTTTTGGTGGAGGACTTTGTTCAGCAGTGGACGTCTTCCGGACTGAAATGATGATGGTGATGATAACGGTAATATATAGTTTAAGATATAGAATTAATCAGGTTCATTGCAGGCCACAAAACGGGAACATGCACTAAATGGAGCATTATTTGAAAAGTTACAAAATTTTAAATCAAAGTAAAAAATCAATGATAGTTTAAAGTATTCATTCCTCATTGATACCTATAAATAGAAAAAATAGGCATAATTAAGTAAATTTATGAGTATAATTAGGTTCCAATATTTAGAAAATATTTTGTTTCTAAAATGTTTGTTCTATAGGTAATAAAAAATATAACATCTCAACTTTTAGTGTAAAAAAACTGTTGGTTTGTTTTTGCATAAACCTTTGTTTGATGTATATCTTGAATTCGGTGCAACATTGGAACTAGTAAGTAAACCATCCCTCGTAATATCTCGAAACTATCGCCTGTAGTTGACCAATTAAGTATTTAAACTCACTACAGTTACTTTTTCGATATCAGTCTCTTGTTTAAATCAGAGCAATCAACTACCAACAACATGTACAAGCTGGTAAATAAATATGCATCTAAGACTATATCCCAGATATTTAAAACAAAACAAAAATCCATGTAGAATATAATATATATAAAATTTTAGAATTTACATTACAGTTATTTATTATATTACATTGTATATTTTCAGGTTATTTTCGCCGGACTTCTCGCAGCCGTAGCTGCAAAACCAGGCATCCATTCTGTTGCCTACCCAGCTGTCGCAGCTCCTGTTGCAGCAGCGTACACTGCCCCATTTGCGGCTGCATACACCGCTCCAGTCGCCGCTGCGTACACCGCCCCCGTCGCCGCAGCGTACACTGCGCCAGTAGCAGCTGCGTACACTGCGTCATTAGCAGCCGCGTACACTGCCCCAGTCGCCGCTGCGTACACCGCCCCAGTCGCCGCTGCGTACACTGCCCCAGTCGCCGCTGCGTACACCGCCCCAGTCGCCGCTGCGTACACTGCTCCAGTCGCCGCTGCGTACAGCGCTCGTTTAGCAACCGCGCCAGTCGTCGCAGCAGCATACAAAGCTCCTATTCTACTTAAGTAAAATCGAAGACTGCTCATATTTTACGAATTATGAAAAAATAAAAGAATAATTATCTATTCATCTATGATTTAAATCTTTATTATATGTAACTCTATGTTAAAAAGTCTGCGCATTGCAGTGAATATATAAAAATGTTCTTTTATAATAAAAACGAAGAAGAGGTTCATTTATTCTTAATTCTATTGATAAGTGGTCTATATTTTACTCGTCAGAATTTTGAAATCAAACTATAGATGAATACATATTCTATTGTTGTTCTAAACCATAAATGCATAGGATCTCTATATATATGACAAATAAAATAATTACTAGGGGTCCCAATAGAAAGGGCAATAATAGAAATAGTACTTTTCTTAATTCGATATTTTTTCATCGGAATAACTAACTAAATACACTTTCATATTATGAACATTTTAGGATTATAATGAGGTAGATAGACCATTTAAATACATACAATATCTTTATATTCTGCTAATGGTCAAGAAATTAATTTATTTTAATTTATTCTTCGATTTGAATAACCTAGACTAAATATATAATAGGCTATAGAACATAAGGAAGTGGTATTTCTTTATTAAAATCATCATGCGGCAATAAAGTTACAAGGATCATAAAGAGAGTAAAAAAAATGTCTGTTGAACAAAATATTATATGTTTTATTCATTAATCTTGAAACTGTCTCGAAAGAGGATACAAATTCTTTACATGTTTGAGGCATATGTAAATTAGTTACTTGTCGTTTTAAGGATGCAGACCTGCTTTGTAACCGGCTTAATAAATGACATAACTAGATCTTAAATGTGTGTGTTATCTATTGATTGAGACTTTCGAACACCTGGGCTATTAAAACCTAATATATAAAATACAATTTTTTAATAGTCAGTACATCAAAATTCTATAAGAACTTGAGCAGATAATATTCTGCTTTGTACCTAAGTTATAAAATAATATATACATATATAAAAATTCGTAGAGGTCTAATGTCTGTTCATAGAAAAAATACCGTGTCAGGGGATGTTAGAAATGAAATAGAAAACACATTTAGACTTATTTCTTTTTTCCTTCCTGTTTGTCTATTTGTATCGCCGAATCTGTTGCACTGATTTAAATGAAATTTTGTATGGCACACCGTTTTAAATATTATAATATTAATGACGGAAAATTAAGAAGTTTTCATTGAGTTACAAATATAGATTATGTTATTATAATTAAAAAAAATTAAAAATTAAAAATAAAATTTCTTATTACACTGGACCAGCACATAACATTATTTTCTCAGAATTCTTCTCCTTTACTAAATATGTTTGTAAAGGTGATGGTTGTCTCTTACTATGATATAGATGCCATTCCAATTACATAGAAAATATAATCTCATTCTTCTTCTTTTGCATTATATTTTATCGTAATAGGTACAGGTGAATTTATTGCAGTATAATTAAATCACGAAATATTAAAACGAAGTACACAAGGAGAATTATGAGACAATATTTAATCAATAAGTACAAAGACAAATTTTATTACACTTGAATACTGGGGTGATTTATGTCAATATTCCATTTGAAACTGGTTGATTTCTATAGAGATTTTCGTCCTTATTTAAGTCTTATAAATTATAATGAACAGAATTTGGCTACTTTCAAGAACTTATTAGAGACTTTTGGAAAAAATGTGCAATTACCTTTCCAAATTTTGGGAATAAATAGCACTACATTATATTTTTACGTTGTAAAAAATGACAGTATTTTTAAGTAAACATAGTAACTTCGTGTGTCTATACCTACTTCTTTATTAAAGTGTTATGGTGCTAAGTCCAAAGATAAATTTTGATTGAAACATAAACTAATTTCATAAAATTTGTATATACAGTGTTCGAACACCCCATACTATAATTAAGTATTAACATCTGAATGCTGATCACTATGTATTCTGTAGGTCTTTGCCTTCAGTCGGAATGTTTAAGCATGATTTCTACTTTTCTTTTTAGTTTAGTTTTTAGATATTTTGGGATTCATGCTATCTGCATATATTACAGAGCAATGTATGATTTAATCAACAAAGAATTACTCTGAGATATATCATAAGAATATGTATACACAACCTAAATAGTTATTGAGTAACAGATATATAAATATTCTAATGATTGGAACAATCTTTTAATATTTATGCGCCAGTTTAACTCGGCTAGCATTCCAGTTAAACTATAGGGTTATTTTGAAAGAAATCAAATGTTAAAAATATAAGAATATAAAACATCAGGCACGTATCACAACGGAAGCTTACACTTTCTCTCTAGTAGAGATGTGTCAACTCGAGTCATAATGTCGGTAGTCGCACCTACCTATATCTGCACCTACCAGCACCTACCTGTACGATCGTAAATTTAGCTACAGATTTTAATGCGGCTTTTCACGTGAATAGGTTCGTAATCTATTGACTTTGATAAAAAAATCTGAATGTCGTCGTCATGGCGACGCCGGGTTGATCCTTTAAAAAAAAACTCACTGTCACATTATTGGGGATTAATAAATAAACAAACAAGAATGAATTTTATCCTTTCAACATTAATTATATAACATTTGTCGATTTGTATTACGCGATCATAAATTCGATCGAACTGGATCCGAGACATTCAACGGTCAGGGTCACGGATAGTAATTATATTATGCATACAACTATGACTTTTACTATCAAAACCACTACAAACAGTAGAGGCATGTCCGTAAAAATATTACTATTGACAAGAGTGGTATCCAGTAGTGTCCACTGATTTACGAAGGTACTGTTACATTGTAATTAATAAAAACATTAGTATTGTTGTGTACGATTAATTTAATTGTCTATGTATATCGTATCTACTTCTTATTTTTTTACGTAGTTGAAATGGCCAATATACTTGATTAGCACTACTACATCTCGTTATAATGTAACGGTCGCGATACTCTTGTCTTGCCATTTCGGAGGACTAAGGTGTCAGATCATGCCTCTTAAACTGTAATTTCACTGCCCTATCTCACCCTGCAAGAGAAACACATATTATAAAGTGGCGGCTGAAATAGACTGAGGTACCCATGCACTTTTTCCAAAATGTACGTACGTAAATGGTGTAGGTAGGTAAATAAATTCACTGATAACATATTCTCGGTTTATGATTTTATTAAAATCGTCATAGATTTCATCTATAAATTGAAAACGAATATATTTTAATACAGTAATAAGGCTTATATAAATTTATTATATATATAAGGCTTAAATAAATATATGTAATTACATTTATTCGTTATTTGATAAACCTATTAAAGTATTCTTTGAAGATATATAATTTAAATATGGAATCTATGTGGTTCCTCCACATTTTGGCAATTTAAGCAAAATCCATTTTATATCTATTATGTACATTTTTTTTGTATATTTAAGCTAGCTAGTTACTCGTGATTTTGTACGCATGGAATTTTATTTTTTATTAGAATCTTTTGAACACAAAAGTAGCCTAAGTTAGTCCTTATAGCATTAACTATCTACTTGTGAAAGCGATCCAGCCGTTTCAGAGATTAACAGGAACAAACAGACAGAGATTTTTTTAAGTTGATACTAAACCTACGTACCTACTTTCATAAGAATTTAGTGAAAAGTTGTTAATTTAAAAATACAAACAGACGCTTCAATTTCATTTATTTCAACAGCTATTATTGCTTTAATATACATGTGAAAGGATCCGTGCAAATTATTTAATTATAGTTAAACAGTAATACTAAAATATTGTCTTTATCACTTATTAACTGTTTGTATTTAAAAGGAAAATTAAAAAAAGCAGACGAATTTGTATGTAAATAATATTGTGTGTATTAGAGATTAATACTTCACATTTCAACAAAATTAGTTATAGGTTGCAAATCTATTGGAATATTATAATAAATGGAACTCATTTAATTTTGACAATTTCGTTTTGTTTTCAATGCATATTTAATATTTCATATTAACGTAATATAAATAATAGTCATAAATATCCAGTATCCATTTAAAGTCAAATGCCAAGTTCGATTTAAAATCTCAATAACACATCATTCGCAGTCATTCAATGAAAACAGCTCCTCTCTTGGTATGTATTTTAGACACAATATTGTTCATTATTACTATTATATAATAAAATATGATGAAAATTAGGAATGTCTTTTTGTGACTAAATTTAAAAGGAGGACGTAATATAATTCTATTTTTCCATTTGTTGACAGATTATAATTGTTATTACTATTTTTCATCTCCAGTAGTTTTAAATTGAGAAGATAAAAATGTGTTGGTTTCGCATAAAACTAATATTTATTATGAATTTAAATATATGATGTGAAACTAGTTTTCACTTAAAAATCCATGATAATTACAACACAAAACATATATTATAATGCTACAACTATTTATGATCAATAAAATTGTATAAACAAATTCAAGTCCAAGGTCGTAATTATTACAACCTTGAATCCATTAAAATTAAGTTACATTGCGAGTACCTGCATAGAAAATTCTACGCGTGACAGATCCTTACCGCCTTCTACGTCAATTGTATTCAACAACGTCACACAGGATGTATACAATTGTTTTTATTCTTGCCAATTAAATAAAAGTCTGTGTGTTTGGAGTTTATTTAGTCTTTTACTGGATATAAATCTGGTAATAAAGTTATTATTTTTATTTATTCCATGCAGATCATTGACTCTAACACCCAGATTTTGCTTTATGGCTTTAAATTTTTTCTCGTATTGGGGAAAATTATATAGCTACCTTGTTTAGGAATGCTGATACTATAACATAACCTGTTTATTTTTTGTAGAAGCCGGATTTCTATTCGGATTACATATTGCATAATTTTACAAATTTTATGTCATGATTTCATAACATATTTATTTTTAGATTAAATTCATCATAGTCTTTCCTTCCATACAATTACTACAACTTACCTCCTTTTCTTTGTGGAATGGAGGATGATAAGATGAGTAAGATGATCACCGAGAATTTATCACGATAGTTGCCAGAGGGGACCGCGTGGAGGACGACCTAAAATCGTACATTGCTAGCAATGGGGTCTATGTATATTAATATATAAAGAAGTCATTTTTGGATGTTGGTTTGTCATTGTAATGTGACATGTATTTTGGTAACATGGGCGAATTGACTAAATCTGCAAATAAAATAAATGTGCAAAAAAAGCCATTTTGGCCTAACAATATTGATTGGTCCTTTTTACTATAATTCTTTCTTACCACTGTAAATAATGTCTACATCCCTACGTCACTTTAGTTAAAGTTGATATGAAATATTAACTAATGTATAATTATTTTTGTGATATAAATAAAAATGGTGGCAGATGACACTTTAAAAGTAATATGATTTTATGGTTTTAATGATACAAATAATGGTTTATGCGTACTACATTCGTCAAAGCGTAGATATAATGACAGAAATATAATTTCAATAAATATACTTGATACCTTATTGCTTTCAGCAACAACGCCACCTTATTGTAATTATACATGTGTTCTTTAATATAGCTTACGTTTTTTCTTATATTTAAGTTACAAATAAAGTATATTATTTTTATTTCTCTTGATACAATAAAACATCAACCTGTCAATGGCGCCATTAAAATAATTCATGTCGCGTACAAGTCCTGAACAAGCACGTCTCACCAAGGTACGTAAGCGACAAACCGATGCCAAACCAATGGGGTCATCATCGAATCCTTATATATTTAGCCAGGACTAGGCTACATCAGTTAGTGTTTAACAGACGTACACAAACAAACAATCAAAATGTTCAAGCTTGTAAGTACATTTTAATTTTTATAATTTAATTATTAATTTAGGTAATTTTGTACCCAACTTATATTGGCGTAAAAAACACTTTATTTAACTTCACAAATTAATATCAAAAGTACCTCTCATGATACAAAGATAATAAATGAGTATCATCTACATAGTCTTCTGTTGTTTAAATAATATTGACATTGTCTAAGATACTACAACTATGTAATATTATATTATCTGTGCTACAACTAACTAATTTTTCCAGTTTTCGTTAGCATAATAATTCATCAATAAAATTAATAATGGAAAAGTATGCATAAATGAACAGGTTTTAGCTTTATATATATATGTATCTATACCACATAAGTCTACACAAGAGCCTTAAATGAAATGTTAAGTGTATGTTTAAGAACTGTGCAAAAAAAAAAAACGAAACTATATGGTACACCTTTAATAACTTATTCTAGTGATTCTTTGGAGGTACTGTTAACCTAATCTTAAATTTATCTGAATCTATCTAGTAGAATTGAATTGATTGATAGTCAATCTAAGCCCCGATAATTTTGGAAACGTATTAAATAAGAGGCTGAAATGTTCTTTACATATGAGTACAATACGTACAGTCGAAGTTGAATCTTCATCCACAATATTAATCAACCGTTATCCCAGCTGGTAATACCAACATAATCTGGCTTGTATTTTTTATTTCATCTATTCTCTAGTAGATAGGTATGATAACATCATAATGATAAGAACAACAACATATGATAAGAAATTACTTAAACCTTTATAATTTTAAATCTTTAGTAGCTGCTTGCTGCTTGTATCTTGATGTTTTATCTATATTCATGTCGTTAAATTTTGAGAATGCTTAAATTATTTTATTTTTAATTGCTTGTTGCTTAAATAAGAATTTATTTATTCTGTGTTTTGATATTTTATTATGCAAAACTGTGATTTGTATGCTATACAGGTAGCGTGACTGTTGTGTCGATACATGGTTTTAAAGAATGTCTAGGACGAGAGTTCAGTACACATACATTAAGTAATCTTGTAATGTGAATTAATGCTGCAATAATGATGACAAATACTTATAATATGAATTTTTGCACATATTAACTTTAACTAATATTTAGTTATTAGCAATATAATCAGTTTTGCTATTTGGAATTATTTTTACACACTTAATTTTATTCAGGTATTGTTTTTGAAGTAACTCATTTAAAATTAATTTATATATATAAACATAAATATGTTTTTTAAATATGTTATAAATAAAATATATAATTATAATTGAAATAATATATTTTAAATGTTAAACGTGATGGATTATTGAGATTGGTACAAATGAAATATTTAAATATCATTTTACGGTCATATCAAATATGAATTGATCATTACAACTAAAACAACGATTATGGATCCTTTCGTAAAAAATACAATTTTGTTTTTGACATCACTAATAACTACCTGTAGTTTATCGAATTTTAACATGAATGTAATGGTAAGTAAATGTCTGGTCTGTTCAAGACATGAAACCACAATGGAGAGGTACACTGTCACAAAAAAAGAGCGTTTTGTCGTACCGTTAAATAATTCGTGTTAAAGTTGTTTGTAATATACGGTAAAGATACCAGATTTCAAATTAACAGATAAACTTTTTTTTTTAATTCATGACGGACAAAATCCCAAGCCGATTCATTTAGTAATATTTTTAGTTTTTAAACTTACAAAATAAGAAAATTGTACTACCGACAATTATAAATACTTAAAATAATATAGATATGATATAAATAATAACACAGTTTAATTAATTTATAATTTGTTTTATTACAGCTAATTTTGGCCGCCATCTTGGCATTCGCTGCCGCCAAACCGTTGGTGTACACGGCGCCAGTAGCCGCTGCGTACACGGCGCCAGTAGCCGCTGCGTACACAGCCCCGCTGGCTTACTCTGCGTACAGCGCATACTCGCCCGTCGCTTACTCTGCCTACACTTACGCTTCTCCCTACTCTTACTACATATGAACGAACCCGATGACAAATCTCTATACAAAGACATCATTATTATAGATTATTTATTGAATCAACGAGGATGAAGAAAAGCATATCGAATAAAATCTAAGCATACAAATAAATTTAAATTTTTTATTTCTTCGTCTATTTAAATATCTTTATTAAATGTGTTTTAGTACAATACATTAACATAACTAATTTTTCACAAGTATAAGGAAATATTAGAACATTTAATATAGTGCTTTACAAAGAAGCAATAAATTAATAAGGATCATGATAATAAAGAGAAAAATATATATCCCGTTTTAATCATAAAAATGTATACCACATTTTTATGATTAAAAAGAGATTTTTTGGTAAACACATAAAATTAAATACGACTTTGTCTGTACTATGATTATTAATTAATGTCTTTATCTGTCTGTAATCATGCGACGTTATGATACCATGTAACGGTAGAATTTATCTTCACATGGTATCCTTTTCTTTGGAAGTTCGTGCTTCATACATCTACCGGGTAGATGTATGCACACAGTTTCAAAGACCTATTTTTTATCGTACTCTATAAAATCTTGTAGTACGAGTAATTTTAATAATATACAGATTTACTGACTTTGTATATTACTAACTAGTATGACGGTAAATCGTAATGGCGTAAACAAGAGCATCATAGTAAACCTTTCGAGCATAATTGTTTTAATATAGATTATGGCAATCAATTTAAAAAATCACAATTAATATATTTATTTCATTATTATTATTATATATTATTATCATAGTGTTACATCGAAAGAAAAAAATTGTTATCTGGCAATAATTTAGAAATTATGAACATGTATGTGTCTACAATATAGTAGCTATGTAGACGTTTTTTTTTATACTACTATGGTGGCAAACAAGCACACGGCCCATCTGATGGTAAATGGTTACCGTGGCCTATGGACGCCTGAAGCACCAGGGGTGTCACGTGCGCGTTGCCGACCCTTAAGAAACCTTAATATACCCTTCTTGAAAAACCCCATGCTGTAGTCTCGTGAGAAAACCTCGGCAGGAAGTTCATTCCACAATCTAAGTGTACGCGGGAGGAAGCTCCTCTGAAACCGCACTGTCCGAGACCACTTAGGTTCCAGCGTGTAGGAATGAATTCTCTGTCGATGGCGAGCGGTGCGATGGTGAAAGGTGGCCGTAGGCATCATGTCGAACAATTCCTCATAACACAGTCCGTTGTATAATCGGTAGAACACACAAAGCGAAGCGAAGTCTCGCCTCAAACTAAGTGGCTCGATACCGTCAGAGAGATTGGGATCATCGACAATTCTCATAGCACGTCTCTGAACCGAGTCAAAAGGACCGAGAGAAGGTATCCAGGTGCTCCTGCCCAAAGATGAGAGCAGTACTCCATGTGCGGCCGAACTTGAGACTTATATAAGAGGAGTCTCTGGTCCGCAGTGAAATACCGCTTCGCTCTATTGAGCACACCGAGTTTTTTGGACGCCAGCTTAACCTTTTCTTCGAGGTGACTACGGAACTCAACTGTGCTAGAGATGTCGATACCGAGAATCCCAATACTCTTAGAGATGGTAATGGACGTGTTCTGGAATTACGGAGCCACAGCAAAAGGGGTTTTCTTTTGATAGACGTGATATATATTGTTTCCTTTTAATTTACGTAAATTAAATTACTATAGTGGCATTACTATAGAAACCTTACAAAATATTTTACTAATATTGGTTACCACAGATAATGTTATACAGTAAGTGTAGTTAATATTTCAGTAACAATTACAGTACTCATGTATGTTGACAATAGTAATGGTACTACTTTTTGTACTCTTCAACTAATTGAGTTAGAACCACAGATAACATAATGTTACATAGTAGAACATATTTACAGAACTAATTCTGTAAAATATGTGCAAAATATCATCGTGATCGCATATTGTCAAAAGGGTTAAAATTCGATTCGAGACTTCACTTTACCCCTTAAGCAGACAGGAAAAAAATAATAGTTACCGTAAGTATAAAAATTAAAATCAACGTGCATCCATTACAACTAACTTTTTGACTGAGATTGTTAATTTGTAATAAATACTTGAATTGGACCCGTTTTGCAAATCAGCCTTGGATTAGACTATTATGTCAGAATAGTTGTTTTCGTTTTTTTTTTATTTATTAGCTAGCCAGAAAATAGAGTCTTGTATCAATAGATTAAAGGTTATTTTGTATTTGAAAAATCCTGATTTTTATTAAGTCCGGTTTTTGAGTGCCCCTATAAAATAGGCGTTTTTGAGAATAATAACGTCATTCAGCGTCGATTGCCTGAAAATAAACCTTCAAAATGTTCAAAGTGGTAAGTTGATATATACTCCACATTTAATATTATTTCATTATTCATATTTAGATTCATATTAAGATAAATACTAATGCGACTGTATGATTGATTTCATAAATAACATCTTAAAATAAGTGTTTATCTTAAAGGTAGATTATGATATGAGGACACACTAACTTTTAATTAAAAAAACAGCAGATGAAGTGACAATAATAATAAACTAATTACATTTTGTGTTGCATTGCGGATTTCTGCTTTATTTGTTACAGACTCAGTAGACAGTAATTAGATTTATTCCATTATCATTATCTGCAATGTGTGAAATCATAAACATTTTTTGTACAGATATAAGTATTATAAGATAGTACATTTATATTGTGTGTACGATATGTAATGTTTTCTTATTTATGGTACAGACGATCATTTTTCATCATTTTATTAGTGACGAATCTCACGCCGTCAGTAGGTAAATAAGCATTTTGGTGTAGCAAATTATCGCCTCTAATCAGAACGCATTAGGTTGTGAATCAGTCGCTAACCATATGGTATCAAGATCGCGACAAGGGTGTACCAATAACAATTTATGATATAGACACTAGCGCTTAGCCCGGTTTCGTACGCATTTATATATTAAATAGCTTAATAAGCTCATTATGGGGTTGTGTTTTATTTTTTCTCATGTTGTTGATACTGTAGTTGTCTATAGAGAACAGAATTTTTAATATTATATTTAATTTATTTAATATTAGTTTAGGTATAGTTGAAATCTATTTATATTTATTTTTATATTATTTAGATAATAATATACATTTTGTTATACATCTTCTATAACGATATTTCAGTAAAACAATTGTTACAATATGAATAAATTACAATAGCAGTAAATTTGAGAAAATACACAAAGTAAAATAATAATAATCTAAGTCAATTGAAGCTCAAAATAACTTTAGCTTCTACTATGAATACTAAACAACTGATAGAAATAGTAAAACATGTTTTATTAATTATATTATCATAATAAGTCTTCTTTTTAATTTAAGTTTAATTATAATATTTGAGACAAGATTCACTAGCTCACACAATATTAACACGCATTGAAAAAACAAAAGATTTTACTGAGTACAATAAACTATTGAAGTACCGGGTGTTTGCTGGAAGAATATTGCTGTTTAAGTTGTTATAATAATGAAATAAGTAATGGTTAGAATTTATTGTATACAAAATTTAATAGTGACGCCACGGTATGTTCGAGAAGGAGTGAAAAAATATATAACAAAACAAAACAACACCGATGTTCCATGCGTGAAGTTCCAAGTTTGAATTTTATAATTTTATTTTAAAATAATTATTTGGCTATTTGTAATTGCAAAGACGGGAATACAGTATGTACTAGATAATTTTAATTTTTCAGCTCATTATCGCCCTTGCTGCAGTCTTGGGCTTTGCTGCAGCCACGCCGTCGGTGCTGGCTTACTCCGCACCGATAGCTTACACCGGCTACAGCCCGATCGCTTACTCAGCTTATAGCGCTCCCTACGCGTACTCTGGATTTGTACCTTATGCTTACGGAGGTTATGCAGATTATCCATTCCTTTTCAAGAAACGCTAAACACACGACGACCTTATATATGAACACGGACAGTTATCTGATTATTAGTTATTAAGTAATAAATGTTTTTTTGCTGGTAATGTTTTATTTCATATTTATTAACATACTTCAGCTTTGAATGGTATTTAATTTTTCTTTCGGATATGAATCTTTTTTTTAATTTTGCATTGGGTTTAATGTTATTATTTTCAAATTTAATATATGTTAATAAATAATAATAATAAATCATGTCAATTCAGATAGTGTCACTAATAAACTGCTAGTAGTTCCTATTTTTATAACCATACATAAAAACACCCAAATTAAGAATAAAGAATTAAGAAGCAATTATATTCATGAATACGGTTTGCATTGTGAATGAATAGAACTTGCAATTACCAAAAGTACTAGATCACTAGAGTACTTTGATTAGTACAGACCCGACAAACGCTATCTCACAAATATCTTACTAAATGGTTTAACTTACTGTCACCAGGTTCGCAAACTGTCAGAGGGAAATTAAAATAGTTGCAGAAGGTTTTTGACATGTTCAAATTTAATGAGCAACATTCATTTTCCCGTTCCTTAAGAAACTGCTAGAAAGTTTATAAATTTCAGAAATAAGAAAATTAATGCTAGCTAAGTTATATTGTTCTCAAGTCTTGCCAAGGGAACTAAGGATTAATTTATAAATACATAACGACTCATAAATACATCTAATAATGATTACAAACATTGATATCATGACGTAAACTTTACATCCAGTCAATTTTATGTACAAGTCGGTATCGAATATAAATCACACCTAACCTGGTACTATGCCGGTTTTAAATGCCACAATGAATATCAAACTTACCTAAGTTCGAAGATAAAAATAGCTAAAAATAGCAACTAGGTAAAAATCATGTTGATTTTTAAAGGCCATATGATGATTATTTTGTTCAAAATAATAACAGCATAATATTAGCTACGAATAAAAAAAAATTGTTTCATATAACAAACGTTGTCTCCTATTTTTTGAGATAAGAAGAAGCGTATGTCTGTCTTCGTGATAAAGTCTTAATGTTAATTTTATTAAAATCGTATCGTAATCGTAATCCCAAATGAATCTATTACTTTACGTCGACATAACAACTGTAGTTTAAATAAAGAAACAAATTTTGATACTCAATAACAACGAAAGAACTTGTAGATATAATAAATACTAATAAGATAAAGGTTAACCTACTCTCAGGAAATATCAAATAAAATAATCGAGGTTATATCTCATATAAATCTAATATAAATGTATATAGATCATTTTGTTCATCTTATTAAATCATTAAATGAATTCAAATGTGTTTGTGATGTTTCATAAATATATTCTATTTGTTACATAAACCTTGAATTGCTAGTGCTATTACGTCACACCTGAACACAAAACTGCTAAATATCAAATCCAATGTTACATTTTGGCGCTTATTCGTTTTTCCGAATATACTAAATACCTACATAATTAGACATTTACAAAGTTTTGGCATAGTAATTACATATAAGTAGATTTCTACACATTCATAAACGATAATTAAATATTTTAAGTTATTACAACAAATTATTGCAGATAATCTCAATCTAATCTATTATATGTCAGTATTATATCTAGTTCAATTTCCAATGTTTCATTGTGGCTGTATTTTATGGGACTGGCACTTTAAGTTTGTACGATGTATCTAAATATCAAAGAAACTAATAAAAAAATTGTTATAAACACATAACATACCTAATCAAACATAAAGCCTAAGCAATAATTTCATGAAAATAAAATGAATTATAATAACCCGATTTCTAAAACAGCAGACAAACTAATAAAACGAACTTATTCTCTTAATTTCCTAGAAAATCGTGACCTAAAGACTAGGAGCTAGATCTTTACTTGCGCTTATTTGTAAAAGAAAGGAAAGATAATTAATACTTAGTTGTAAACCTAATACGTGAGGATAAAACATTCTGAAAGAGAGTACTCTCACCCTGAGATACTAATAATTTGAATATAAAGAATAATAATGTATTTTTATTTTATATCCTTATTATTAGTTCTCTCAGTGTTTAATTCGATCATTTATAAATATAGATACTAATCGAATCATGCGATTAACCATAAATTAATGTTTATTTTTTATGAATTCCGATTTTTAGGGTTTCAATAGACAATACAAAATAGCGATAAATTAAAAAGAACCGATATTCTAACGTAAAATCTAACGTGTATATAAAATATAAAAGTACATGTAATATCTATATAACAGAAAATATAAAAAGATATGACTACTTATCATAGTTGTACAGAAATTGACAAATAAATATAAAATTGCGCCTGGTTTCAATTAATGACATTTAAACTAAACTAAGGAAATCCTAGTCTCATTAATTTATAACATTTATTTAAACCAAACATAATATTTAATTAATTTAATAACTACTTAAATAATTTGTTTAAATAAAATATACGTATTCGGAACTCAGTATTTAATCCAATTCACACTTGACTGGCTTTTAAAAGGTAGTCACATAATAATTAAGATGATCTGAATCTGATTAACATCAAATATTATAAGTCCAGATCAAGTTTAAGAAAATAATATATTTCAATTACTAGTTTTTACTCAGTATTATATACATAATTTAAAAAGTCACGAATAAATAAAATATCAATTATTAATTATTAATTTATATTAATCACGTAATGGTCACTTGTCAACTGGGCGGATATCATTTTTACTCACCTAAGTCGTATATAATAATTATAATAAAGTGGCCTACGTAGCACGATATAATTATATGTATAATAGTTCTAAATAATATGTATCAATTTTGACTCATGAAGGTGAACTAGATCAGAATAGTTGTTATAATAAAGAAGCTTTAGGCCGGTAAAATTTCCATAATTATGTAACTATCGATCGTTGTTTAGATACACCATTACGGCTATGATCCCTTGTGGTGTAGGCAGAGCATTGTCAACTGTTAACGTTGTATGTTAAGTTTTGTATTAATAATAATAATTATTATTATTAAGTTTTGTAATATTTAAATTCAACGTGAAAATGAGCAAACTGGTTTTTTCATCAAAGTTTCATGCATAATATCCCGACGCTCTCAAAGATCTTTGTTAAAATCATAACATACGTGAACAAACTTTCTGCACATATGTTTGAAGTAAACAACAACAACTAATGACTTTGAGTGTACTATAGCTTTCCCTTCAACCAGTCTCAATTGAGTTTTGTGTAGTGATCTGGCTTCTGAAACAGTGCTTTATACATTTACAGGCAACGGAGAATTATATTTATAAGCACTTAGTGGAATATTAAACAGTAAATGTTATATAATATGATTTTATGCACATTTTTTATGAGTGATGATGGAATGGTGCACCTTCCTATGAAAACGATAGGCATACTGTATATTATATGACATAGCTGGGGTGTCATTTAAATATGATAAGTACTAGAGTGAAGACAGAAAAGTCAGTCATTGTGGCGAATTTACTATGACCACCACGTTTCAAGAGATAACGGGGTGGAGGTCGACCTAATAATTTGACAGCGGTCGATCTGTACATTGTTAACAATTAAGCCTATTACCAAAAATCTCCTATATCAATATTATGCATTATATTTGACACGTGACGGGATATCGTTTATTAATTATATAAGTACGCTATTTCTATGAGTTTCTAGCAGGTCATTCCATATTTTTACACATATTTTTTTAATTGGTTGCTGTTTATACTGCTTTTGTAATGAGAATACGCATTACACGCACTCCATGTAACGACAAATATAATACATACATATCTAGGATATACTAGCTGGCCCTCGCAACTTCTTCTGCATCACACACACACTTGATATGTGTTACTATATTTCTCTGAATTCACATAATATCTCATTAATTTATACAGTATGTCCTATTTTGATGTATAAACTATGCTGTATAATATATTACTGTAAGGTTTCGTCAATATCCGTTCAGTCATTTCTGCATGAAAGAGTAACAAACATCCATCCATACTCACAAATTTTCGCGTTTATAATGTTAGAAAGATAGTAGAAAATAGGATGTAGGGCTAACAACATATTTTATTAAATGTTGAAAATCGATTATCAAGGTATTTATCACTAATTCGAGCGAAGACGGACACTAGTACCAAAATTTGCATAAGTTGCTTATTTATGCAAATAACATTGATCATTGCTCGTCATTATTATGATATTCTAAAGCAAGGCCACCGGATGTTAATTGAAAATACTGGCTCGAACGTTTTCGATATTCAAAAGTAGATCAGGTTTACAACAAAGCCCACACATATTATCTAATATAAATTATCATATTTAAATATATGGTGATTGTTAGTTTTTATAACAATTCTATCTGTTATGACTTTATACATTCACAGCTTGTGTTTGTTTAGATTTATAGACTTAATTTTCTCATAAAAGAAACAGGTAGGTACTTAAAATGAAAAAAAAAAATTGTTACAGATGGGACTTGTTATTTGAATTTAATAGACTAGACTACTGAAGTAATTACTACTGCTTTTTATTCTTTGAATGTTATGAAAGGCTATTTAGTAATTAGGCAGCCTATTGTTAACTCTGTCTTACTGATAGTAATGTAAATGTAAATAATAATATAGTAACTAATATAATATAGTAATAATATATATAGTATAGAAGTATATATAAAAGTATATAGCATATTAATTTATATAACTGTATTTTCTATGTGGTAACAACAAATAGTTTTCGTTTAATTCATTTCATTACATGCTCGTTTAGTGAAAAACAAACTCGTTTGTCGTATCATACTTTATTTTCAATATGGCTTAAAACTTTAATAAATGTTAAATACATTACATTAAAATAGATACAGGTAAGCAAAACTAGGCCTTCCTTCTCTGCGCTTTAATTAGTATTTACACTCGCACTTATCACTGTTCCATAACATTAGTAAACACTTCATACATCTGTATTTGCTAACTTACAATGTGTAAACTCGCAATTGGATCTGATAGTCATTACAGATCTCTTTATATAAAATTACAGAAATAAGAAAACTTTAGACTAATTTATATGATTTCTTGAAGGTACATCGTTCATCGGAATTGGCATTGGAGAATACGCACATTTTTATAAATTTATTTTGGTTATCAAATCATAATTGGAAACAATTATATAAACTAGTTATAAATATTATAATAGTATATATAAATTACGAGTCTGAAATTAGAAGATATAATTTATATATTTTATGTCAATCGCAGTTTTAAGGCAATATATTGGTTAAACTGTACCGTCAGGTATATAAAATGATATTATAACTAAATAGATATTATAATGTTATTCGCAAAATCTTTTGATATACTTATTTCCATTAATTAATGTTATATGAGTATACCTTAGAAAGATACTCTCCCTACGCACAATAAAAATACGTTAAAGTTGATTTGCCAAATTAGCCTTGAATACATTATGTGTCACAAAGTGTATAAAAATATGTTATTTAAATTTTTATATATTCAAAACCGATATGACTTGCTAAAGGACTCATTCTTAAAACAAGAGAATAAAGTCTATTTTATGATTAGAAATTTATGTATTTGCGGTCTGGAGTCCGGTTTTAGAAATCTACTATAAAACAGCCGCTCGGGATGAGCCTGATATCACTCAGATATTGTAGTCTGAAATCAATACACAACCATGTACAAGCTGGTAAGCAAAATATGATATACTTTTTAAATAATATGTACATGTATTTTAGTGCTTTCAATCATAACAAAGTATGAAATAATAATGTTATAAAATAAATCTAATTGTTGTTTAGTAATAGTTTCTAACTGATTGAGATTATTACCAAAAATATTTAAACATAGGCTCATGATTGGAATCCCAAATGGGATAATCACATAATTTACATTAATAGTTGCATTGTTATGAATTCAAAATAAAGGAGAATCGGACGTTTCAAATTTTACCAATATTGATTGATAATGATTATTCACTAACTGCGTCTTATGTAGTTTACGTATTTTTACTACAGTTGATGCATTCAAATAAATGTAAAATAGAATAGTCATTCATTGAATTATGTACAAAACCAACTATAACTTTATTTTAAATTACAGCTGATTCTTTCCGCTGTTTTGGCGATCACCGCCGCCAAGCCTAACGCCTTAATCGGCGGATTCGGATATGCCGCACCAGCTGTGGCTTACTCCGCCCCAGCAGTAGCGTACTCTGCACCAGCTATCACCGCCGCTGTCGCCCCCGCCGTCGCCCCAGCCGTTGCCCCGGTCGCCTACAGCGCCCCAGCCGTCGCCGCCGCCGTAGCCCCCGTAGCATACTCCGCCCCAGCCCCAGTTGCATACTCTGCCCCAGCAGTAGCTACCGCCGCTGTCGCCCCTGTTGCTCCCCTCGCCTACTCCGGATACCCAGCATACTCTCCCTTCGGATACTCTGGCTACGCTACTCCCTACGCTCTCTCCGGTGTATCCACATACGGCCCAGCATACGGCTACGGCTACAGCAGCTACCCTAGCTACTACTGGAAGAAACGATAAATTTTAAGATGACTATTTATTTGTTATAGAATCAATGCATTAAAATTATGAATTCAAAATAAAAAATAATTGTTGCTATAATACACTTTTTAGTTTTCTTTGCCACTTTTAGAATATTTCATGGGACATAACCAAATAACAACTAAAGAATATAATTTAATTAACATAGTTTTATGTACCCAGTTAACTGATATAAAGTATAATAACAAGATATTAATTGTTGTTTTCGTGATGGGTAAGATATAATCTAATAGGACTACCTGTATGGTAATTCCTTTGGTTTTGAACCATTACATTTCAAATACGTTTAGTTTATTAGCTAATTCTGTGAACACTGTAGATTGTGGTTGATATACCAATGCGATTTTACATAATTCAACTATGAGTATTACTCATGGTTTTTAAGTAAACGTCAATAATACTTCTACGATTAATGATAATTAAATTCTCTGATATGGTTTTTAATACAACTGCAAAAAGGAATAGTCTATTGGGATTTTTATTTATACAATTATATTTTATAATCGTGGAACTCGTATGTTGATCTCATAATTTTGTCATAATTAGTACAATTACCAACAATATACTGTTTTTTACTGTTGAGAAACTCTTTTGATATTAATATATTAAAAGTTTTCTTGTATTCTTTAATCAAAATTATAAAAACTAGATTATATATTATGTCACTTACTTCACTTACCATTAAATACATTTTTCCAATCTTAAATAGTTTTACTACATATTTCTACAACAATACATTAAATAAGCTGAGAAAACTTAGATATGACGGCTGATAGGGATCAGTGGAAGAAGTGGACATACTACGCCGACCCCAAATAATTTATTATATCACTAGCTTCGCACGAGTATTTAAACTAATTTATATGTACAATTAATTCCAGAGAAATTACACTGATGGTGCACATAAACAGCATGAAAATCATTCAGTAGTTTTTGAGATTATCTCGAATGTACAGGTAAACGTGGAGAGGAAATTTATTTTACTACATGTATATTTTAATAAATAATCTTAGGACAATTCACGCAGCGCCTGACCTGTAGACCCAAGTTAAGCTAGCTAAAGCTTGTGTTATGGGTACTAACTAATTCAAAAACATAGATATTTTTTATTTCGTAAATACATACACATTATACATAGAAAACACCCAGACCGATTCAAACAATAATACTCATGAATACAATTTATTGTATAGTGCGAGTAATCGAACCCGCGACCATCGGAAGTAAGGCGGTGTACTAAGCCGCTGGACTACCGAAGTCATCAAATAATAAATAGATTAAGTAAGTAAACCCAGAGTAACCAAGGATTATCAAATGGTACTAAAGTAATTATAGGTTATATTGGTAGTGCACATCCCTCCATGTGCAAATACCAAAAAGATACGTAATATTTTGTACTCTGAACGCCTGTAATATTGCCTACAACATTAAAATTTCGAAAAGATTAACATTGACATAAATTTTTTATAGGTATATATAATTAATTATGGATCGCGGGCTAAAGTGATTTGCCTGGCCTGGCCTAGTTTTATGAAATTTAATAGATCTACTCTTAAAAGTGTATGTTGCTACATAACTCCCTCTCCGGAGAAATTGTACACAACGATTTTATATGTTACGAGCACGACTTCGAACCCTTGTTATTCATAATAACCATAGGCTAACTTATCTGTTTGTTGTTCTAAACTAATTGTAATGTAATAAAACGTAGACACAAAATTTTACGGGATAGGTACTTGCTATCGTAGAAACCGTATTCAATATTTTTATTTTACCAATTTATATGTGTATGGTAATTTATACCATACACAGTTAAATTATTAATTCGATAAAAATTTTAGAATATATTATTGTAATTTTGTCATATAAGTACAGAAAATAGACTTGTAAAAATATTTAATGTTCAGATACAGTTATTTTACGATTTTAATACATTTATGATACCGTTACGTAGTATGCTGCCGTTACAAATTTTAAAGGTAGGATAAGTCGGTGAAAATACTGGTTTAATAATTGAAATTATGAAAATTTAACCACTGAAATTTCTGATTCGAAATTTTCATATAACAATTACATTCATTAGTGTACTAAAATTAGTTGACTACCAACCTACTAGCCATTGCCTAAGTGACGTACCTAGAGTTGCCGCCAACAATACCGAACGAAAACAATTAAGGGAAAAATATTTTTTTCCTATTTGAACCGCATCAAGACAATAAGTGTATGTGTAATATAATGTGCAGTGTCTAATAAAATATATACAAAAAATTACTGTTAATTGGTAATAAAATATATGTACTGCTACATTAACTAATTTACTAAAAGGTTGATATCCGGATACAATTCAATTCTAATGACTATTAAATTTTCCTTAGCAGTAATGAAAAAGAATTTATGTTGTGACGACAATATTTTTGTTAACCTTTTTATCCAGATTTTGTGTGAAACAACTTTATAACTAATACTAGATACTATTTTCCCATACATCAATCAAAGAAGACGATCGCCCTTCGTATACGTTATTAAGTAAATCAGATTCGTTATGTCACAGTAACCTTGATGAAGGTAATAATTTACTAAACTGATATATTATACTGAATTATATAAAAATAAATTCATACGAAAATACACCTTCAAATTTAGAATAATAAGTTTGTTTTTATAATCCGCAGTATGCTAAATCATAGGAAAATCGGTTATTGTATGGTTTTAGTATATAATGGATTGGTTCGATAATTCCGATATCAGTTAGCTTTGACAATCCGAAACCATCAACATGTACAAATTAGTGAGTAGTAATATATTAATCTTAATTTAGTTAATTAGCAGAAAAGTTGGTTGTAAATATTTACAACATATATTCATAAGATATAATACATTTACTTGCACAATATATTACTTTATTGATATGTTTAAACAAATTCCACATCGCTATGGAAGAGTATGGATGGTGGTTGGTCTATAGATTAGAACAACCCCTCTGTTCTTCAATAGTTATGATTATGTCAGAAATATCATATTGTATTGTAATATATGTACTAATATAGGTAATCATTAAGTGGACATATTTACAGTACTACTAAAGTATGTGTTGTGCCGGTTTGGTACCAAATAGGTATAGTACAAACATGTACGTTCATAAGTAAGATTGTTTGTATTAATAGAATAATTAAAAATAATTAAAATGTTTTCAATTGATATTAGAAAATATATTGAGGTAATGTTATTACCTAATAATTAAATTAATTAAATGGTAATATTAATTTAATATTGATTACCTCTACGCAGTAAGTCTCATATTAAAAAATATAGTATACTATTGCAATAATTATAATGTTGATAATATGTATCTTACGTATATATCCTTCATGTATCTAAATATTTCCTTTTTATTTTCAGTTTGCCTTCGCCGCAGTCCTGGTGCTTGCTAATGCCAAGCCTAATGGATTTGTTGCGCCGGTGGTATATTCACCCCCAGCAGTGGGCTACTCTGCATCTGGAGTTGGTTATTCCGCACCTGCATTGTCTTATTCTGCCCCTGTAGTATCGTATTCATCTCCAGCTGTCCCGTATTCTGCCCCAGCAATCTCTTATTCAGCCCCAGCCGTATCCTATTCTTCCCCAGCAGTCTCCTATTCCGCTCCAACTGTGGCTTACTCAGCTCCTCCGGTATATTCAAGACCCATTGTGAGCTACCCCGTAGGTCCCGTGGGATATCCAGGCTATGCACCAATCAGATATCCAGGCTATGCACCTATTTCATACGGATACAATTTAGGTTATAACAACTACCCACTTTACTACTACAAGAAACGTTAAAATAAATTTAAATGTACGAGACCTAAATGTACGAAGCTGCAATTCCTATATGTTGTTTGAGAAATAAATGCAACTATATATATTTCTCAAATTACATATTTCATTGTCAGTAATTCAGTGTTCATGACAAAGATTCGAATATGCCAAAAATATTTGTAACGCACATACATTGTTAAAAATAAATTAATACAACATTATATTACATCGTTTAATTTTATATCCTAATTATATTATATAACTGATTAATTTCTATTAACAGTAAACGTAATAGAAACTGATAAATAATATTAATTGTCTAAACTACTAATCTTAACAATATATATAAAATAATTTCTAGCAGGACACATTATACCTGATGACTTTTTGCGTCGTTCAGTAAAAATTATAGCATATAAAGTAAGACAGTACGTAGTCAAACTATAATTTATAATCAATACTATATATAAATCAAATTAAATCAATACTTATGTTAAAACAACTACTGTGACTGGCTTAAAAACATAATATAATAATAATAATAATAATAATAATAATAATATTTATTTCAAGAAAAGACACTTCACATGAGACACAACTTTACAAATATAGATCTTAACTTAACTTAACCTATGACTGTTAAACAAAGTGGTCAGTTGTGTTTATTTACAACGGTCTCTGCACTAAGCATAGCTTGTATCGCAGGGGCCAGACTTATGGGACATATGGGAGTGTATCATATTTCTTTGTTAAATGCCAAATAATATTATAGTCTATTATCATTTTTTAACTAAAGCTAATTAATTAATAAGTTTAAATAATGAAATAGAGCCTCTGTTAAATAAATAACATAACAAAAAAAATACTTCTTTGTGTTATACATATTATGCCATACTTTTCACCGCACGGTAAACTTAGTCATGCGGTATAGATGGGATATATACCATAATTATATATGTATTTATAACGTCCCGATATATTGAAGTTGTCACAAGCGACCTAGTCATCAGTCGACTGAAGAAGCACGACAAGACAATTCTATCTACCTTCTTACCATTTTTCTCCACATTCCATCGCCAGTACCATTTAGAAACAAATGTTAATCACATCAAAACACAGCCATTGTATAACCTTGACGTAACGGAGTATATTTTGGTTTTGATTTATTTTTAACTATACCTAACACTGGATTCCGTGAACTGGTGACATAAGTCCGTCTTTCCTGTCACTATTTCAAGTTTCAGTCTATTAATTATTCAGTTGTAAATAAACAATCATAAATAACCCTGGACTATTAATACAGCGCCATCTAGTCCCACTGTAAGCAGAGCTTGTATTATATGCACTATTTTTTTTTTAAATACATACATAATATACATAGAAAACACCCAGACCGATCACAAACAATCATACGCAAGAATACAAATATTTGCACCGTGCGAGGAATCGTAACCGCGACCATCAAAAGTAAAGCGGTGTGCTAAACCGCTAGACCGTTCAATCCGTCCATAGTTTTGTTATTATCTTTTATTCTTCTGATGTGGTCCTTACTACGATGCAATTCGTTTAGTTAACTATTAAGTACCTATAATTTACATACTTTGTATACCAGAGATTTCCAATAGAATTCTGCCCTTAGAAGAAAGTAAACTTAGTAAGAACTTTACCAGTAATGTAAATACTGTACGGATCTTATATTTGCTGAACAAACAGACGATTTATGCTATTACTCCTTTTGTAAATAATATTATCACGGCAAATAACCCTTTTATGTAAGGTTTATGATAGTAAAGAGTCTTCTGTGACTGACTAACTTTTAATGTAAATATCAAAAACTACTAAGTCTGGAAATATAATATTTGGATCATACGTTTATGATGTTATGATAAATTCGTCATAATAGATGTTTATCTATTATGACGAATTTATAAAATTTTTCAATTTCTCGAATCTTTTGTTACAAAACCAAGATCAACAGCTAGTTAAAAATTACAATAAATGTAATGTAACACATGTTTTATAGAAACAATGTTTCAGTAGCAAAAATCAGACATTGTCGGTACGAATTATTTGAAATAGTGAAAAGACTCAATAAATTTGTATGAACCATAGTACACCAGACTGGATATACATATATTATATTCTACATGATATTAACACTGTGAAAACGGGACACTAAAATCAGGCCCTTACTAATCCTGTACTTGCTGAATTAAACGAAACTTCTTTTCTGCTGATGGAGATCATCGCTTTGCATCTATATCCTTATAAACACAATTTTAAGCTGTAAAAAAGTACTGCTTCTTCATATCTAAATATTGAGTTTGTCACCTCACCGACTTAACGCCTACATATTTTTTTAAATGTAACAATGTGTGCCAATATTTAATTCAAAATTGATATTTAACATACACAGTGATTTATATTTGACATCTCATTGCCAAAATATAACGAATTTTAAAATCGAGTTTAGTTGCGTATTTTTTAAAAATATAATATTATTTCTAATCTACTTTTTTGGTGGCTTGATACAAAAAACACTCATTTTCGACTTATACATAATAGTGTTATTTTTATATAGTTTAAGAAAATCAGGCTAATGGATGATTACTAAATGTACAACTTAACAACTGTATTTTGTTATATATGTTGTTCATATATTGTTTGTTATACTATATTATGTATTATAAATACAACTGGAATAATGAGAAAAATATGAAACCTACAAAGTACTAATAGGTATCTACAAGTACAAATCAATTAAAGTTTGCTTTTAAAATATATAAAATATATGCATATTAACTAAATAATATGTTATATACGCTAAGTATTACTTACTAAGGGGTAACTAATATAATTAGATATAATTTATTACTTTTTCGAGTAGAGTAATGTATTCTATAAGAGACGAGAGACAAGAACCGCCTGTAGTTGCAACGTATGTGTCGAACAAGTTAAATATGCTGAAATTTCATTAAATATATCATACTTTGTCTATACAGCAAGAATCTTTTAAAGAAAAAACTAGTACATGTGTAAATATTAATAGGTACTATTATTATTAGTATGTATTAAATCAAAACATATGTATTATATAATAATCACCATTCTTTGCCTAGGTAAAGGAGCAAAAGAATGATATAGTTTAGTGGAGTGCAGAAGTCAGTAAATAAGGATACGAATTGGAATATATAGCAATGTTGCGGGTAAAGAAATGTATTATAATTATTTAAAAAATATATTAAACTCTTAAAAAAAACGAATTCGGTGTAAAATCTTTGAAAAGTTGTTTACATGTTTAATGTTTGTTGGCCAAATTTAATAATATAAAATTATATAACTTCTTGAATTTATGATTAGATTACGTTTCTTTTCTGTTTATCTACACACAAATAATATTGTATTAGGTATATGATCATAAAAATACAATTAAACTATTCAGTTTATTGTATTAAACAATAAAAGCTGCTAAGTTCTTAATACTTATTACTATAGTACTAGAACAGGTCTAGGTTTATTAAATTCCAATGTTATTATTATGAAATATAGAGGTAATAAAGTATATTCACTAATAAGATTAATTTAAATAAACGTTTTTTACAGTCACCATATCCGTCAATCAGTGTGAATGTCCTTTTCGTTAAAATGTAAATTAATGATATCAAATAGGACGAGTTTGTGTTTAAACGACAGAAAATTAAAAGACATTATATAATTTATACATTTCTCGACCCACGGAACTTTACGTTATTTTGAATCTTAGGTCAAAATAGTAGAATTTAATTTTAAAATGTTTATATATTACAGAAAAGAAAAGAGTCCGGTTTGTCTGTGTCCTATAAAATAAGCGAATAAGAGCAATCATCATTCAGTTCAACTGTCTGAAACGATACCGCAACCATGTACAAGCTGGTGAGTTGGACCTTTATTATATCTTGAGTTAATAAACACTATTTTAAACCTTTTTCACGGTAATTTCAAATTACATACATTGTGTAAAGACACCTTTATACAATATAGCCTTTCTTAAATATATTGACGACCTCGATAGTGTAGCAGTTTAGCACACCGCCTTAATATTGAGGGTCCCGGGTTGGTTTCCTCGCACGGTACAAACATTTGAATTCAAGAGTTTATGTTTGTATCAGTCTGGGTGTTTCGTATTTATATTATGTATGTATTTACAAAAAAAATTACTATGTATTTATATCAGTTGTTTAGTACCCATAACACCAAGCTCTGCTTAACTCGGGACTAGATGATGATGTGTGAATTGTCCTAAAATATTATTACTATTGTGTCATATACACCATTTATATGATATATGCAATCCCAATTAGATGTTACAGTTAATATATGTATATTTTGTTTATGATTATTAAGACAATCATGTGAATTATTAGTCGACCTTCACTTTTAATCAAATTAATTAGTGATGAATTTTTCATATATCAATTTACTTCAAATGTTGTAGCATATTCTATGAAGTACCTGTAGTTTCTATATAGACAGTATTGTATTAGCATGTAAATAAAGATAATAAAAAATCTTTTCAGTTGATTGTTGCCGCATTTCTGGGTGTTGCCGCCGCCAAGCCCGGCATCTTGGCGCCAGTAGCGTACACCGCGCCTCTGGCTTATTCTGCCTCAGCAGTATCTGTTGCTGCCCCAGCAGTACCAGTAGCAGCACCCAATCTCCCCATTGCCACACCAGCTCTCCGAGTTGCCGCCCCAGCAGTATCAGTTGCCGCCCCCGCCGTCCCTGTCGCCGCTCCAGCTGTACCCGTCGCTACACCTGCTCTCCGCATCGCCGCCCCAGCTATCGCCGCTCAAGCTATCGCTTATTCTGGCCCAGCATACGAGCCATTGGCTTATTCAAGTTACGCTGGACCATACCCATATGCCTACAACTATGGATATGGCATTGAGACCTACCCATCTTACTACTGGAAGAAATAAAAATGTAATACATTGATCCCGTAAACAGGCTATTAAAATGTACAAAAGTTCACATTAAATTACTACCTAACATTAAAAAATATTTTATTTATCAACAAAAATCCCTGACATATTATTAAATTAAAAAATGTTTAATTTGACTTATTCAAGTATTAATTTTTAGTATGAAGTGACAAATAGTAGTGAAATGTGTACATATTTTAATAATTTTTAAGTAGTAGTATAGTAGTAACTAAGTGAAAATATCACAAACTGGGTCATCAGACAGGGAACAAAAGTAATAGATGTACTTTATAGACTAGACCATTTAAAATTGAGTTGGACTGGACATATGCTAAGGTGCAAAATAAATAAATGGAAGCAAGCAAGCGACTCTCTGGTATCCTGGAGACTGGGACTAGAAGACAGAGTCGCCAAAGAATACGCTGGAAAAATAACATCAACCTGACTGAGACTGAGAACGGTCCCAGCGTTCAACAGGGTTGCGGAAGACACAGTTCAGTAGAGAAACTTGGAGGAGGCCTATATCAAAAGGCACACATTAAATAAATATCGAAGTGTACCCCAACATTCAGAAAAAAGGGCTATGTTATTATTATTCTAGTAGTAGTACCATTTGTTCACATTCATTCATACACCACCTACATACACAGACACTCTACACTCACACGTGTTCACTCGCTACCTCACTCACTATTATATTTTTATTGCATAGTTTTAGATATTTTGGCTTAACTAATTGTCCGTACATTTAGACTTAATTATTTTGCACAAGATTCATATTCTGGTTCCTACAGGACAGGCTCAGCCTGGTGCTATTGTGAACATATAAAACATATGTTTGGTAAATAAACAAATTATTATTATTATTAATAGTTTAAAAATTATATTACTCATACGTCAATATAAATTTTAATAAACGGATATTATAAGGAAGAGAATTCACTAATGATGACAACGAGCACTTTTAATATCCTTCACATCAACATGTTAGTAGTTTAATTAACCACTGAATTTTATTTTAATTTATATTTTATGCAAAATAACATGTCCTGTTTAACTGGTCGACTTAATGCTTGATACATCATCACAGGATTTCAATCACATAGGTATATTGGCTTAGTAGAATGGTGTAAATAATTACAAAATATAGGTTAGCGCCCTACTTTTCCTTGTTAATAAGTATACACTAACTGTAAACCTATTTTGGCAGTTTCTTTCTATTATCATAAGATTATCATTAATTATTCCCAAATTAAAAATAATACATATAGATAGAAAGCGTTTCATTATTGTAGAATAATAATATAAAATGATATAGAGATAATTAATTCCTTTTAAGACTTGATCACCAAAAAATATATTCAGTCTTTAATGTTTCATTTTGTTCTGAATCTATCAATGCCAGTGGCGAAAGCAACATCCACAGAAATATAATTATACAAAAACACACATCAGATGTATCTATTAAGTCAACGAATATATATTACTTCTTTCATTCTTATTTATTTATTAAATTTTATACATAAATACAAAAATAAAGGAGCATGTGACACCTTAAGGCATTTTCACCCAGTCAACCATAGGGCAAACAGAGATTGGGAAAGTGTAATGAAGTAAATGACACGAAATAAAAATAATAAAATGAAGTTGGTGTAAATATAATAATATTAATAAATTAAAAATATAGGTATATCCAAATGTATACATACTCAAAACAAATACAAATGAACAGTGAAAATTCCAGTAATAGCGGGGGATGATTTTGACAATTTGCAATAAAATTATGTTATCGATTTAATTACAACAGTCTTTGGTAAGATTATTTAATTAAAGGTAAATTTGGTAGCACCATATTTTATGTCAAAGCGCAAATCATTGTAGAGTTTAATAGCCTGATGCATAAAAGATGTAGAGACGAAGCTTGGACGATGAGCAGGAACGTGCAAAGTAAAGACAAAAGTTATGGTAAGATATGTCCCCGTGAAAAAAGAAATTTACTATCAAGATATGTATAGATATATATATATGTTATCTTCGATTTTCGTGAAAAACGAGAATTCCTTTCTTACTGATTTCTCATAATAGAAACCTATATTCTTAATTTAAAACACCAGACAAAATGTACATTTATCTGTTTTATTAACCAGATTTCAGATGAACAATGCACATCTTAATTCACTTATTATTATGGTATAAACAAGTATAGCGAACTTCACAATAAAATCGGTACAATGACATTTCAAATTTGTCACTGTATTCTTTAATATATTTTTTTTACTGTCGACAGATTTGTTTTTTTTTTTAATTAACCTTGGATACCGCTTTAAGCAAAACAGAATAATTATAATATTCAAAAATGTACGTCGTAGCTGCCAAAAAAATGAATTTTAGACCCTGAATCAACACGTTATAGACTGTTTTATTTTAATACATGCAATATTCAAGAATTAAGTTAGCATACCTGTGATCATATATAAATTGGCCATGTAATATGATCATGCATCATTCTGTTTCCAGAATTTCAACAAACACAACCATGTACAAACTGGTGAGTGAGAAACTGTACTATATACTACTATACGTCAATAATAATTATATAATACTTTTCGTATTTTGATTATATTTTGCCATTTATTTTTTATATTAATAAAATATATGTACACACAATACAAAACATTTACATATAAATTCTTTTACTACAAGGCTATAAATTTTATGTATATGTAATTCACCTGAAATAAATTATAATAAAAAATGTCTTGTCTTTTGAATTGCAGTTCATCTTAGCCGCCGTTCTTGGCTTCGCCGCCGCCCTCCCCGGAGGTTTGTATGGCTACTCTGCACCTGCTGTAGCAGTTGCCGCCCCAGCTGTTGCCCCCCTCGCCTACTCTAGCTATGCTGCCGCCCCCATCGCTTACTCCGGATATGGTCTCGGTTATGGAGCAGGTCTTGGATACGGTTATACAGCTGGACTCGGATATGGCTACGGACTCGGCGGTTACTGGAAGAAGTGAAAAGTTTAGTCCCAATTCAACTGAAATCATTATTTGACCACGCATATGTTCGAAAATAGTTATGACACGAAATAAATCGTTTTCATAGCCCAAAGTATTGTTTTGATTGTTGTTATTGAATAATTTGTATAAATATGTAATTTACTACAAAATTATATTCTAGGATAAAAGGTAGAATATATAATTACTATTGCACAGTACGCATGGAACATACCTACATACGCCGCATCTATCTCCCATATGGATAGACAAGAATAAACAATAGGAATACCATTACTCTTCTGATTACAATAGTTGTTCTTTGCATTAATAAATATCTTCATCTCCAGTGATAATTCAAAACATATATCACTACTCCTTTTTATACCCGAGGATATAACAAAGGAAACCCATATTACGCTATGCCAAAAGAAGGAAATCTATTCTATTATCTCCCTCTTTTATGAGGAACGACTTTGGTTGTTCCTTACAACCCATTGCCACCCATCTGTGCGATCAAGATCCCACAGATGGATGATAATGGGTTGTTATGATATCACATACAATCTGTTACGATTATTTTCAATACGGCGGTATGTCAACATAGCACAGACTGGCTCTTAGCCAAGACATAGTTTGATTTTTTGAGATATAAGATATGTTATAGGTAATCATGAAAAGGTAATGAAAACACAGACAGGCAGAGATTGTTAATTTTGAATTGCCGCTGCAACAAAATATTACATTTGAATTTCGAAATCTGTCATTCTTTATGAATAATCATTGTGTTTTCTCATTTTAGCACTAATCCGTTGTCAGACATTTTGTAATACAAAATGGTCTATGTGAAAAGTCTTTCAGTAAGACTCAGCACCAGGTCATAAAGCTCGTTCGACCCAAGATTGGTTGGAAACAAACGTTCCGGATCTTATCAAAGTCTAATGTGAAGACTGGCCGTCATCTAGTCATGGTCTTAATGCTAGATTATAATTTATGGACAGTTTTAGAGAATATGACTTGCCCTAAATAATAATATTTTTGTATATAATAGTTTTGAGTCCCTAAAGGAATCCACAAGTTAGGCATTGAAGAATTTACCGACAGAAAGAGATATTTCTAATCATAACAGGTCTCAACGTTTAAAGAACTATATGGTAGCTAATGAAAATTAATTCCAATAAACTTTTTAATGCTCTTATATTAGTATTAGCTATTGCCCGCGGCTTCGCTCGCGTTAATTTATCCCCTTAGGCGTGGAATTTATCAAAATCCTTTCTTAGGGGATGCCTACGTCATAGTAGCATTATGCATGCAAAGACTCAGCCCGATCGGTTTAAAATTGACAAAGGTTCATACAAACTTTCATCCCCTATTTTATCCCTTTGGGGGTAGAATTAATCAAAATCCTTTCTTAGCGGATGCCTACATCATAACATCTACCTGTATGCCAAATTTCAGCCCGATCCGTCCAGTGGTTTGGGCTGTACGTTGATAGATCACTACGTCAGTCACCTTTGAGTTATATATATTTAGATTTAAACTAACACATTACAATAATAAATGTTATAGGCAATATTACGGCAAGACTAGGTATAATATTAGTGTGGAACACTATAGATACACATTAAACGAATTATTCACTAATGTTCCTCTACGTCAATGTTTACAATTTTAATAATGATTTCATGTACCTACATGAAAGATTTCAAATCTAGAAAAAAAAAATTATAACCTCCTTTTCAAGCACATCATCGACATGCAATTGATTGTTTGATTGGCTTGTATCATTTAATCATCATCATCAGCCTACTGCAGTGAACTGCTGGATATAGCCCTCTACTAAGGCATGCACAATCAATTTTCAGCCCTTCTCTTACAGTTACTACCCGCAACCCTATGTATGTCATCGCTCCACGTTTGATTTAATCCGTTACGGTATAAGTATAACGTAACAAGAAGAATCATTAAAATCGGATCCATTAGTTTTAGCGAAGATAATAATATAATGTAACAAGGTAGAAAAATAATGTCCAATTCTAGGATTCCGTTTCTAATTTGAAAAAAAAATCATAACATGTTAATATTAGCAAAGTCGGCTTCTCAATCGCGACGTCAATGTGTCTAACTAGTTGTGTTATATTAGTCTATACATTTAACATTCTAATCAAGATGAACTAGCTATTAAATTACTATCGTAAAATCAAAAATAGAATTGTGTAGGTTTACACTCTTGTTTTGATTTCATTTAAATAATTATACAATACTACCGCGATAGCCAACATAGTTTCCTTAAAATTAGTTTCATTTTATAAAACATGTATACATGACCTCGGTAGCCTTACTTCCAACGGTTGCGGTTTCGATTCCTCGCACGATATAAACATTTATATTCATGTGTACAATTGTTTGTACTGATCTGGATGTTTTGTATGTATATTATGTATGAAATTACAAAAAATATATTTGTGTAGTTAGGTAACCATAACAAAGCGTAACTTAATTACGGAGTCGATAGCGCTGTGTGAGTTGATCGGGTTTACTATTATTTTTAAAAATTATAATTAAAGTCTACGAATATAAAAATTTTTGAGACACTAGATACACAACTGCCCCTTTAAATACCTTATAACGTTAACCTAACGGAAATGCAGCGCGTGTAGAGAACACTCTTACTCGCGGAATGATATATAGAATGGAAGAAGGACAACACCTACCTGACGGGTTAGTTGAAACCACAGACTACGGAGATAAGAATATTTGATAGAAATAAATGAACTCGAACTACGGATGATAATCTGAATGTAGTTTGAATCAATTAGAACAGACAAGAAACTCTCTCTCTCTTATCAAATGCAATTGTACATTATTATAATAATACCTAAATACTAAAACATAGGTTTAGGTTATAAATAATGGATAATTGTACAAATGATGAATGAAGCAGAATATGTATACTACGTATATATACACCATTTGACAAACCTGTAAAGTTTGATATTATTACATAATCACGAAATATGCGCATAACTAATAAAATACAGTATTGGCACAGATAAGATAAATTAGTGTTGGCAAATCTTCAACTTGACGGTCTCGGTGGTTTAGCGGTTTACCCCGCTTTAATGCGCGGGTTTGAGTCCCTGCATGAGACGAACATTTGTGTCATGAGTATAATTATTTATATCAGTCTTGGTATTTTCTATGTATGTATTTATAAAGAAAATATTTAAATATTTTATTAGTGTGAATTGTTAAAAAAAGAAAGAAAGAAAGAATTGTTTACTTTTACCTAATTATGAAAATATATTTAGAAACTCAGGGTTATAATTTTATTTACTATTTTCTAAATCTTAAGACATGAGTCCTTTTTATTGGTAATTGAGACAAATTAAAATAAATTTTATTAAATCAGACATCAGAGTGAGGTTTTGACAATACATTATTAATAATGATTTTGATTTTGATAATGGTTTTGCAATATTGATATTGGTCTCAAACTAATATTGAACCATCAAGAATTACAACTAAGTATTTTCTTGATATTAAAAATCTGTTATTAATCCTTGAATTACAAAGAATGCGATTGAGTAATGTCTTATAAGTTCAATATTTTATTATTGTATTTGAATCTTTATTAAATACTTATATATAAATCAAATGAAATCATTTTAAGGTTTTCGGTTAATACGAACAATTCCGTACCGATCTGATAAGTAGCTATAGATATCAATTTACAAAGTATCCAAAAACACCTAAAATTTCATCAAAATCCTTGAATTCCATGTCTATAGATAATAGTTACCCCTTTCCATTACATTAGATATACAATAATTACATTAGTTAGGTTTATTTCTTTATTATTTCAGTTCCATAGAATAAAGTTTACTTATATACGGTACATAATGAAGTCTTGCCTGCAAGGCAAAATATATATTATTTACAGACTGCAATATTTACCCTTTATATTAGTTGACTAGTTGTATTGTTTGACTACACGTGTCTGTAGAATGTATTCTACAGACACGTGTACGTTGTAGCGTGCTATACTGTGACATCAGAACAATACAGAACCTTATTTCTTTTGAAGCCTGTATTACATTACGACGCACAATATTACGCTCTAAGGATTCTCGCTTTTGCGCAAGAATAATCAGTGATAGAATCGGCTTTGATCAACCCCAATTACTAAATAGTTTTTACTGCTGTCTTCAAATTTCTATGCTAATATAATTAATAACCTTGACAATAATATATAAATTTAACACATTTTATAACTTTAAATTATAACAGTAACCACGAAAGATTTTATTTTAAACCTTGAGCCACTAGAATAAAGGTCAGTTTGATATTAATTCAGTTACAAAATAAGAAATTAATGCCATATTTCTGCGGTTGTATAAAAAAGGCCTGGTAACAGCACATAGCATCATTCAGTTTTGGACTGTCAAAACTTCAAAACAAGAAATATGTACAAATTGGTAAGTTTTCAATATAATTGTTTTATCGGGCTACAAAACAAAATTTAATATATGTAATTGTACGAGCCATTTTTTTTAAATGCAATGAACATAAACCTAAATAAATATATTTGAATCATTGAGCATATTTTTACAACGTTTCAAATCATCAAAAATAGTAACAATTATGAGATATATTATATAATAATTTATTTACAATTACAGTTCATCTTCGCCGCCATCCTCGGCTTCACCGCCGCTAAGCCTGGCGCACTTCTCAACTATGGATCGCCAGTGGCCGCAGTTGCCGCTCCATCTCTAGCTGCCGTCGCTGCCCCCGCAGTGGCTGCTGTTGCTCCTGTCTCCCTTCCCGCTCCAGTCGCCGTCGCTGCTCCCGCCGTTGCCGCCCCCGCAGTGGCTGCTGTTGCTCCTGTCTCCCTTCCCGCTCCAGTCGCCGTCGCTGCTCCCGCCGTTGCCGCCCCAGCTGTTGCCCCCCTCGCCTACTCTAGCTACGCTGCTGCCCCCATCGCGTACTCAGGATATGGCCTCGGTTATGGAGCCGGTCTTGGATACGGTTATGAACCTGCTCTCGGATACGGTTATGGACTCGGTCTCGGATACGGCGCCCGTCTTGGACTCGGCTACAGTTCTGGTCTTGGACTCGGCTACAACGCTGGTCTTGGATACGGTTATGGTCTTGGAGGAGTCTGGAAGAAGTAAAAAGTCAACCATAAATTTAAAATGAATTTATTATTCATATTTAAAGCAAAATACTGTGATATATAAATAAATTCCTAAATTCACTTAATATTTTATTCATTATTTCACATTTCTATTTATTCCAAGTAATAAAAGTATGTTTGACTCATCGTAATGAATCTACATTAAAATGGATAAAGATGGAAATGGATATTGGATTGAATGGAATTTGCATATATCTTCTTTTAATAAAGATTAAAAGATATATGTAAATTCCAATTTTAAACTTTTATTGTTAAGACTAACAATTAAAGATTAAAATTAAAACAATAAATGAAACAATGGTAAAGACATTTTTTTATGTAAGTATATATTTTATATAAATTGAATGGCAAGTAAGTGTTACCTACCGCTCTGATAGAAATTGATAACCACCATCTAATAAGTACAGGAATACCACCACGGATATCATGTTCTCGTGTAAGATAAGTCCTTATCCAGCCACAACCCAATGATGTGTTATCATAATAATTGAATAAGTAACATGAATTAATATATAAACAGTTACAATTAAAATTTGTTACTTAGGTGTATATGTAATGTATTGGACTGCCCATAAAACAGTCACATAATAAGTAAATCATAGTTTGGCCCAGCGCTAACAGCTACGCCTAGTGCAGGAGCTGTTCTAAATGTACACAACTGATCCCTTTTGTCATAGGTTTTGTTTAAGATCAATTTATTTGCTTGTGTCTTTAGGAAACTGTTATTTTGATAACAAATAATATTACAACATATTATCACATGTACTGGAAGTAGCAATTATACCAATAACGGGCCTAGTGCAAGATGCCCTTAAATAAGAACTCCTCGAAAGGGCAACGGTATCGGTGGTATTACAGGTGCCATCTGATAACGTGATAGCCTTAGTGCTGTTTATGCAAATATTGGCTAGGTCACAGCTTACAATCAGGTGGGATATCAGCTTAATGTCTAGTTACAGCTGTTTTTTTTTCTTTTTACATTAATGTAATATCGCTTGGTTGGTTGTCACTGTCCCTACATACATACATACATACTAAAATATAATGTAAACATAAATCTGTATAATTATATTAGGTACTTACAGTATTCTTTGATAAGAGAAAAAGACTAAAGACAGAGTTTCTTGTAATTTTTTCTGAGCTCAAAATATATTGCAATACTAGTTAAATTAGGTTATCATAAGCGTCTGTAATATAACGAATGAATGAAAATTTTATATTGTACGCCTCACAAAAAAAATATTTGGTTTTTGACAAAAATGCAAACTACAAAGTGTAGGTACTAAATAATTTTTCTTGACTATTGAGTCGAAAAAGCAAAACCCCTCTTATTAATGACCACTTATTACGGAGTGAAAAGAGTTAAGCAAAGTTTTACAAAACCAATCGTTATTGCTACTTCAATTTTAACAGGCGTAATAAGAATATATTACATAGTATAATCAAATAAATACGCCATTCAAAGCTAGTATAACTTTTCATTATTAATTGTTATGTTTTACGGAATTGGATACAAGTCCTCTAAAATCTCATCTCTTGATCTCTCTCATCTCATCTTATATGCGAATATGTCAACTGCCATATTATATTATCAAGGAAATTGTGATGTTAGGAGAAAATAATGAATTAATAACGCACTTTAAAAAAATACAGAATTATTCTGATCACCACATTTGTAGCCACAGGTAATTAAGGGTTGAAAGCGGTTGAAAATAATATCACAGAGCAGGCACATCATACAGTGACTATTCCTATTAACAAACCTCAAAATTTTGTCATAGACAAATTCAATAAAATTGTAATCGATCGCTCTCTGTGGGTACATGGAAGATATATGAAAAGATATTAAGTATCGGAGAGTTTCATCAATGTAACAGAACACAAAAACCATAACTGTTATATCTTTTTCCGTTTGTTAGTGTGCATTTGTGCACGCTAATATCAGAAACGGTTTAACCTATTGAGCTTATGTTTTCATTAATATATTATGATAAGCTTCATTTAAAAATTTGTGTTTATTTTATTCACATCGATTCATGACCGTAAGAGTTATACGAATATTAAGGGGTACATGAAATTGCAAGATAAGGCAATGTAAATTGAGATTTTGAGACAGTTGCATCAAAATCTATATTAAATATTCACTATTTTAACAGAAACACGATCAATAACATATTTTACAATATATTTCTAATTAAAGCGTCTTTTTGACATAGATATTATAATTTGAAGTTAATTGAATTTTGCCGGTCCTTAATATTTTCATGTAACTGGAATGGCAAAGAAACAGCCAACTTGGTAAAAGTGGCAAACATCATGTCGTCTAATGCCTGCCCAGCCTCTTCTTGATAGCAAAGACAAAAAATATCCATGTAGACCAGTTCGTTAAATGTTATAAAACACAGACAATTATTTTTATATGTACTTTTATTCCAATTACAAGTAACGTAAAGTAAGACAAAATTTCTATTTATTTAAAGGCACACACACACAAGGCATTGTTATACTAACAACAAAATACAATACAATACAGTTATGTGTATAAATTAAATACAATGCAGGTACAAAAAAAAACTGTGAAGTAACGGTGCATAGCCCATACGCAAAAAGGCAGCACCTCAGTGTATTGTTTGGGCGAATGCACTATAGAATAGTGGTAGAATGTGAAAGCAAAGATCAACAATTAGGTTAGGCCTAAAAACCGTTTTCTTTAAATAAATATTCTACAACACGTTCCCTCGCGTTTGGAAACAAGGTCGTATCTGAAAAGTAATCTCAAAAAAATATTAATAAAGTATTCTCTCTTGAAATTTATAGAACATTAAAACAGAATATCTACCTATAACTCATATAGTTTTTACTCTAACGAGTGTTATTTTTCATATCATCCTTGACAATATTTTTTAGATTTTGTATTTTCGTATTAGGAAAAATGCAAATTGAACCACGAACCAAAAGGTTAGAGTTCGTTTTCTTAATAATGCAATCAGAATTTAAGAGAGAAGTCCGGTTTTTAAATAATCCTATAAAATAGGTAGTTAAGACGAACCCACCATCATTCAGCTGCGTTAGTTTGAAAACTAAGCATCATGTTCAAATTGGTAAGTTAACTTAAAACCTTTCGATGTCACAATACTTTGCAAGCGGTAATTAAATTTATTGTAACCTAACTGTATGAGCGAAACTAATTATTTCCCTTTCCCATAATTTTTTGGAAACTGAAAAAATACATGAATCAGTAATAGTAGTACAAATTCAGACCTATCTAATAAAAGTATTAATTTCAATACTATGTTGACAATTGTTCTCGTCTTATTTGTATAATTGTATTTAAATTTTGGCTGCACATCGATAAATCAGTTTATATTTCTATTATATATATAATTGAACTATAATTATATTCACTACACTTTATATAATTGACCGCATTTCTGTTCAAAAATACGTTTATCATTTTTTTATTATATTAGAAATGGCGAAGTTTTCTACTCTGAAATGGAGAATATATTTTTTTGTGAAATACATCTTTATAAATAAATCTTATTTAGATTTTATTAATTATATTCAAAATTGAACATATCGGTAGAAATGTTACATATAAAACTTGACAAAGACTAATCTTTTAAGGTCATAAGCCGTAAATGGCAAGATCTATATTTAGTTTATACAATAATTTTCTAAGACAGCTATATATGAAGTATTATGATTCTCATTCACAGTTTGTTACCTACTATATTAATAGCTTATGTTACTAATTGAAGCACTTCAAATATGATTATCTTATTGAAATTGTTATTATTTACCTACTATACTTTAATATACAATATATGTATTCGTAAATGTGAAGTAATCTGCATGTATTCTTACATATAAATATTAATCAGACTTTTTGTTACTTTTCAGTTCTTATTTGCTGCCATCTTGGGCATTTCGGCCGCTAGCCCAAGCGGTGTCTTAGGTTACGGTGCTGCTTATGGCTACGCTGCCCCAGCAGTCAGTTACGCTGCACCAGCAGTGAACTATGCTGCACCAGCTGTCGCAGCTGTTGCCGCCCCAGCCGTCCGTGTTGCCTCTCCAGCAGTGGCCGTAGCGGCTCCCGCCGTCCGTGTCGCTGCCCCCGTTGCCTATACTGCCCCTGCTGTATCGTACGCCGCCCCCGCCGTATCGTACGCCGCTCCCGCCGTATCTTACTCCGCTCCTGCAGTATCGTACTCTGCTCCTGCCGTCTCGTATTCCGCTCCCGCAGTATCATACTCTGCTCCTGCCGTATCTTACGCAGCCCCAGCAATTTCCTACGCTAGATCCGTTGTAGCCCAACCTGCTGTTGCTTACAGCGGTTATGCTTCTCCCCTCGCTTATGCCGGATATGGAAGCTACGGTTATAGCGGATATGGTTTAGGATACGGTTACGGCGCCGCTTTCCCCTACGGTTACTGGAAGAAACGTTAAGATCCGCCTTACCATTGATTTAATAGTAGTTATTCATGTGATTCGCCATCGAATAAGTATTTGACATAGTAATAAATACCATTTGTTTATTAAATATGCGTCTTTAAAATTGCATCTGTGTGTTCTTACATTCCAAGGATTTTACTTCTCCTCGCATTAAACAGTATGATATACTTTACTAGATGTTAGTAGTTATACAGATGTCTTAAGAATAATGTACCTATCTAGTCTGATGAAATACACGACTCTTATTTTACAAACATAATTTTATTTCTTCTTTTCTCTCTTATGTAAGTATGTAGCAAATATTTAACAAAGCTACTAGATAACAATTAATACATGGTTTCTATACTAGAGTACCATTAAAAACTTTGTTAACAAAGCTACTAGAGAACCATTAATACATGGTTTCTATAGTAGAGAACCATTAAAAACTTTGTTAACAAAGCTACTAGAGAACCATTAATACATGGTTTTATTTTTCCAACTATAATCCGTATTGACACTATCTCTTATAAAGGTCGTGAAGGCACGTCAAAAATTCGTCTTATCACTGCTGCTAACATTGTCAACTGTCGACATTATGATAAAATGGCCACATGTTACTAAATTAAGTGGCAGAGTGATGCTATCGCTGTCTTAGATTAATTTTAGTTTTTTTACAATAAGTTGGTGAAACTAATACATATACTCCCATTATAAAATTGTACTTTCGCCTGCGCTAACGATAAACGCTGGCAAACAAGTACAGAATAAAAGGATGAGTATAAACAAGTAACCACTATAATATCCAGGAGTATTCGCGTGGTCGACGCGACACGACGATGATAGATCGACGTGACGTAGCAATGTACAATGCTACCACTGAAACTACTATAACAATCTGTTTCGGTCGGTCAAACCAATATGGTCCCACCATGATAATTAGAATTTTTTTAATTTATTTTTTAAATTAAGAAGTTTGACAATTCTTTATTGGATTATCATGTAATTTGTTAAATTCATTACAAACTTTGTAATTTGTTATATAAGATATTTTTATGAATTTGATACAGTTCCAGGTAAAACTATTGATTTATATATATATTCATAATATTAAAGAAGCTTAAGTTTTAGAATACTAATGGTATAAACAAAAAACTAATTAGCCATTATATAGCGAATCCAAACGACCGTATCGAATCGTTTACCGAGGTATTTTGTACAAAGTTGTCTGCGTAGCTATCTATTTCTTGAGTCTAGGTGACACGAGTTGAACCATCATTTGTTCGTAAGCTGTGGTATCACAGGGTATCTTCTTTTTAAAAAGTATGCAATATATCACTATAGTAATAAAATGTTTTTATTTCTTTTTAATTTATTACAGAATTTTACAGCGGTTAAATTCAAAACATTTGTACATCACAATACAATTTATACATTTATATAATATGACAATATATTAAATATATATATTTCGGAGATTTAAGAAATAATAATAATAATAATTGAATTTTTAAAAAATTTGTTATCAATTATTGCGCCATAATATTTTTGCTTTATAATATGAACTTATGCATACTACGGAACTTCATTTAAGAGCTATATTGGTATTATAAAATCATAATACAGTCTTATTGATAATAATATCTATTTATTAATATATAAATTGTGGGATATTTAACACTGTATTTCGGACTGAAACATTCGGTTGAAGGTTGAAATAGGGCAGGGTACTGTGGCATGACACCATAGTCCTTAGGATTGGCAACTCATAGGTTGTAGCAGGAGAGTCATAAATTCTCTATTTACCATCCTCTATTTGAAATCCATACTAACAAATGAGAATAAAACTAGCGCACAAATCAGTTTGCATTTCATTGTTTATGCAAATTATAAATAGTAATAAAAGTTATTACCCACTCAGCACTACCTATGCCACTGTTTTAGGTTGACTGGAAGAGATCTCTTCTAGGGACAAGTCCACATTTTCTCACATTGTCTCTAAATTATAGTATCATTCTATTATCTTTGCAATAAAGAAAAATATATATATATAAAAAGTACATTACTTTACTTTTTATATCAATTTTGGCAACATGGCAACCCCCTGTGCGTGCACCGCAAAACTGGAGCGGACTATCACATGTAGTACAAGCAAGTTGTCGTTTAAACAAACCTGGAAATTTTAGTAGGTACTATCTGACAGACTGACAAAAACACATACCAGGGGTAAAAGTGATAAACTATAACAAAGTTATAAAATCTAACCAAAGAAAAATATGGGTAACAGTAATAGTACAAATGCGAAAACAGGTCCGTCTTTCGGTTATAAGAATTATTGTATGTTGTATTTTATTGTAAACGTCAAGATAAACATTATCTTGACGGCAGACAGTATCTATCTTTTATTATCTCAAAAAATATAGACAACTGGCTGGAAAGAACAGATATTAGAAAAGAATAAGATATTTTTTATACACCTCTGTCTCATCTAAACTAAACAGAGGCTGGACTACACATATGACATAAATACCTTAATGTTCGTACATTAATATCATTTAGACCAAGACCAAACCAACAAACAACTCATGAATACAAAATATTGTTTTGTATGGGAATCAAATCCTCGACAAACGGAAACTAAGGCAGTGCTGCGACTCTGCGAAACCAACGAGGTCGAACGAATTATATAATGTCGTTTCAAGTTTTCAAGATCAGATAGATATGTATAATAATAATATGAACTTCATCTGTCCATCGCATTGTAAATGTTGTATATATTTGCCAATCTAATAAAATGTTATTGAAACTTGGAAACAAAATTAAATGGTATCGCAAAATTTTAACTGACCTTTTGGAATACTACAAATATCACACTCTGTATGAATAATGAAACAGGTTTGACGACACGCATCAAAAATTCGTGCACTATTAGAGTTTTCTGTATCTACATTAAGGTAGGCTTAATTAATATTTAGATACACGTTTATATATTAATCGTACCTTATTTACTAAAAGCCTATATACAACGACTTATTACGCTAAAGTTGTATAAATAAAACGGGCTTCCACATAAATATTATTACAATATCTCACAAAATGTTAAATATCACGTAATAAAATATCTATTCAGCTCAAATCATTAACAAGCAGCTTCATTTATAAACTACCTACCGCCGTTTTGAAGGACGAGATAAAGCAAAAAAATAATAGGGTACAGAGACATGACACTACATGATAACCCAGTGACATATGCCTATTTACACAACAGCATTGCGTATACTACTTATGCCAATACACGAAGGGCATGGGCTTTTTAAGGTAACGTGAAAGTACTTCATACTAGAAAAGATGCAAAAGTGTCTTAGTGCCAGAACTAAGATATTTGATAACTTACGGTACTACCGACACCACAAACTAATCAAAGTGTACCGTTATTATCCTATATGTATTACTTTGATTTTTAACATGTTTTTAATGTATTTAAGACATTGACAATAATATGTGCATCATCTCTATTTTGTCATTCTTGAAAAACTGTTCCTCTTTCTGCATCTTCAATAAAAACATATCTGTAACGGCAGTAACTGATATTTTAATCATATAGAAAATTGGTAGATAAATAGACAATTTCATGTGTGCTGAGGGGTCAATATTAGTAAAAAAATTCTGGACAGTTAGACCGAAGTACCCTTCTGAATCTAATGCTATATTATAGTGGCTAAGACAGTTTCAAATTATTTCTAATATATAGTTTGTTCTAATAAACAACTTTAGGTATTACTGAGTTATTGGTAACTTAGCAACAACAACCAGGATCTCTATCCTTTTGATAAAATATTAGTATGGTAATGCTTACATTTTTTTATAATGTTGCATTATGGAATCAAACCAGTTCAGGTTTATCGTCTAGCTCAATGAATGGTCACAGCTGTTTATGAATATTCATTTTCTTTAGAATTCGTTCCTGCGGCTTTTGAAATGTAATTAATAAATTATAAATGATGCAATTTTCTATATGATCTAATTTCTACATAAATTCTTTGCATTGAACATATGGTGTATGTAAAACCAATAAAAAAGGAATACTATTTGATTGACCTCCTTTACGTTTTGAAAAAATTAAAATAATGTTGTTTTACACCGAGACTAATATCTTTTAATATTAATAATACCTTTTGAATGCGGTTTCTTTCAGTAATATTAAGTAACTATTTAATCGACCGCTACATTTATAAATTGCCCTCAATGCCTATACTTGGTTATATGTCATCAAGAATTACGTTAAATCCCAAATAACATAACTTCTTAAATAACCACTTTTCTTCCACGTATACATATAAAAACATTTATTTTATTTTTACAATTACATGTGCAATATGGATGAAAAAGAGATTATCGAGACATACCCATTATTTACGTAAGAAATGAACAACGCCAAAAATAAAAATACAATATTTCTAGATTCCGATTTTATTTTCTTTTTCCTTTCAAATATCTTTTTAGACATTGTGAGACTTTGTACAAAGTCATATGTGAAGGCACCTATATCTAACTTAATACCACTAGTAGCTTGCTTCGAAAACTGTTCTCCCTTCAATCATGAAGGCATTTAGCTGTAAACTTACAGATTAAGAAGGCGCCGTTTTGCTACCTGAACTGCTCATGACTTTTAACAAAAAGTTACATGTCAAGAGCATCTTCAACAATTTCGAGCTGCTTACAAAGTCTAATAATTATCATTAGAACTTATAATCTACCACAGTAAATGTCGCATATACTAACTTCGATAGACTATTAAGGTTCGTAAAAATACTTTTGCACAAGTTACACGATTAGAAATAATCATAGCTAATTGGCGCTTAACAAAACGCCTATTAGAATTGAGGATCATCACCCATAATGCTAATTGGTGTTTCATGTTTTCATATGCAATTGTAAATCACGTGATTCCTTTATCTTATGAAATATCTGCAAAATGACTGTATTTAATAAGGTAATTAAAATTTGGTTGCTCTTCTGCCCATTGTATTAATGCCTATAAATGAACTCGTTCTGTCAAATTAGCCTTGACGACACTAAATTATAGCTCCAAGTTGATATATTTTACATCGCTGTGTCCATATGGGCTTGCATCAAATCAACCATATAGTCGAAGCAATAAAGTTTACATTAATGAGATTATGGTAACGGTAAGAAGGAAGTCCGGTTTTTCGTCTGTCCTATAAAATAAGCGATTAGGATGAGTCCAATATCATTCAGCTTCGACAGCCTGAAAAAGAACACAATCATGTACAAACTGGTGAGTTGAAATTAAAAATTATACATATTTTATAAATGTAATTGAAACTTAATATATGCTTAATTAAATAAGTAAGTATATATACATATTTAAATACTCAAATGTTAACTCTGTAGATACTATACATGTAGTTTTCCATAATAATATATATGTAATATGGTAACAAATTAAAAAATAAATGTAAAACAAATCTCTTATACATACATTTTTTTCTTAGTTCATCGTCGCCGCCGTGTTGGGGCTCTCAGCCGCCAAACCTAGCATCTACGGACCTGTGGCTTACTCTTCTCCTGCCTTGGCATACCCAGCAACCGCCGTTGCCACCTCTGCAGTAGCCGCTCCAGCCATCGCGACATCCGCCATTGCTGCGCCCGCCGTTGCCACACCAGCCATCGCCACACCCGCTATCGCTGCCCCAGCTCTGCGCGTCGCCACACCTGCTCTTGCTGCCCCCGCATACGCCGCACCAGTTGCCGCCACAGCGTACGCTGCACCAGCTCTTGCTGCTGCCACATACACTGCGCCCGCCGTTGCCACTGCCGCATACGCTGCCCCAGCGATTGCTGCCCCAGCCCTGCGTGTCGCTGCTCCAGTATCTGTTGCCGCCCCAGCGGTGCCAGTAGCCGCTCAAGCTGTGCCAGTAGCCACTCCCGCCGTGGCTTACTCTGCCCCTGCTGTGGCCCCCGCCGTGGCCTACTCCGCCCCTGCTGTCGCCCCCGCAGTCGCATACTCCGCCCCCGCTGTCACTTACTCTGCCCCCGCTGTTGCCGCCGCACCCGTGGCGTACTCTGGCTTGGCCGCCTCCGCACCCGTCGCATACACCGGTTACGGATACGGCTATCCCTCTTACTACGTCAAGAAACGTTAAGAATGCAAATTTCACGAATGATCACAAATAGACCTAATTGACCTAACCTAACAAAGCAAATTAAATGTGTTCTTAAGTAAGTTACTTCAGTCTTTCCATTTATTATTCCTCATAGTAGTTCCTAATAATATTACCTGTAATTTGTAATTCATATTACAAAACTATACATTTACACATAATCTCTAGTAATATTATGTTAACCCAACCCAATAAGTATATGGTATGTAGGAATACATGGACACTCATGGTTGCATACATTCCGCGGTCAGTAGTGTTTAGGAATTTTGACTCGAAACTTGTGAGATGATACCTACTTTACAGATAACTGTAATGCTTTAAGACGATTATTTTTTATTAATCATCATCACTATCAGTAAAGCCATTATAATATATATACATTAAAAATAGATATAAGCCGATAGTAACCTATAACCACCTATATACTCGTACAATATATGACCAGTACTGTAGACATCACATAATCATGTGGCGCCGGTGATACCACTACCATGTCACGCCTCTTAAACTATATTTTACTCCCTCATTTCATCAAAACTAGCTGCGGCTGGCGGCTGAAATAGTTGAGCCTGAGGTATTTTGAAAATGCCATGCTATTTAGATCGATAATAAAACAAAACAATTATTCCACTAAAATATAGTATTACATGCGGACATAATTTAGGCGTGCGTGCATAATTTGTAATGAGAATGACAATATACCTACCTACCTATTAAAAAGTCGACTTGTGAATCTTCTAAATTTTGGGCAAAATATAATCTAACCGGATCTCAATCTTTAGGTATACCAGCAAGTCACCGGACAGGAGGTCCTACCTATAAATTACGATTAAAAATTACCATGTGTTCAATGTATTAGATCACTTCGGTCCATGACTGTTATAATTAATTTTACGTAACATCTGCATATTCTACCTGGTGACATATTTATTGAATAGTAGATTTCGTCCGAGAACCTGTCTTTTAGACGCTTTTAATTTAACGAAAATATCTGCGATATGTTACACTTGTTTTATGAACAAGCTTTTTTACTTACGCTAAATAATAAATTTTACTCAGACTATAATGATTCTTTTATAGATAACTTTCGGACATTCGTTTAAGTTATTATTTAAATGTAAATATAGGTACAAGATTTGTTTTAATTGTAAATCAAATCAAACAAACGTCTTTAAAATATTAGTATTAAATCTAACCTAATAAAGTAGCAAACTAGTAGTTTGCTGATGTTACACATAATTGCCGTTACACCAAATATTTTAGTTTTCCTTGTAGTAAATCTCGCGTTCACGATATTTGTCCGGAATAAAATAAGAAATTACTTAACCAATTGTTAAGAAATTAAGTATGTAATTTATAATATCGATGAAAATTGTTTAGAAGTCCACCACATCACTTTGGCTTATGCCTCTTTTAATAACTGTTTTATTTACAGTACATTGTAAATAAAATTATTGATTGTTTTTATTAATATAAAAGGTTATATATACATATATGATCTAACGTGATCAAACTATTTTTATGTAATTTGAATGGCAAAAATGATGAACTAGCACACTTGAAAGTAAATGGCCCAACTTTTGCCTATATACATGAACAGCACCGCAGATATCCCGTAGTCATATGACGCCCGTGGATAGCAGTTGTCATTACTACTTCTATAATAATAGTTTATAAAGGTACTGTTTATGAAGTTGTAGGGGTAATCTCTAAATCTACTGAGGCCATTTTAAAAATTATTCTATCTGTCCGGAGCCCATTTATCAAAAAAGGCTTTAAGCTATAACATAACGCGACAAACAATAGATGCGGATCTGCAATGAAAAATGTTTCAAAAACGGGAAAAGTGTGACGAAGACAAAGTTACGCAGTAGTAGTAAGTCAGCTAGTACTTTACATTTCACTGGAACATCAAACCGAAACACAGCTTGGAAGTGCTGCTACTGCTAACTACAGAAAACTGATCAGTTTATTTCTTTATTTAAATACGTTAATATTTCACACTAGCGAACCCGAGCAACATCGTTTATATCAAAGTTATCATTATATTTCGACTAATTATCATATCTTTTTAATTTATAGCCTGCATGTTATTCTAATATATTCTTATATACATATTTCTGTAAAATCCGTTCAGTAGTTTTTGCGTGAAAGAGTAACAAACATACATCCATAGTCACAAACTTTTGCTTTTATAATATTAGTAAGTAATCCTACTAATATAATAAACGCAAAAGTTTGTGACTAGACTAGTCAGATTTGTAAATGTCCGAGATTAATTATATAATATAGAGTAAGGTAGGCTAAACAAAAAGTTAGGGTGTAATATTGTTTTGATATTAAATCCCGAGCGAGATATTTAATATGTAAATACATAGGTGATCACAAGTATGTAGCCGTTACGATATGGATTTAGCATTATGTATTAATTTCCAGGACCTTGCAATGTTGAGTTGTGTAATAATGAGTCAGACACGTCGAATTGGAGTTTTATTAATGATTCTCTTAGAAATATACAAATATATTGTAATAAATCAGCGCTTGTTAGTCAGGTAATTAATATATTTATAGATTATACACATTTTTTACTTACAAATTCTTGAAAATTTTAAGGTTTAATCGTTTATATGTGGATCTATCTACAAATGGTCAATGGTAATCAACGTTTATGTGACAGACTCGACCCATTGGCTTTGCGGCGTGATATTGCATCTCTGTGCATTTTCTACCGCATATATCACGGGGAATGTTCTGAGGAATTGTTCGGATTACAGCTGCTGAGTTTCACCATCGTACCACCCGCCAGAAACTGAAATATCGTCCTGATCATCTGGATGAATGGCGGTCTTCCACAATGCGGTTTTCTACAAACTTTTTGCCTCGCACAACCACATTGTGGAATCACCTTCCAGCAATGGTATTTCCGAACCGATACGATATTGAAACCTTCAAGAAAAGAGCTTATTCCTTTTTAAAAGGCCGACAACATATTTGCAATTTCCCTGGAGTTGCGGGTGCTCATGGGCGGCGGTAATTACTTACCTTCAGGTGAGCCGCATGCTCGTTTGTCCCCTGTGTTATAAAAAAAAATGGATATTTTCAATATTATTTTATATACTTTTCAATTATTTATATTTCAATTATTAGTTTCCAGTGGTCTCTAAGTATAATCGATGAGAGAGGTCTGTATAAATAATTACTAAATAAAGCAAAAATACAAACTTAAAATATTATCTTATTAGTTCATTACTTAATTTACTGTATTTATTTATTAAATTTTCTTCGAATTTTTCAACATTATTATAAATTTTAGGTACTCTTAAAGAATAAAGACTATACAGTAGATAATATAATGTATTTATGGTAAATACTTATTCCCACATAAATACAATAAAAAAAACACATTTACCTACTATTTTTTGAGGTACTGAACTTAAAAATATTGACTACACTATGGTTATAATATATATATAAACTACTGTAGTGGTAGTTATAAATAGTATTTATAGTATGTCTTTAAATATAATAGACACATCTGAATTATAATGGAAATTAAAAATTTTGAAAAAATATTAGTTCCATTCGTTTAGATACCTTACTAACTACTTGACCGAGAAAAGAATTCTTTGAAAGATTTTTGAGTTTGTTTTAATGGGTCCCACTATCAAATAGTTTATAACTATTATAACCATTGTACGGAATCAGAGGATGTCGTATGTTCCTAAGATTTATTGTGATGAGATGAGTCCTATGTACAAACACATTTACACAGTAGCGAAGTAGTCATGCAATATACCAACATCTATAATTAGATACATTTTATTTGAATTTTATAATTACTGTTCTTCAATTTATTTTAGCCATATAATTAAAATATATTCTTTATTGTCTAAGCCTGCGACTTCGTACCGTATAATTACTATTGTTTGATTCTATAAAAAGAATAATAATAATAATCTCAGGACAATTCTCACAGCGCCATCTAGACCCAAGTTAAGCTATCTAAAGCTTGTATTATGGGTAATCGATAACTGATACAAATACGTAAATACATAAATATTATACATAAAAAACACCCAGGCCAATACAAACAATCATACTCGTGAATACAAATGTTTGTGCCGTGCGAGGAATCGAACCCTTGACCATCGGATGTAAAGCGTTGTACTAGACCCCTAGACCACCGACGTCGTGAATTATATTGATAAAGGCCCCCAATAATAGTTTTTATCATATATCCTTCATGTAGGAACATATAGCAATCTACTGATCGCTACTTGATATACATTTATGATGTAGTTGAGAAAACATAAAAATAAAGATATATTACAATTTAACAATTGTGTCGAAACGAATTTTAAGCATATATTTATTAAATTAAATTAGTTAAAAGGACATGATATTGAAAATTATCTAATATATTCAATTTTCTACTTATCATAATTGGTATACTTAATTCAAACTACATTTTATATTTTATTCTAAACTGTTATATTTTAGGGTTTTAATTTAATTCGAATTCACAGCTTTTGAATCTTACAAATGGAGATAAAAATCACTCAACCTCGACACATCTTTTATTATTCATTCATGTAAATTAAAATAACATTACAATGAAATACTAATTGGATCACATTCAAATAATTTTCATACGGCTATATGGGAACACCTGTATTCTATATATAAAATTAGGTACTTGTCGTCTGCCAATCACTAGGGCGCCCTTTACTATAAATAATAGAGAGACTTAGCAAATTATATGGAACTTGTTTTTTCAACCATAACCTTGATACCCATAGTAAATTATAATGTAGTATAAAACTGATATATTTTACATTTCTCGCCATACAAAGTTAATCAATGAATTGAGCTCTAAAGCAATGAGGCTAAAGCACGTTTTATAATTAATTTCATGTGAAATTTTAGGATAGCGGCCGGTTTTGTGGTGTTCCTATAAATTAGGTGCTTGGGATGAGTATAACGTCATTCAACTGCCACGGACAAAACATAACCATGTATAAACTGGTGAGTTACGTTAATGATAACTTATTTAATTAATGTATATTTGAAATTAGAGAGACTGCTTGTCTCGGCCTGCCTGTACATTTAAGTTTTAGACTAAACAGCTCAAGACAGGTGCATGAAATTTTGTAATAAGTGTGATACTTCGACCACATAGAAAATGTGTCGCCTATTCATTATGGTAGATTAGACATATCATAAAAGTCTATAGTCGACCTACATGAATAAATATATTTTGATTAGATTTGATTAAAATTTAACTCCTTAGAATACGAAAATGATCCAAATAAGTGCTAGTCAACTAGGAGATACAGATACCATGAACTTATGGAAGTCTGGTTTAGTTAATTACTATTTTATGTTTATTATAGAATATGTTAAGCCTAATGCTCTAAGTACTTCTGATGTTCAGGCCATTTTGTGGATTGAAATAGAGTTATTAAAATAATGGAGTATTTTTTATTAAATTATTAAATTTTTCATTTTTCAGTTCGTAATCGCCGCTGTGCTGGGGCTCGCTTCTGCTAAAGCCAACTATGGCTCGCCCGTGCCCGTGACATCTTCGTCGGTCGCAGTAGCATCACCATCAGGGGTCGTGTCTGCACCTGTACCCTACTCTTCATCAGTAGCTTACCCTTCACCAGTGGCCTACTCCTCACCAGTAGGTTTCTCCTCACAAGTCGGCTATTCATCACCAGTTGGCTATTCGTCACCAGTCGCTTACTCTTCACCAGTGAGCTACTCGTCACCAGTAAGCAACCCTTCACCAGTAGCCTACTCGCAACCAATAGGCTATTCGTCACCAGTTGCGTACTCGGGCCCTGCTGTGGGTGTTAGCTCTCGTTCCGCGTATTCTGCTCCAGTTTCGGCGGTTGCTTCCTCCGTCGCCTACTCCGCGTCAGCAGCATCCGCACCAGTGTCGCCCATTGCCTACTCTGCCCCTGTTTCCTACCCAAGACCCGTTGTATCATCTGTACCTGCAGCGGTTCCTTATTCTGCTCCAGCCGTTAACCCTGTAGCTTACTCTGCTCCCGCTGTCTCTTACGCTAAGCCTATTGTGTCCGTTTCACCACAAATTAGCTCCCTTGGTTACCCATCTTACCCTACACCGTTTTCTTATGCTGGATATTCTCCATATTATACTGGTTACCCTGCGTATAACTATGGCTTTGGTTACAACTACCCATCCTACTACTGGAAGAAACGTTAAGAATCACCAAATCTAGACTAACTGCCGAAAACAAGTTATAGAATAATTAAATAAGATTGCAAATTGAAAATAAAATACATAACGACTGCTCTTTTGTTTTTTTTTTTAATTTTATTTTCCCAGGATCACTGCTCAGTCGCACTAATTTTCTCATTCATATTATTATGTCACTTCTCGATATTTAAACTGCAATCAAAATTCAATGAGACATGTGAACAGTCATAAATACCCGGATACATATGCAATTCTTATATATTTTTACAATATTTTTTGTGAACATTGAGTGAACGTCTACATCTATGTACGTATTTGAATCAACACCAACATACTTCCATATGTATTGATATTGCAGAACATATAGGTTTAAATGGGCCAGTCTAGAAAATCAAATAAATGACTAGCCTATATTTATTATATCTGTATATGAATTATCTATATTTATTATTACTAACCCATTTGTGACTGGAGTGGGAAAATAACAACTATTTATTAAAAAACTATAATATTTGTATAGATGAACATATTTCTCAAGAGGGCTTGCAAACAAGTCAAAAGTGACATAGAAATAAGACTAGCTGCTCGCCAATACACACTCGACTAATACATGTACACCCGGCTTCGCACATGTGTACATATATTATATATATAAACCTTCCTCTTGAATTACCATGTATTTTAAAAAAAACCGCTTCAAAATCCATTGCGTAGTTTTAAAGATTTAAGCATATATAGGGACAGACAGCGACAGTGACTTTATTTTATACTATGTAATAATGAAGTCATCATAACAATACATTATTTTAAAAAATAATGATAGATAAAGGTGCCAGCACACTACTCATGTTTGATTTTTATTATCGAAGAAGAGCAAATTGCTTGGAAAGTCTATCGTCTCTCCATCCCCGCATTAAGCTCGCAGTAGTTCGGACTAATAACAGGGTGACACTCTCGTGAAAGATGTTCAATTAACTATTTTAATGCACTACTGAATCTGATTAAAACAGATAGATAAAGCAAAAAGGAACAAAACCGGCTCGCCCTGAAGAATAATGAGGATTTTTTGTGAAATTAAGTATTTTTTTAGTATCTGTGGCAAACTATTTATATCTGATTCGTTCATTTCATTCTATAATATCATACACAGAGTTTAATTATAAAAGAATATACAGCTTAACCGAGGTAGCGTTTGTAAAATAAATCGTCTGCGTGGCTCAGCTTTACTTATTTGTAAGCTGTGTTTCGGTTGTAGGGTGAGATTAAGGGGGTCTTCCTATGTGATGGGTTGAAAATATCGATTTTTTTTTTTTCATAAATTGCTCCCTTAACATGTCTAGAATACGGTAGTAAAGCGATTTTAGAAAATTCGAAGTCGTTTTAAAGATACAGCAGGTAAAAGAAAGAGCGGTTCGGAGCGGTGAGTTGGCAGTTAGAGACCGGGCCTATTGTGTACCGTCGGCTTTATACCTGGCCTCCCTTTTATTGAAGATATGAGAAAGAAAGTTTGGGCAACGTACTATCACAAATGTTCTTCTGATGAAAACCCTCAGCATCAATTTTGTCCAGAAGGCGAAGACAGTTGGTGTAAATGGCGTAAGGCTGAAGCTAATAATGAACTGGACCAATTTCATCACGATAAACCACCTCTAATTCCGCAAGTCCAAGAAGCTATCAAACCGGTTTTCGAAGATTTATCGAAAGACGAATTATTAATTCGTTGTTTAGGAGCAGAGACACAAAACAATAACGAATCTTTGAATTCTTTGATTTGGACTTTCGCTCCTAAACATCTTCATTCTGGTCCCAAAGTTGTTGAAATTGCTAGCTACTTAGCAGTTATTATCTTTAATGAAGGTTTTCAAGGTATTTTAAAAGTTATGTCGATTATGGGATGCCCTGTTGGTCGTGAAGCCCAAGCGTATGTTGAGAAACGGGATGAAAAGCGAATCTTACGCTCTGAGCGGCGCGTAAGTGATGTCGTTAAACAAGCCAGGATTGACTCAAGAGCTGAACAATCTGCTTTAAAAGAGTTTCACGAGGAAGAGGAAGGAATACTCTATGGACCAGGCATCGCCGATTGAGAGTAAGTTGATATTTTAATAGTTTTTAACGGACTTGAAACTTTAAACGCGTTTTTCTCAAAACTGTGTTTTTCAAACTTTCCTCCATTGTATCTCAGAAACGGCTAGACCGAATTACTTGAAATTTACAGGGCACACTCAATATATGTAAACGCATGGAATGAACTATTATCAATCGAAAATTTTCAAAACTTCGATTTTTTTATAGCAAAAAACAAAAAAAAAACGCCTAATTTGCAACTTTTATTTCAAATGTCTATCAAAAATCCAATTTTTTTTATATCCATTTGATTATAGGTCATTCCGTGCTTTTAAGCCTACAAATTAAAACGCCGTTTTTTTTTTTTTTTCAGATAAGCCGATCAGCCGGAATCGTGGAGGAAGTGGGAGCTCTTTTTTTCGAGGCGGGGGTGTTCAGAGCGCTGTAACTCTAGTTTGACTGAATATTTTTAGCTGAAATTTTATATTTATACTGTCCAAATATGTGTTAATAAATTATAAAAAACTTGAAGCTCTAAATATTTACTGGTCGTAGAAAAAAAATCCTAAAATATCCCTAAAAAACAGGCCGTCACATAGGAAGACCCCCTTAAGCAGTGAAATTACAATACAATACAGGTATAAAATGACTTAGTGCTCCGGCAACGCATGGTATCACGGATGTCAGCTTGCTTTACCATTCCAATTATATTAAAAAAAGCTTGATCCAATTATTATATTTATATTTATTAATATACTTACATAGAACTTGTACCTTAACCTACATAGAAGTGTAATAAAATTTTAATTTTGTAAATTTATTGTCGATTGAAAGTCTTAACAATTTTATTTTAGAATGGCCATTAATATACTTCTCACAAATTACCCTTTGTCGCAACTATCTATATTCTCATAATTATAACTATATAGGACATTTTAATAGGTAATATTTATGTTTAAATACTAAACTTGAAAAGTCATAACATACAATCTAAGACACCTCCTTTGTGTTGTGACTCCACTCGTCTATTCGCTATATTCGTCCGTAATATTCAGATGACATAGCTATTTTATAATGGTTGAAACTGAGTACGGAATTATATGTGGAATTAAAGAAAGGTTGTCGGAATAAATTTTGAATTTACTATAATACTGAATTTAAAACGATACTTTATTTGAAATCGATATGATAAGTCTAGAAGAAGATTGATTTGTCAGTCGTGATTTTTATAAAAAAATGTAAAAATAAATCACCTTCGCGTGGATGAATATTAAACTAATGACACTATGTTAAGCGTTTTTGAATAAATTATGTTTTTGAATTCTCATAGAACAGATGGTGGCACTAACATTTATATCCGGATATGTGAAATCAACAAATATGGTATGCTAACTAACTAGTTATTCTCGTCTCTATCTAAATTATAATTGAATATATGTATTTTATACAAATGGAAACAGGGATCAAAGTTACAGGCCAATCATGGAAAATTATAACCTTCATATAAAAATAAATCAGTCCCATAGACATCGGGTTATACTCAGAGAGCTATATGCTTCTAAGGACATATTGTAAGCCTTTTGTGTCATATATTATAAAGTCATTAATTTTTCTGGCATAAATTCTTTTCAGTCCAAATAACAACTAACAAGTCGTTACTGTAATACTAGAATAACTATGCATACTTTATTAATATATATCATCAATTCATTTTCTTTTTTGTTAAATACATATTACGAAAACCAGACGTCAACATTCCTTTGGTATGCATTGAATGCTAAATACCGCCATCGGTAAATGGAGGACGAGAATAAAGAGAAGGAAAAATAAGTACAGAAGGAGAAGGGTTAGGGGGGATACTGCAGTTAAGGGCTGGGACATTGACAGTATCCGCAGCAGGTCGGGAAGTTTGGGTTACATGCCCGTCAGAACTCAAGCTCAAATCGCTGGGAAAGGGAAGAAATACTTAAGTAAGTTCATAATGCAGTAGACAATGTATCAGACAGATGTAAGATATATCTCACTTATAAATTTAGGTAAAATAAGTTAATTTTACCTAAATTTTTTACCTCTTAGTATCCTAAATTATTTTAGTTTTTTAATACAAATGTAATAATATTCACAGGGACATACACAGTAGTGGGACTTCTTGTGCTAGATAGATAGATATATATATAAGTATTACCAATAACAACGTCAATTTGCCAAGCTCTGTTGTTATCTTTGTGTACCATAAATATTAATATAAATGTAATATATATAACATATAAGGTATGTTTACATATCCTCATATTTTCAAAATCACAGAAAAAACCGATACTGGTAATTACAATGGAAATGTATGAGAATGTAATAGCAGAACATTGTTACCAGTGTTTTTTATAATATACTGTACACAATAAATTATTAAAAGCAAGACTATAAATAATGTAGTAATCCCTTAATTTTGTTAGTTTAGTGAGGTAATACCAAAAGTTTTTAAATATGTTTGTTTTATGTATACATGTATACATTTTGTGTAATTTCGATAAAATATGTAATTATATATATGGATAACATTGTGGAAATAAACATTGATAGTTCTCTAAGTAATAAAATAAATTAAACATGGGGTGTAATTTGTTTTGAAGTTTTCAGCATGTTAAAATGTACAAAATTTTTAAGTCTGATACTACAACCTAATCATTGCTAAGGCTAGTTACACTAGACTACTTGTTCGGTTCGGTTTTTCGTTATGTAAGGGATAAAATAGTGTAAAAGTTAATCTTATTTAAATTTACCTATGCGAATAATTAAAATAGGCTGTATATAACTAAATTTATATTACTATATTTGAACTAGTTTTGTCAAATTAGCCTTGAATATTGTATAAAATTATTTTCCATACGTATTGATAGAGTCCATGCGCATGATTAATTCATTTAAGACTCTAATACAATATACATAAAATGTATTTCATATTTGACGTTTTAATAAATTTCAACAAAACCGATATTTAGAAACTCCTATAAAATAGCCGAACGAGTCGAATTTTAATCATTCAGCTTCCACAGCCTGAAAACAAATCACAATCATGTACAAACTGGTGAGTAACTTTACATCAACAATGTAATGATGATCATAATTAATTATAAAGAAGTAATATGAAATAAGATAAATTAAAAAAACATATTTTAAAGAAATTAATTTATATTTTTGTACTTAAATCTATAAAAATACATACAACGATCTACATCGCCTTTGACAATAATTGTAATTGTGATAATGCAAATGTAATATGTATATACATTTTTATTAATTAATCCACTTCAATACTACTGCCATACAGTAGTACCCGTAGTAATGTACAGGTATTATGGTGATACTTCCATATACATCCATATATTTTAATTACAACATCCAAAATAACTAATGTACAATATTGCAGTTTGTTGTTGCTGCCGTGCTGGGCCTTGCCGCAGCCAAGCCCAATGGCTTATTGGATAGAGTAGCATACTCTGCCCCCATCGCTTACTCGGCACCCTCAGTGGCATACTCTGCACCCGCCATCAGCTACTCTGCACCCGCCCTCGGCTACTCTGCGCCCGCCCTCGGTTACTCAACATCCGCCATCAGTTACTCTGCACCCGCTGTCGCTGCGCCAGTAGCCTACTCTGCCCCTGCTGTCGCTGCGCCAGTAGCCTACTCTGCCCCTGCTGTCGCTGCGCCAGTAGCCTATTCTGCTCCCGCTGTCGCTGCTCCCGCCGTCGCTGCACCAGTAGCTTACTCCGCACCTGCCGCTGTCGCCGCCCCTGTATCGTACTCTACCCCAGCCGTAGCCGTTTCCCCTGCTGTTTCTTACGCAAGGTCTGTTGTTGCTGCCCCAGCTGTCGCACCTATCAGTTACAGCGCTGGTTATGCCGGATATGGATATGGTGCCCCCATTGCCTACAGCGGCCTGTCTGGCTACGGTCTCGGTTATGGATATGGCAGCTATGGCTACTGGAAGAAACGTTAAGATCTAAGCAACTATCTGTACATGTTCACAACACAAATAAATGTTTTCTAGCTGTTATTTTGTTGTATTTTTTTCTTATGGAAATATTTCTTTTTGTTATAATATATCACACATTATCAATAAATGCATAGTACTAATTCTAGTACTATGCATTTATTGATTTATTGATATGAATATATAAGATTACTAGTTTTTTGCAACATTTCAATATCATTGTGTTTTTTTTTTTTAATCTATTAAATATTGAGGGTTTATTCCGGAGAATATGCCACCCCCATCGGTGCAGTTTGTTATAAAACACATCAAACTACGTAGCTTTATGGATATACCTACATATAAATATTAGAGGTAGGCTGATTCATTTCTTCTGACCGATTCAAATAGTTCTTTCTCCTCTGGAAATACTGCCGATAACTGTCCCAGCGGACTCAAATTTAATTATTGTTTTATTTCATTAGTGAGTTTTCGATTATTTTTGATATGTAATTCCAAGATTTCCTTATGACAATAATATATGCAACAAAGTTTGTGCAACCACGAACTGGCAAAGTAATAATACCAATGTATTTCTAACTAACAACAGAAGTATTGTATTCCTATTGTTTCTTTTAGGTATTAATACAATTATTATAATATCAGTTTTATCCGTTATGAGAAAGATAAAATTACCCACTAAAAATTATAAAAGTAATAATTATTGTCCATAATATTAGAAATGACTGTATGAGATGTGTATTTCATTAAATAACAATGCAATATCAGTCACCGATTGTCAGTACTATTACTTCTTCATCTTTTCTTTCAACAGACATCAGCATAACATGATAAATTTATGTCCGTGATGTCGTTCTATGTAGGACGGTGACCATTAAGTGGACAGTCAGCTTGTTTACCATCTCAGTAACATAAGAACACATAGTAGCAACTTAAGGTGGGATTTATCCTGTTATTATAATGTGTATGTAATATCGGCTTTGAATGTATAAAAATAAAAAAATATTCTTCTAGCCAATGAAATGTAGATGCTAATATCATAAACACGCCTCAGTCGGCTTTTTATTCGTTACATTTTCACGATTTTAGGTGAAGATTGTTCAGATCACGACGGCGGGCATAGGTTATCCTTTATCTGTAAAAAGCTTTCTAACCATGAAATAATTCTATTAATAAAAAAAATTATATATGGAATTTGTTTACCTTAATTTGGTCACACGGCACTTAACAATAGCCAAACGTTTCCGATCACGTGAACAAGCCTTACGAGCCTAACAACTCATTAACGTTTAATAACCAAAATAAGACTAATTTGTTCTCAGACTACCGTAATATTTTACATGAAATCTTACTAAAATTAACCGACTATTTAATTCAAGGAAATCAGTGGCAATTTGTAATTAACTCCTAAATCAAGATAATTAAGAAATATTTGTTGATGACACATTAGCCGTGTTATCAACAATATTATTTGTTTTCGTAGATCATTTTTATTATATTCATTTCCTTTTCTTTATGTGTTTGTTAATTATAAAATTAGATGATACACTATCTAATTAAATCATGACCAGTATAAATAATTGAGTATCATTATATGTACTGTCTACTGTCATCTCCATCCTGTTAAAATTCAAAGCGTATATACTGTACATATTTTATGGAGAGCAGAATAGGCCATGGACATTCATTATTTTGTGGTTATTTAAATATATTTTAAGGTTATACAATAACATTTTGGTAAACAAATATAAAGCATATAAAGGTTATATAAGCACTAACACTCTCAAGGACACTTGCAAAGTATATTATTATAGAAGTATGTCAATAAGAATAAAAGAAAATATTTTATCACTGCTGTATCCGATTGTACCTACGTAGAGGTTTATAACTGATCACATTTTGATAAAATTCTTTTACAGTCTTATTTTTCAAAGGAATGTTAACGAAGTCAGCAGCCTGACGAAAACTAGCAATCGTCGCTATATATATATATATATATATATATATATATATATATATATATATATATATATATATATACATGACTACGTTATAACTACGGATACCTATCACGTAGTCATGGGATGCTATTCCTTGCTGTTGTTGCCTATTAAGATGTCATGCCTAAGGTACGTATCCTTGACACCCTTTGTTCTGAAGGGTTAAATAGTAATGGAAATAAAAATTTACTGCTATATTGTGAATTTCTTTAAAAGTATTTTAAGTTTTAGCCAAAATTCTGCTTTCAAAACGAACCATCTTCTGTAATCCGCCTAATTTTATGGAGTGTTCTGCTAATTTATTTATCTTACTTTGCTAACTATGACCAGTAAATTCTTTAATTTTGTATCACAAGAAAGTGACGTGACTGCAAGGTTAATGGGAATAACTTAAGCGGTTTTGGACACACTTGCCAGTGCTGTGATTATACATTCTTTTGTTTTCTTCACAACTATTTAACAAGACCTTGACAATACTATTCAGAGATTCTATTCATTTCATAGATACTCATTTGTTACTGTTTCCATTTAAAGTGTGGCAAATATATAAGGTAGAAGATACATGTATATGTCAGTGCATTACCAATAGTCAAACAGAGGAACTTGTGAACGAAAACATTTCATTTATTAACAATAATGTTGAAAATAATCGCGGTAAGTAATATTTGAAATATAACTTTTCTAAGTGCCATTCTAAAATTGCAATGTTTCTCTTAATATATTTTTTCCCAAACTTGGTATAATTTATAACAATAGAGTAAGAGTGAACTGTACTACAGTATAATTTAGATGTAGATTTATACCAGGAGAGGAGAAATATTAGTATATTTGATGACTGTATTTTGAATCAAATATTTAAATAATTACAGAACAATAGACAATAAGTATATGTCTGGAAATAATTACTACTGTATTGTATAGTGTTTACAACTGAATTTGATTTAACGAAAATATTTACATCACCAATGTGATCAACCGAAGGTCAATTTGTTGAAACTAACTACTGTATATTTCGCGCCGAATCCATCATATCTAGACATAAAACATCAACTATCTTGTGTACTAAATAAAGCACCAATACCTGAGCTTATTACTATTGTTATTGACTACGGTACTCTCATAACTTTCTATAAATATTTTTCTCGAATTTAAATCTTGAAATACTCTTCTTAAAATTTTTTTTAGCTTTAAGAATTACATATCTAATACTAATATAATCGTAAAAATCAGTTCTGAATAGATGTACGTATCACACAAAATATTTTATGATGTTTAGACATATTCAATAAAAACGTGTTCTAAATCTACGTAAGAATATGTAATTATTTAATTTTAAAGACAACAATACTAAACTAATTATATCATTTACATAACTTAATTATACAACTACAACCTAAAATTAAAAAGCTTAAAAAATATAATACAATAACTAAAATATATTATTAAAAGGGGTCCCTTTAGGCAAAGTTCAAAATATAATTGACATAAAGAAGTATAAATGTATAGTATAAAGATTTATGATTTGATAATGATGGTTTGGTGTTTCTAATATATATGAGCTACGTAAATATAACACTCTGAGTGACAATAATGTTAAGAAATGATTGCTTGCGAAATTGTCATAACAGAATTAGTATAAAGATTAAGAATTTATTTATAGTGTCTACAGATGCGATATTATTTTAATCGTCGAACACCTTATGTGGTAATACTAAATTCGTTTTTTTTGCATTTCAGATAACTGTACTGGTAGTACTGGCATCAGTAGCAGCTGATCCACTGCTTTTTAGTGCGCCGTATGTCTCTCCTTACTTGTCTGCTCCTCTGACGTCAGCTGCATACGTAACCGGCCCCTCAGCAGCGGTCATTGCTGCCCCCGCGGCCGTATCCGCTGCAGTTCCCGCTGCTATACCGGCCGCAGTCCCGGCAGCTTATCCATACTCTACAGTATCAGCATACTCGTACGGCTCCTCCTACAGCGTACAGGACTACGCTCCAACTCTAGTCAATTCTGCCGCGCCTTTGGCGTATAGCCTTCCCTATGCTTACGCCGCAGACTATTTCTACCGCCGATAATTCTATTACAATTTATAATGTGTTCATATAAAATTCTTTAATAATTCGTATTTTATTTTAATTGTAATATTTATTATACGAATACATAAATATATTTTTCAAATTTTCTTGTTATTTTACATTCCAATTTTTACAAAACTATCGATAGACTAAGTTTTTAGTTACTATAGATCTAACTAATGGAGTGACAACATCAAATATGTTTATAAGACACAAGCTAGTATTATTTTCGTTTCGTAATATTTTTATTACACGATATTAATATGTGAATACTAACCCAAAAGCATTTATTCATGTAGGATACTGTTGCCATTTAATCAAGCCGATTTTTGATCGTGTGGCGACATACTGAGATCAATATTCAAAAGCCCAAATTAAATACTAGAAATAATCATGACGTTTTTAATCACTATAAATTGTAAAATGTCAAAATTGTATAACACAGCCAATTATGCATTTAAATTGGTAAATCTATATAGAGCATAGCTGTTTCTAAACCAAGTTCATTCGTTTATAAACAAAACGTTAACTTAGAATATACTTATTTGGGTCCAGTTACGGCTTCAGCGAGCACATCTTATGTATAAAATTCTCTTGTCACAATGTTAGTTACTCCCCTGAAATGGCTTGACCGATTTTTATGAAATTTTATTTGAATATTCAGTAGGTCTGGCTACAATCTATTTTTATACCCCTAAGTGTTATAAAAAATAGTAATAAAACAATTTTTATTTTTTTTATAATTTGGCGTTAAAAAACATACAACACTAAATTTTCACCCTTCTAGCAGCAACCTTTATTTTTTAATTGCGATTTTAATTTATAGTGCAAAACAACGTTTGCTGGTTCAGCTAGTAGGTAATATCTAAACACATACGAGTTTCATATATATATAATCTGTACGTATTGCATAATAGAAATACAAATATTGCTATCATGCTCTTATTACATATGAAGTACATTAATAGTAAATGTGTTTAATAATACGTTACAATGAAAAAATACCTAAGTATACATATTATCATTACCAATTTTTAGAGACAAACTCACATTGAACACATTTATACGCTACCAAAGTCATCGAAGTCACCGACACAGCTCTTAGAATTTTCCATAATAATGTCCCAGACACTCAATAGAAATAGAACTATCGTTGATATTTTTAAGATAGAATCCGGTTTGCTGAATAGTAAGTAGTTTGAGGCAAAGGCAGGATTGATTAGGCAATGAATAAGTAACATTTGGATATCAATATATAGTTATAATACTGTAAGTATGTATAATATTTAGAGTCATCCCAGAGTACTTGCTCTATGTATTTATGGTTTGGTCTACTAGTTATTTTCTTCCACACGCTAGAAATAAACGGATGTTCCTATTGAATATTATATAATTATTCTGTCACCAAACAGAATTCATACCAGTCAATCAATTTGCACGCATCAGTACCTAAACAGTGGTGGTCTTTAGGTATATGTAGTTATTTACGAAATCTTTGCCATTTCGAATAAAATAGATTTATTGACCTAAATTTAAAGTAAGTAAGTAAGTATTGTGTAATAACTTTTATTTCCTTTGTGGATTAACATTGTCTACCAGTTTACCGCAAAACTAGCAGACACTATAAATAAAGAAGAAAGTAGCCTGCGTTCTTGTTAATCCTATAAACCATGTGAAATTTGCAGAATAGTGATAAGTAAAGTAGCAAACATATTATCTTTCACTTTTAGTAAAATGAGTTAACAAGGATTATGTAGACTGGGTACAAGTCAAAATTAAGTTAATGATTAATAAAAGATGGTGTCGCGACCTTCAATATGATATAATGTCCTATTGATATGTCGGTAGGTACTGATGATTACTGACGCATAATCATTGCTGATGACTGATATTGTGCCCTTGATATATATATTGACATAATTAAGCACCTATCCAAACAGGCTTGTACACTCTCGTATCACTTCCGCGTGGTACTAAAATCAAATTATGTAGCGATATTTGAATCAAACAAAAACATATGCAGTAAAAACTATATTATAAATCATTTGGCAAATCGGTGTCAAGTGTGTAGCGTTTTTCAGTTTTATGTTTTGTTCTTAACGGACGTAGTAGCCGGAGTATGCATAGGGGACTGCGGCATAAGGAGCAGAGTACGCAACCGGGGAGTATCCAGAGTAACCAACTGGAAGCACACCAGGGACGGCGGAGTAAGTCAACGCCTGGGGCTCGGGTTTGGGGCTGGCGAAAGCAACAGCCACCAGAGCGAAGAGAGCGAACTGAAACAATAATATATAGTTTATAACCTAATAATACTCCCATGAGGAACACTCTGTACAAAGTCGTTTGCGTGAGTACCTTTATATCGCCTATTTCTACGCCAAGCAATTAGCTTTTTAATATGCATTTTTAATTGTAATGCTATTTACCACTTAGGTACTATCAAGTGGGCTATATGGGTGTTTGCCATTGGATTTACATTAAAAAATATTAAAATGGATTAAGTTGACAAAATATTCAATACAATGTCACTACATTTTACAGACATATATGTACGTTATTAATACCGGCACAGATAACATAATATTACATAGTACCGGTAAATGGCATGAAAACTTGAGAGTCACATGCTTTGCTCACAATGCGCACGTGCATAATGCACGTGGCATTGATAAAGCTTAGAACTTGTTTTGTAAAAGGAGAGTTAAATATCGATTTGAAATTATTGAAGCAATCTCGCAGCGACGACTATAAGACATATCTTCGATTATTTTATTCTTCGATGATTTAGATATTCTTTTTCGTATCGTTCGACTTACTCCTATATTCGTGATATGTTAATGTCATGAATAAAGTCAGTTATAATATGAAATAAAATTTATTATTTATCGCAATTATTGTAAGTTTGTGTCGATGTTTATATTCGACATTATAATTATTTTAACATATCTATCATCCACTCTTTAAAAGTCGCTGCCAGATTACGTCACAAAGAACTTTTTTTGAGCAATTTTTCGCATTCGATTTATTTAGGTTTTTATATAGTAAATATCTTTAAAATTGAAGAATAGAGTTATTATAAGAGCATTGTTTATTTAGCTAAGGGCAATGAATGGAATTTTTATGTCGTAATAGAAATCTCTTAATTTATTCTAAAGTAAAATAAAGTCAAAACAAACCGGAGTCAATGACCGGATGTCAATTGGAGCACCTTTTTGTCTAATTCTTTCTTTTATATTTATGGCCTTTTTATTATTGCTACGTAAATCGAAAATTGGTTTTGTAAACAATAAGTTTCTTGTATATGTTATTATGACTATTTTAAATTTAACTCTATTTTTTTAATATTGTTCTTGAACAAAAATTATAAAATAATTTCTGTTTTTATAGGTATTTTATAGAAATGTAAAGATCTGATTCTGTTAGTCAATTAACACCGCTAGAATATTTAATATATACATATTTATATGTAATAACTTACATTTACATTTTGAATTGGTTGCCAAAGTATGCACCTGCCCACAACATTATACATTACTATTCTCTTATCTGTGGTAGGTACCCATTGTTTTGAATGAGCCACTCAGCTGAAATACTATTATGTCGAATACAAAGAGTTGTCTGAAAATTTTTCATGGTAGAGTATAACAGGCGGGTGTACTTATATAACATCATAAAAATAATTTTCGCACACGACCAAATAAAAGGGTCGTAGTAGCATCACGGCTAAATGTCAACAGCAATCATCATTCAAGTGTGAACATGGCCTTACGACTGACTTCGCCTGTCCTTGTTACTGAGATCAAAAGGTTTATTACTAGCTAGACATTATGCTTTTTCAAGGGCTTTGTTTACTCAAAGGTTTATTAGGTTAACGCGAAATAAAAGACGGATCAATGATTATGTGAAGCCTTAAAAATAAAAAGCGCGTAGCTTTAAAACAATAAGTTAAATGTTATAACACTAATACAGATATGAGAAATAAATATAAACTGAGTTGTTGATAAGAAAAAATCCAGTATATTTATATTATTTTACCGGTACTGACACTCGTTTGAAAATAATACAGCCTTGGTAATTTAACACACCCCCTTACTTGCGATATTCCCTTACATGCCCCTTATTCGATTATTGCGGGTTCGCATGGTACAAACATTTATATTTATGAATATATGATCGTTTAAAAATGTATTGTAATGTATTGCGTTAAAAAATGTTTTTATGTAGTTCTAGAACTATCTAGTAATCATAACACAAACTATGCTTAACTTGAGACATGATGGCGCTGTGTAAATTATCCTTTTTGTGATATTTTCAAATACTCCCATTAAGTATGACATTATTATGTTATACATGTCAGAACAACACATCAAAATAACGATCACGCGCCATCGTTGCGTTGGTTTAGCAGAATAATGGGTAAACGGGTAATATAGTCTCAAGTCGTAGTGTCAGCCACATAATATAGAACTGAATTTTTGACATCGTCATGACTGTATGATAGAGGTTATATTTACAAATGGCGTTTTGACATCACTAAGATACGAATTTGCTACGTTTGAATATATAAATCTGAGCAGTAAACGGCAACCACCAAACGATGTTGAACACCCTTTAAACAAAAGCAGAATTCTTTATTTCTGTCGATCAATTTTATGACTGCATTGAAATGAAACATCATTATATGTAAAAGAAAATAGCAGAAATATATATTTTGCTGTTTTAAAAAAAAATCGATCGTAAAATCTAGTTAAACTAGATTCACTTTAGTGTATACCGTAACACCTATCTAGACATTATGTCCTTTAAATTTGTATTACACTCCTTTGCCTAAGTAGATTTCTTAAAACAATTTCTAAAGTGTCGTATTTTTTAATATAGAGAAAAACTTTACATTAACATACATGTACTTATTTTTAGTACTGATAATTGACTTTTCAAACTAATTTAATATAGCTGTGGGCCGTATCTAATTTTTATAGCTTTACCGGATGAAAAATGGGGGTGCCTACCTAGCTAGCTCTAATCTGGACCATTTGATCCAAATTACAGGTACTTACATCCAAAAAGAGAAATTGAATCTACTTTTATAATGAAAAAGTACCTACTTATTAAAAATAACTTATCAAAACAATCTTAACTTACCAGTCTGAAGAACATGGTTGAAGTTTTACTTTGAGCAACTGGCACAAGTAATAAATTTCGTTACTCGGCCATGTCTTATATATGAAATAAGCCCGACCACGCCCGAACGACTTTGTCTCGTAATGTAACAAAAAGCGTCCTTGATCTTCAAAATAATAATTGTATTCAATGTACGTACATACTCACATATCAGGTACCTAATCAACATCCGTATTAGGCGTCACCCATCACGATAGGTCCCTCGGTACAAGAGTGCAACTGATATTAAGACCCTATTAAAAGTAGCCGGTGAGCAAGTGGGTAACATTAAATTAAGTATTCATAATAGTGATATCATCTAAAACGTTTTAGGGTTCCTTAACACCTCGTTATGTCTCCATTATTACCTTCGTAACAAAGTAAGTTTGTTACTTGGAGACTGTAGTGAACTGCTGAATAGAGCGACTGCGTTTATATATCCATATAAAATTGGAGTGTGTGTTTGTAATATAGAAATAAACGTTTTTTACTACATGCATTTGAATGTACATACGGTACATACATCAAAATAACATTTTTTACAATTTGTCTGTCTGTCTGTCTGTTTGTTCCGGCTAATTTCTAAAATGGCTGGACCGATTAGACAGGACTTTTTTTTGGCAGATTGTAAGGAGTAACTTAAGCTACTTTTTAGAAATATTATATTATTTTAGAAAATGTTAAATTCTAAAATGAAAGATTGTTTCTAAAAATCAGGTAGTTTAAAATAAAACTGATCACTGTTTGTACATATATTATCTATTAATCAAAAAAGTTATTGTTAGGGAACATTAACATCGTAACAGTACCCAAAACTAAGATTATGTATGAATAATATATATTTGATTATATAAGTATATATTCTTGTCTGTGTGTCTGTGCGTTTGTGCGCCTTAATATCAAAAACGGTTAAACTATTTATTTGCATAAATAACGTACTAATACGTAAGTAAGAACTAGGCACTACTACTACTATCAATTGCTTAGTAGAGGTATATTAACGTATATTAATATTAGTAGTTATATTATTATCTATCTTAGTCATAAAACCAGCATATTTTTAAGAATGACTATCCATCTCTTGTACTGTTATATTTTTTCTCTATGTCGATTACCCTTAAATGGTAAAAAACAGCCAAATTACATAGGTTTTTTTATTTATCTTTTATTTTTGTACGTATGAAATACCTTAGTTGAGTACTTTATAACGATAACAGTATTATGTATTCAAAATATAATACTGTAAAAAATATACGACTATATAATTTAGGTCCACTTATTTATTTGGGTAAAAAAAAATATTCTATATGGTATAAAAAAATATTCTAGGCCTTAGCAGCGACTTAGTTTTGAGATAAAGAATAGTCTATGTTTACTCTATCTATCTTTATATTATTTTTCATTAAAATTCAATCAGGTAACAAATAGACAGACAAATATTCCTTCATATTTATAATTCAATTGCTATACTGAACTTCGTATACACCAGGAATTGTACAGAGTACCTATAGTACAAAGCCACCACACATATTTTTAATAACGTTTGGTACGCCATTTAAAAAAAACATGTCAGCTAAATTGATAGTTACCTGACTTTTTTGGGACGTTTTTTCATTCTTGTTTCTATCTAAACAATTAATAAATAAATGGCTTCGACGTTCAGTTGGAAACCACTGATTATGTCCAGATCGAATTAAGATAACCAGTGGGTACATTTACAAAATTCTTTTTTGTAAATGCGTGGACACATCTATAAAAAAAAAGAAAGTTTTTAAAAACTTAAAGCCTTCTCTTTGAACATAACATTTTTGAAACTACATACAAAATGGAGGACGTTTCTCGTTATTCTTTCTAGAAATCTCCCAATCAAAAAAACAATACAAACTAATAAAACTAACTAAACTGTAGTATAGTATTCATGATTACACATTGTATTGATCGAATCCGTGACTATCGGAATAAGGCAATGTGCTAAACCCAAGCCCTCAAATTGTTTTCATTTTTATACTGTATAGACCACGATTACAAATGAAACACGTTATGTTATAAGATGTATATTGAATAACTTTAAAATAACGTTACAATCGTTATCAATTATTTAGACATTGACAAATTATTTCAAAACATAAAATAAGGATATCTACATATAAAGTTGTTACGGATTACTTCGAGATGCTTTGAGATCAGTTGTGTACTTATTATTAATAATATCCATATCCGTAATTGTATGGTGATGAGTAACTTCCATATCCCGTATAACCCACAGGACTTGAGTAGCCAGAGTAGCCATAATATCCGGGATAGCTAGCTCCATATCCATTATATCCATAATTAGGGTAGTACTGCGGTCTTGCCACAGCAATTGCTACAAAAATTGCAAATAATAATACCTGAAACAAAGTAAATGCATTAAAATTTCTAAATTTATTGTACTCAAATTTAGATGTTAGTATAGAAAGCTACGAATATAAAATGTGATTGTGAATTTAGTCTGCAATTTCGTCTCTATTTTTTTTTTAGATATAAGATCCTTTTTAAAGACATACATAGATCCATACAATATTTTAGTGAAAAGGAAACAAACAGACAGATATATTTTTACATTTATAATATTCATTAAAAGTATGAATCAGTTACATTACCTTAAATATTATCCAAATATTTAAATAAGTTTATTTAAAATTTTTACTATATACAAACAACTCGAAAACTGCCTGACAAGTTAGTCAGAAAAAAATAATAATAGAGGTACAGAGTGGACAATAAATAATATTAAGTATAATGTTACATATATATTTTCAGTTTGAAAAGTATACAAATGGTTTTCAACTAAAAAAACCTTTTAGATTTTTAAACTCCTAGAGCTGAACCCAACAGAGCTGGTTGAAAAATAGTCTATATGTAGAACAAAACATGTGTATTATTAGATTTTATGTATACTATACACACATAAAACCTACATGATCAAAAGATATTTAATAAAGTTATGTAATAGGTCTATTATTTTATTACATTGGATATATTATTTTATCTTTATCACTGTTGTTTATAATATCAAAATATTTATTTCTATTCCTATTCGTACCAACGATATGGAACAAGGTGACATCCAGTACTCTTAATTTAAAATTCTTTTCTGACATTTTTTTTTAACTTATTCTTTGTAATAAATATATTAATAAGCACTTACAGGTATAAAAAATGTATTTGTCTACTCACCAGTTTTCCAAACATTTTGATTAAAATAAATTCGGTACACAATTGTTTTAACAAAATCCTAAATTTTACGGTTACACGATGTTTAGTTTTGCAATCAAACTGATTAATTTTTATTATTTCCTCTACATTTATAGTGGTGTCTGTCCTTGGATTCTTCAGAACAATAACGGAATACATAATAATGTCAGTTGGGAATCAATGTAAATTATAATCATACGCGAACGTACTGGATACGCGTCCAACATAGGCAATTAGGTTGCCTTTGTTTATACTTAAAATGTTTGTAGGTACGAATTAGGCAAAGACTTACATAGCGTCTGCTTTTGTATAATTTTACGGGTTTTTATCATTCTACAGAACAATACTTAAGGAAACATTAAGTTAGGTGACGCTAGAACCCAGAAACAAGTATCTACATTTATACTATAATTTATTCCATGGCTTTGTAAAAAAAACTATATCTTAATGTTTCTATTGACTTTTATCTAGCATATTAGGCATGTGTGTTATTATTTGCGACATTTCTGTTTCAATATATACTAGAACGTATATCCTATATAAGCTGCATAAGCGCGTACCTAATATATTTGGATGGGCAGGAACAGAAGCCATACGTTAGCGAAGGCGCTCCTTCAACCTATACCCGGGTTGTCACCCGGCCTCGAGCTGTTCTCGGAATGCTTCTCGGAGTTCTTCTCCTTGCCACATGGACCGGACCCGGTAGCCGCATGGTGAAACCATGGAAAGCTAAGAAGTTCGTCTCATATATACCGATAACGCTGACTCTATTCCAATCGCTATTTAGCTATGATGGTGAATATATGGTATAAACTATTATAAAAACCATTTAGATTATTTGTTCCCATACTCAATATAAGCTTGGCTCTAGACCTATCTTATTGAATTTAAATGAATCAGAAACAATTAATTGGAAATAATTGCAATTCGCAACAAGTATTAACTACTAAGTATTATTAATATTATGCTTATTGGACTATAAAAATGTATCAAATGCCAATTTAGATATTTAATTTGTCTATCGATTTAAAAATAAAACAACTGGCCATTTTTTGGCCTTTTATAACAGTTATTTAATTGCACCGACATTCAAAGTAACAAGGCATTTAAGTTACATACTTCTACTTGCATATTGCTTCGTAATTAAATATATTAAGGGATTTTTGAACGACTTTAATGAACCTTAGCAACCCTCTGTATATATGTATATATGAGATAATTAAAAAGCCTTAGATATTCTGTCTACTGAGCATTTCCTCAAAATATTTCATCTTAAGTTAATATCAAACAATACAAAGTAATTAGATGCCATATATGGTAAGTCAGGATGTATTAAAAGTATGTACTGAGATCAACAACCTTAATTTGCCCTTGTCCAATAATATTGTCATCCCAAAAGAACAGAACATGATTTCTATAGATCAAGGTTAGTGTTCTGTTATATAAGGATTAGGTCTCTAAATATTAGCATGATTCACTGAGACTCAGTACACTGCAAACAACATGTTCGCCAAAATCGTAAGTACATTTAAATTAAGAATTAATTGCTCCAATTTAAAATTAGAACAGATTAATCACTAAAGATAAAATATAACAACAATGATACAGTAGTTATCCAACGCCCACATAAAATGTAGATTTTAATTCTGTTACACAAAGGCAAACACTTTCCCCGCTATCAGAATTCCAGCTGGAATAGAGGAAATACTAGACGATATGGCGCCAACTTGGTTACTAGTTACTAAAAATTGCAAATTATCCAAATTTAGGTGTCACAGTGTATTATATGATGTCTAAGAACATTGTATGATTATAGGCTGTCATAATGTCCATCAGAAAGGCGAGCAATTTTTTTGGTATTCCAAGGAGACAAAATATGTACTTATAGGTTAAAACTACCACTACAACGATAGACTGAACAAAAATCATCTAAGTGACTATTTTATTGCCATCAAGCAGGCAATGTTTCTCAGGAATGAGAATGCAGGCGTGGTATCGCGCTTCACATGGTAACGAAATGTTCGTAGTATTATTCATGTATTTGTGTTGTTGTTATGTATTGTTACTACTTTAAAAGAAAGTAATATTAAGTATCTGTACATTTAATTTAATAACACTTTATTAATTTTCAGTTCGCCCTTTTCGCCCTGTTCGCCGTGGCTCTGGCTATCCCTAAGCCGGCGCCCGTGCCTTCACCGCAAGCTGTCATCTACTCAGGTGGACTTGACTACTTGTACGGAGGCGGTAACCCAGCGGTAGTATCTCCTTACAGTGCTCCCCTCGCTTACTCCGGCCTGCCCGCTGGAGCTGTCTACTTACGCTGAAAACCTGAAAATTCATCAACCGATCTTCTTAATTTACAACCAGTATTTTGTTCACAAATGAAATCGAAATTCAACTTTAATAAATAGTTATTTTTCAAATAATCCTTTTTATTACTCTGTCTAAACTAATATTATTAAGCGGAAATATTGTTTTTTGTTGGTATTGGATAAATAAAAATAAATTAAATATTTTAAAAAACCTTTCACAAGTAAGGTCTTTTTTATGCATAAGTATTATATGGTAATGATGCATTCGCCCATGCTAACGATGTGAGCTGACATTAGTGGAGGATGAAACGATGACCATAATCCTAGATCGGTTAGCCATTTATGACAAATTGATAAGAAATTAACCAGTGTTTTCCAGGAGAAGCTGGGTAGAAGACGACGTGATACGGTAAATTGCTTACAATCGTATCGTAAGTGTGGGCGAGTGCATCATTTTGTTATCTATAATTAATAAATATACAACAAAAAACAATGGTTGTTAAAAAATATAAAATATTTGTCTGTTTTGTCTATGTATTTATGCGCGTTATATAATATATTGTGGTAATTCAGGGTTTAAATTTTTCCATTCGGTTTACAAAGTATTACAATTATTACAAAGTAGTATAATCTTACTAATATTATAAATGGGGAAGATTGAGACTTTGGATGAATAGGTGTATGTTTGTCACATTTACACACAAAAACGACTATATGGATTTTAATGAAATTTTACAATAATATAGCTTATACATTAAAATCACATAGGCTATAAATGTCACGCGAATGAGCAGAAAACAGCTAGTTAAGTATTAACTATTGTACTTTAGATTACTACAGCGCACAGGTCGTGTACTCATACGGTAAATAATATCATAAAAACATACATACCTACTGTCCTTTTAGGTATAGATAAATATCTTGGCTCTATTCTGCTTTATCGACAATTTTGATAAAACAAAAACCTGTATTCAGTACTTGTGATTGCGTAGCTATAAAGTTGTTACAATGAATAACAAAAACATAAAACAATACCTAAAGATTTTTATCTCTTGCATATGTAGATGAATAAAACATCTTAACATGCGCCACTGTGCCAGACTATTATTTAAATTTACACAGGTAATTCTGTTAATAACATTACAACTAAAATACATCCATCTTGAAAAACTTCCATAGATCCATATTAGGGCAGAAATTAGTATACCTTACAATCTACCCTAGATTGTAAGGTATACTATTTTCTGCCCCACCTTTTCCCTGCGTACGCCCAAGATTGATCACTTTGCGAGATAGGTCTCTCTTTCTTATAACGATATAAAAAAAGTACTATGCCACCTTCGGCTATACTCCTGCTACATTTTATAGATCATCACTCCAAATCACATGTACGAGTATATCTATCTTCTATCTTCTCCCTGGCTGGCTCATATGTATGATAAGTATCTTTGGCAATTTACATAATAATCATCGAGGTTACTTGTGTCCCGAGACCTGGTGGCTGCTTTGCCCAGAGGCTAAGTATGGCAATTCAAAGAGGCAACGCTGTCAGTATCTTGGGTAAGCTATCTCGATGTGCCGCGTTGGATTACAATTGTTTTTTTGTGATTGTTTTTTATATGTGTAATTACTCATTTACATAATAATACTTAATCTTAAATGTTAATTAGCGACCTCACATGAATGATATGAACTTCACGTACCAGATGTAGACTGTACGAAGTCTCCTTCTTAGGTATCACAGTCTCACCTGTTACGCAGATTACGCAACGAAATTACAGGATAACAAGCATGACATCTTAGTCCTCTGGGATGGCAACGCATAGTGGTGTCACGGGTGTCACATGATAGCACGATGTCCAGTAGTAGATAAGGCGTCAGCTGATTTGCCATTCCCATTAAATAAAAATGTTTATTAGTTAACTCTTTTGTTTATAAATAAAGATAGATGAATATATAGATTTTGTACAAAATCGTCTGCGTAATTACCTATATTTTATATTCAACTATCTACAAAGAAGCTTCGTAGTAAGCTGTGTTTCGATTGGAGGGTGCACTAGGGTAGTGAAATTACAGGGTTTGTGTAAGATCTTTCTCCTCCTGAATATCAACGCATACAGAGTATACTACGGCCGTTACATGATGTAATGATAGCCTTGATGCTGTTTATGTATATAGACGTCGGGACCCACTTCCAACAGATGGACCTACCATTTTCCTTAGTTTTTTAATAACATTTTTGTAAAAGCCGATTATTGAGCTCTCTAACTAAGGCTAAAGACAATTATAGCCGTTTTCGTCCATTATCAATAATTAATATGAATTAATCCGTCCTTAAATATCCTGTGTTCTATATATTCTATAATATTTATCAAAATTGGTAGATAATAAAAACATCTTCCTTCATTTGCGGATTTAACTTTTTTATTTATTTGTGTATTTTAATTATTTACAATAATATCGATGTTGTTTTGAATATGTCATTATTAATATCGTAGTAGAGCAATTGAGAAAGGAATATTTAAAATAATTTTATCGCAGGTACACTGCTCCGGCTGGTAAAGCTGAATAAGCGAGTGGTGCATTGTAGGGAGATACAACAGAGGGGATAGCACCGCCGGGGTACACGTAATCGAGGCCAGCTGAGTAGGTGAGCAATTGCGGGGCCGGCGCAGGCGCAGGCTTAGGGGCAGCCAAAGCCATGGCTACTAAGGCGAAAAGAGAGAACTGTAATAAGAAAAGGAGACAATAATTATTATTAAAATTTATTTTACTGATAAAGAGAAAAATGAATGAATAAAAACAGTATATTTCAGTTTCAATCTTCCTAGAAATGTTTTCATACCTTAATAGTATTAGCAGTAGTTATACTATAAGTTCACCTTTTATTTTTTTGTTGCTTCAAACAGAACGAACGTTCGTTTCAATACACGTTGATCAACTTTGTATGTCCATAGCTATTTTAAAGTAATACTTTAAAATACCGATTTATGTTTAAATAATAATTCTAAGAACATTACATTCAATCTTATTGGAAATTGAACAGATTAGAAGTACATATTTTTATAAATAGAATCTGTAATTTCGAAGTTAATTTTCTTGAACCCATTCCAGGATTATTGTTAAGTTAAATGAGTTCCTTTGTACTATCAAATCACCATCAAAATATCAAATAAATCTACAAAAAGCTTTTTACTTTAATTAATACAATAGAAACTAAATTATGTTGGACATAGTTGAAGCGTACGAAAAATTGCAAATGAAATTCCAATGCTATAGAATGGGAAATATAAAAAAGAATAATACATAAGAAAACTTAATGTTAATTATTTTCAAGTGTATCTTTTAAAATATGTCAATTTTAAATCTCGTGCTTGTTGTTTACACAAAGTTATAAAGATATGTATATTAGTCTACGTACCAGTTTGAAGAACATTGTTATTGATTGAATGCTTCTGTGCATCTAGTACAGTACAACTTATCAGCTATTATATACCCAAAACCAAACCTTGAACTTCATAAATACAATGAGATCCTCCACGCAGTACTCAGTGGTTGACATTACCTATTATAATGACAAGATAGAATACGGAAGCTATTGTACTGTTGTAGCGTGAAGTCATACATCACCATATCTAGTGATCTTTAAAGCACTTGGTCATCTGGTGTTAATATCAGTGAGCAAAAAATTAGAACTTGAAAAAATACGAATAATTAAAGAAGTGAGTGAGTACCTATTTATTTTAATATACGTTTATGTACACTAAGCTCAATTTATCACTTTTCGCAAACTACTTCTTATATTGTATTACAATATTAGTATAAATATAATATGATTAATTATTATTTATACGTACTGATCTTTACGTAAATTTGTAATTTATGTATATAAAAATAATAGGCTGTTATAAATAAAATAATATTCTTATAATTTATAGATACAATTTAAAGCTTTTATATTCGTATATTAAATAAGATAAGTATATTTAGTGATTATCATTAAAGAATTAATAGTGCTTTAGTAAGTGCAAGTATGAAGGAATATCTTATGTGTGACTGTACTGTATCTCTGTACTCTCACTGTACTGTATTTGATAATATATATTTATGTTCTATATAATTAATATTTAGGTGTTTTAAATTTATGTATGACTAAATATACACACATAAGTTCTCGGTGCGTAAGGGTATGTAATAATGAATGCCGTAGCGATCATGTTTGAATTAATGATATCGTTATATAAAAGCTTTGTTCTAAATTCGTCACATGCAGTAGTATATTCGATTGTTTAAAATAGTATTCAAAATGGCGAGTATCCCACGCTTTAAACACTGTTAAACGTCATGTTACCTTAACGCCAGGGATGTCAACCATAGAGGATCCGAGGATTCTCTATGGTTGACATCCCTGAAGTATCGTATTAGTACGAGTACTAATACGATACTTTTATTTTTCGGTACGAGGACATTTCATCAGTCACGTACAAGTGTATACGAGATTTTACCGGATTTTACGGAAATCGATCAAAAAACTATGATGTACGAGGATTAAGAGCCAAAATCTACATTATTGACGTCTTTGTGAGAGGTTAAAGGTTGCAATATGCTTTGTCAACCCTGATATAATATGCTGATATTAATCCATTAATCTCCATGTTTACGTGACCATTACCTCCATTTTCCCAATTATAATTTTAAAAAAATGTGGGTGTTACAGGGGAAGTACGATGTAACAAAATAAAGTCGGTTAATTAGCAGTGCAGTGTCGTAGTGTAGTCGGTTATTTAACATAATAAACAAATCTGTAGTATGTGATATGTGCAATGATATGTTATACAAACGTCGAATAAAGTTATTTGCTTTACTCTTTAATATTAACGCCTAAATTTGACAAAATTCTTCGTAGGAATAGCTACATTAGCAGATATATCCCAGGTTCAATAATTACAGTAGATACAAAATATAATAATCTTTCTAGAGTACAGAATTTTTCAACAATCGTGAAAAACTCTCCATAAACAAACTTAGTTCTGTGGTTGATTTTATATCGCACCAGCTTCGTATAACTTGGTTTAGAAAAAGTATATGAAAACGACGAACACGAGTTCAGTTCAGAATAAATGTCTAAACTGAACCAAGGAAGTCTTAATAATATGAATATTTTTCAAATAAATATTATATATGTCAACCTGTCGTTAGTATAGTCAGGAAAAATATATTTTATTATGATAGAGTTAATACCTATAATACATTCGTAAACAGCATCCTTGGTTTTGATAACGGGAAAGGCAACGCGCCATTCAAACAGCGACAAGGTTGCAACTACGTGTATCAGTGCATGAACAACCCTCAAACGTTACTGCTCATGCGTGGAAAAGCCTTTATAAGGGTGGTGTTTTCACGCCCATCAACAGTTCGCGACACTCTTTAGTGAAGTACTGCACGCTTCTGCCTAAATAAATTCACACGATCAGCGAAAAAGTTAACAAAAAAAGACAACTATTTTCTTTGTTGGAAATAAGTAATCCTAATAGATAATCCGTCAATTCTGTAATCAAGAAACGTGTTTTATAACGTACTTATGAAAAATAAATTGGGAGGAGAATTTATTGCGAGTCAGAAAGTTAGCGACGATTTGCCGATGAACGTGGCGGTCCAGCAGCGAGGATCCAAAACCAATACCCGACGAGAGTCGATCACTCCAATAATTGTAGTTTGCCCACCTGTAGAAGATATGTCTGAACGAATAACAGCACCGCGTAGTGGACGAATGCTGAAAGCATTGAGTGGAAGGTTTTCAAGACGCAGTACAGACGCTGATTCCCTTGGAAGCTCCAGCAGCAATGACAGTGTTTCTTTTGATCAAAGTCGATCGGATGAACATTCTTCTAGCTCTGCGAGTGAGTCCAGTAGCGATAATTCAGAACATCATCGTCGCCATCGCTCTACAGTGTCTCTACGACGATTACTCAAAAGTTTAAATCTAACAGCTCGTTCCCAGTCATGTTCGTCTACGGAAACTTCTCGCCAACCGAAAAAGCAATCACAGCCAAAACGCATTCTACGTCCTCCGATCACATATACTTATGTTCGTGGTCTCTCCGGTCTTCCGACTCAAAGGGTACCACGACACGTGGTGTGCTGTTCTCCCCTAGGCCTCAATCGATAGGCAGTTTTTGACTATTGCGTAACTTAGAGTGGAAAATGGATGGAAATTAAGACTGGTTAAGAATTATGAGTAGACTAAAAGGCGCTAAAGTTACAAGTTTTCACCATATCAGTAGGTAATTGCTGAAATTGAGGCAACTAGGCCGATTTAACGATGTCTTCAATGAGGACCAAGTTTGAGGTGATTTCGGTCGCATGCTAGTAATGGCGCTCCTAGCTGCAGCTGTCTCTCTACACGAAGCTGGGAATTGTTTACACTTCTTTTTAAGGGACAATGTATAAGACTGGTGTATACCGATTGGAGCTTTGTTATGTTCCATTAATCTTTAAAAAAATATTCAATATGATTTCACCTTCCTACATAAATTATTAAAAAAATAATGTTGCCTTGACATTATTTATTATAGGCACCATTAACTCTCACATAATTAATTAGGTTTCATCTAAGTGTTAAATATACTTACTCGTTCCATCTTTGTCTAAGTATATAGTTTTCACATAATAAATTATGCACTCATGATAATTATAAAAAGTTTTTCAAATATATGTTCATAATAATTACAAAATTTATTCATACGAATTATAATAATCATGTATGGGATTGATAACATGCACTCACGAATATTCGGTTCATCAAGTATAGTGCCTTTCCAAATTTGAAATTAATTAGATCTAGATATATGTATATAATTAAGTATTATGTACCTTATAAGTTTAACTTAAGATCTGAACTATGTGAGATATTATCTCAAGTAACATACTACACCATTATAATCGCTAAATAAATTTACCTTTTCGCCACGATGTTTAAAATATACTTACTAGATTACTTAACTACTTATGAACATTGTGTTTAATTAAATTAACCAGTTGGTATTGCTGTATACAGTAGATAGTTTAAATATTGAATCAACTAGATGTAAGTTATTTTTATCACTGAATAAATATACCTTTTCATAATTAAATAAAAACATGGAAAGTAAAATGCATTTCATTTATTTTGAGCCCTGAGTTTGACGACTGAAAGCGCTCTACATTCATAAACAGATAATATAATACAATATGCGGATAGGCTCCCTCCTGCCAGGCTGGATTGAAATATACTAAGGGAAATGGAGACTTTCTCTGACTACTATATCTCGAATAATTGCCTTAATGGTATATATATTTATATATTGTATAAAGTATGTAAAATCTTGAGCAAAACATATTTACATACTTTCGTACTTTGTATAATTATTTGTTATAATGTATAAATGTTTGTAGTCTTTAAAGTTACTTTAATATATAATTTTTATTATACATATATGTATATATATAATAGGAAACATATTCAGAGGTATAATGTATTAGGTAGCTACTGATTTATATGTTAATGAAACATCTAAATTATTTACTTACCACTTCGAGAAGGTATAACCTTCACAATCATGAATGTTATCATTCAAACAACATTCTTTCGAATTAAAAGGGCCATCATGTTACTGTTAGCAAACGCAGTCTGAAAGACTTGACAAGGTGCAAAAGACTATTAATACTAAGATTGCACCTATATGATATACAGCTGTACTGTATGAAAATGTTTTTCTTTTCAGACATTATCATCCACGGTCATCATATAATATAATATATTAAAATTAGAATTAAGATGTTATACAGTAGTTTCACTGTATGTTTGAATATCTCACCCATTATCCCGCAAAACTATTGTTTTGCGGAATAATGGGTGGGTACAATGCGAGCTACTATTTTATTACCTTTTATACAATTTTAAATACACAAGAAACTTGAAATGATGGCCCGTCCTCATTTCAATTTTCTTGTCTACTACCTGGCTGGAAGAACTAATGGAGTTGAAAGGCCCTGTGACCCTAAGGTACTGTAGATAGAACAATAACCTAACATTAGTTTGTTGGAATTAAATTTGTTTTCATTATAACAACTTCGTGACATAGTTAGTAAAGTTTAGGACTGAACTAAGGCTTAGTAGATCTATCTAACCAAAAGTAAAATAAGAAGCGAAGTAAGGTTAACGGCCGCGATGCACCTATTGATCTGGACTTCCTCAGATTTAGCACGTCGACCTCGCCCCGTTATCTCTATAAATAATATTATGCACAATTTGTTTCATTATTATTTAAATACATTTATATATTGAGTATCAAAGCTTGTAAAAGAAATGTCAATTATGATTTAATATTTTCCGAGGTAGACTTTGTAAAGAGTTATTTGAGTTGGTACCTTAGCCTTAACAATTTCTGCCAGTCAACAAAACACAGCTTACAAAATAGGCAGATAGGCACCTATTTTGCTGTGTTTCGATTGTGGGTGAGATAAGGCAGTGAAATTACAGGATAAGACGCAAGACATCTTAGTCTTCTAAAATGGCAACGCATATATGGTATCACAGTTTACATGATAATTGATGTACGTAGCGCTGTTCATGTATATAGGCGTTCTCTGTGCGTTTTCTGCACTTCCAATTATATGAAATAAAAATTTACGCGTTATTGCAGATGTTGCTAAAAAGTAATGTTCGACTCTATGTATATCTATATATTAAATAGTTATTTAACATGTACCTAATTATTTATTTCTGTCAGTCTTTGTCGTATACTTTAAAATTCAATTCGTTCTTCAAGCACTCACAACAAGTATATTAAAGTTAAAAATTCAAATACTTATATACTCAGATGAATAATGCAATGCAATGCATGCAAAAAGTAATTTAATAATAATGAAATTATGTTGTAATCAATACAGAAGTAAATTGTACAGATTTAAAAACAATTCGTCATTTAACCGGCCAATACTAACTGTTGGAAGTCGGTAGAAAATTGTAATGAGTGGTAGACGAAAGTAAATCAACAAATGAAGACGCGTGAAAGTAGACGAATATGTCTGCCCATAAAACATTATTTGCCATCTACCCGCTGCTCTTCAGTTTACCCGTGGTAATGGGCGTTGAAATATTGCTAAAATATCAAAAAAAATGTATAAAACGTGGCAAGATCCCGTTAGTTTTCTAATTATACAATTGGTAGTATTAATAAATATGAATTTCATACAAAAACGTGTTCAACTGCCTTGGCATTATTTGACGTCATACCTACTGCCTAGGTATATTGTGTCAAGAACAGGATATAATAGAACGCTCTATGGTTAACACAATTTAGCAAGTAATGATATGTAGATGAAGGGTAATAGCTGTGACTTAACGTCTGTTTCAGGTCACATGTTAGATAGTTTTAATTTTTAACATTATTTTTAGTAAGATAAAGATCATTTATGTTGAATAAATGAAGATTACCTGGTTTATTGGTGTTTATTATGTATATATTCACTCTTATATATATTTTGCAATCGACATCTAGTATTATTTTAAAACAATTTCGTATCAATTGCAGTTGATATATTTTGTTAAACGTGACGACGCACGACTTCGTCTGCTGTGTTTTGTTTTTAATATAACATAGCCTATAATCGTCCCTATAATACATACATATTCACAATGCTTCACATCATATCATCATTGACAATGCTTCACATAGGTACACCAACATATTATTGATTATATCACTTTACAGTTCCATAAATCAGTAATAAAGATCAACCCTTAAAATTCGACCATTACCTATTTAGTAACTACTTAAAAAATAACGAACCATTTGAATGTCGTAGTTAAACGTGTTCTAAATCGTTTTGGTCCATACTTACTTATTATATGTACCTCATTAAATATCTTAAAATTTGCATTTTGTAGAATTATAGGCACAAACTAACAGAAGCGTTCTGTAAATTACATATACATAATACCTTGTCTACAACCACAGACAGCCATATCTGTAATCACAACAGTACACCAGTGTTAGTGGAGCTACTTCCATTGAAAACGCATTAGATACTAGTGCCACAAGTTTCTTTCTGAATGCATTGGAATACCATGCCTACATAGCACAACTTAACGGTGGGGCTGTACAATTGCCGACGTCATTGGATCCCATTTTGGGTCAGTAGGTCACGTAAAAGGACTGCACCGGTGACGTCATGGAACACAGGCCCCTCCCGCCTGCCTCTGAATGATGAATGAATAGGTCGATTTGTGCTAACTAACGCCAATTGGGTCAAATTGCAATATTATGTAATTATATTCAAAACACATCTACTTAAAAATAATCATTTGTATAATTTATTGTAACCACCATTAGACAAAATGATACTCAGCTAACGCAGCGGCCAGTTACGCTAATCCCGGGGAAATCACTTAGAAACAAGTTTAAAATGTTTTTAAAGACAGCGGCACTGAAGTAACTTTTGTATAAAGTCTACATGAAGTTACAACCATTTGCTGTGTATTATGGAAAATCGGTAAAATGTTATCAGTGGTCCATCATCTTGTCTGCTATTACAATTACATAACAAAAACAATTTTACATGCCAAGTTTACAAAGTTTTTATCAATGCCTTAAAAATTACTTACTTTTTTAATATACTTTATTTAATATATATAATTATATATCCTTTATCAATATGATCTTAATTAGAAAATATTGTCCATAGTCATTTCTGAAGATACGCAATGCAATGTTATGAACGAGACATTAGTGCCGGGTTCATATTACGAGTACATGATTAACCCTACACGTGGCTAAGATACACGAGTATAAGTTAAACAATAGTCTACAGTTTCTTAGTAATAAATAAATTGAGAAATTTTTAAAAGAATAATTAATTTGATTCAAATATATAATACATATATTTGTATTTTTTTTTCTTTACCCATAATAAAATCATGAAATCGTGACGTGGCAAATAACTGTTAAAATGTTTTTTTACGTTACGGTTATATGTAAAATCAGCCGTAATAATTTTAAATTAAATTTTCATAAATTACATTGTTAAATATGGCCAAATGGGCGATATAATTATTTTTTTTTAATTTCAATATTAGTAAGAAAATAATAGATGGCGCCGTACAGATGCTTTATTTATTATTGTCGT